ATAACTTTGTTAACGCTGATAAAGATATTTGAGATTAGATATACCGTGATATCATAATATACCACACAACTGACACATGTGTGCCTGTAAATAGGATTCTAGAATACGTCGCTTTCGAGGGTGACTGAGTCACAAAAATCGATTTGCACTTCAAGGATGGTGGCATCACTTTCAAGTGTTAGTAGTGTTGATGTCCTGTGTATAGAAGTTAAGTTGAACACAATTTTGATATGGGAGAATCTCACCTTCGAAGGTCCTAGACTGCCACGGAAAGTCAGTCTTTGACACGAAGTCCTGCGATTGTATTGAAGAATGTAAGTCACGAAAGAATAGAGATAATATATATATGAGGCGCCATCACGACAAGCACTTTTTGGACTGGAGATGCAACTTGTCGCAGTTCCCATCGCAAAGGCAGCAGGAGAAATGTATGATTGAAGATGACCTTGACGATGTGTTTTTTACTTGCTTTAAGGTCGCGCGAAGTTGTTGCGCCGGGGACAGGGAAACCTATTGTTTAGTTCTGGATGTGGAGAAATCATTGTTGTTTTCCATATTCCTAGAGGATACAGCGGCACTCACAAAGCGAGTATGGGTGCTGGGAGACAATATACTGAATGCAGCCTAAGATGAAGTCTAGACACAATATCGACTGTTGTTGTGAAGTTACAGTGGTCTTAGTGCTACTAGGGTTTGTGACTTGATTCAAAAATTACTGATTTAAAGATTACAAGTCGGAACTCAACTAAATCGCAACTCACTATGCCGTGCACATCACGCAACAAAAAGACTGCACCCCGTAAGGTGCGCTTCAATCCATATGCTCGGCCCTACACTTCAAGCAATGAAAGTATTGCACCGATCACCACACCTCTAACAAGGACACTTGCCTTATTTATCGACGAGGAAGTGACATTAAATACTGCTGTAAGTAAATATGTCAAGGCCGTGGCCAGCAGTGACTGAAATGGACATTCATAGCTTGAGTGGATGGGATCTGCTATGTTGATCGACGAAGCCCCTGTACTCGACGGGACAGCGGGAAGTCAGCAAGATGTCTCAATGCTGAACGTTGATCTGGCAGACGATAAGGTTCGCAATATTGTTATGTAGCTAGGCTGGAGGACTGACCTTACAGCCTCAAAGGTTAGAAGCACGTTCCTGGTAGCGAACTTGATGGCCCCTGATGCCAGTCACCATATGGAGCGACTATCTCCAAATAGAAGAAAACTTGTTCGCAACCTAGAGAAGGTGGTAAACAAGTGTATTGATCATAATTGCAAAGGGGACCATCCTACTACTGACCTTTTACGCGAGAGGATCTATGTGGCACTTGAGGGAGCAGTATTGAACATAGAGGTGGATGAGATTACGCGCAGGCATGTCTCGAAAGCCGAGAACTCCAAAAACAACGACAGACACGTAAGATGGTCTTTCGGTTTCCAGTAACTCTACTGATGAACTCTATTAGAAGCTTCCAACAAACAATGACAATTTTATCCCACCTGCCGCACAATGCATTTTTAACGGCATGAAACGTGGATTGTTCTCACTTGGAACAGTCCTCGGCGCGCAATCAGAACCACGCAGACTATCTCCATTCAAAGCAGTTCCAGAGCCGCTAAAAGTAAAACGTAAGTCGGGTGCACTGCCTGCTAGAATGCCAGGAGGATACCCAACTGCATAAGAATGTATACATACGAAACTTGAATGTACATTACATACACCAGTGTCAACTGCAGAATCGTTAGTTAGAACCAAAAATCAATGGATGACCACTTACACAACGGACTCTCTGACTGCGCCTGGTAGATCAAGCCTCCCTATTCACAATTGTTGGTTTGCCTATAGTCCCGCTGGCACAGTCATCCGCAGTTCAGTAGACGTCACCGGACAACTTGTCAACAATACTAGTACATACAAAATGTCTGGGCTACTTTATCGAATTGAAAATCTACTAGCGAGCAACAATAATCTCCATCCTCTGGAACTTCTTCTTAGATACTGTGAATGATGGACGTTGGTCAGCCAACCAGGAAGGATTATAGAATGCTCTTGGCAGGCCTTCGATTGCTATGCGAGAAGACTCCCAGTTAGCGTTGCGAAGACGCTTTGCAGGCTTGTTTCCGTGGGGAGTGAAGATCGAGGCACCTGTCAAACGCTGTTGGTCAATAATCTGCATCTCGTGACTGAAATCTGCCCTCCATGGCATACTCTTCTGATGAAAGACCTGAAGATCTCCATCTTCGTGCTCACTCTCGTCAGAGCTCATGCCATCTTTGCCAAGATTCTCCACAATAGATTGTAGATACGCCCACACAGCCTTATCATCCTTCCCTGTCGCATTCCTATCACTCAGTAGCGTCAACGTGACTTTTTTTTCGAGTTTCAAACTTCTAGTGCGTAGTTCAATACTCTTCTCTGAAAGAAACAAGGTAACTGACCGTCGCCCTGCGAGTGATGACCCTAGCAAGCCGCAGTCGCTCATTCATCTGATCCACGAGTCGATCTCCCACTTGTTGCATGGTCTCGCAAGTACCGTCGCTGAGGCTGAGAGGCTGAGCCTTTCTCCAACACCTGCGGCATTGACTGAATTTCATTATGATATCATCTTTGATTGATTGAGGGGATCGCCTAGACCATTGGTTGATTGCTTGCAAAGTTGTATACTGGGTGCAGAGTAAATCAATGACTTTTTGGTTCCACTCGGACCTGTGTGTAGTCGCCATATCCCATTGCATTGCAAGTGGGTCAGGACCTGGGCCCGTTCCATGTGTGAAAGACAATATGGCTTTGCGCGACGCCGGCACATGAAGCATATACTCTTTGTCTTTGTGGTGTGGAATGCAATTTTGAACAATTCTCGGACATTTGCCTGATATTGTTTCCGTGAGCAGAATCAATTGCTTTAAATAATCACAGACCTTGTTATCCCGGCGCTGGGTATCAGTAAAACTTTCGACGGGGGGTTTAGGCTGTTTGTGTCCTGAGTGAGGTCCCCGGGGAGACGTTGTTTGAGAATTCTGAAGAACCTTTGCGAGTGCCTCAGCAAGCATGCCAACAGTCGCGTTCCTGATCGGGACGTCTCCTAAGAGTGAAGTCAGGGGCATACTACTATCCATCTGGAGTTCCTCGTCTGCGTCAGATTCTGAACTGGAATCAGAAATCTATGACATGTGGTATCAGGAGACAGAATGAATGTGAGACTCGTCAACTTACTGGTGAAAATTCAATTATGTTGGTACATGTAGCCACAGGTTTTTTGCCCACAAGATGCCGCCAGGCAGGTGTTGATGTGGGTGATGCAGTGTTGGCATGTCGAATTTGACTCTGTGAATTCATGAGAACTCTGCATACCAATGTGTCAATACGTACATCCAACAAATTGATCTTGGAACTATACTTGGCATCCAAGCGGGTTAATTCAGCTTCATTGTCGGCCAAAAACCTATCTCTTGCTAAATGCATTTCGCGTTCAAATTGAACCTCTTTCTCCGCCAATAAGTGTTCTATTTCAGTGCGGCCCTTGTTTTGGGCTTTATGAAGACCAAGTGCCATATTGCTCTGTTAATGCAAGTCAGAATGTTGATATGGCAGTGAAAGAATCCTACCTGAAGCTCTGCTACTTCTTTACGATGGTTCTGGTCCAAGGAGGCGAGGGCATTAGCATTGTCACGCTGAAGAGATTGGTTCTGTTGCTGATACTGTGCAATGGCTGACTGCATATCTGATTCGCAAACGTTCGAGGTGACCTGAAACGAGTTAAGTGTGAACGTGAGGGATGTGAGACTACATGCACCTGCGTGTTGCGTTTCCGGAGTAGAAGATTATGGTTGCTAAAATGTAGCTCGCGCACATCTTCACGCAGCTTGAACGACTGATTGACTTCCTTGAGAAAGACTTTATTCGGCTAAATATTCGTTATTCGTTAGTTGACACAAGGAGCCAAATTGGACGTTCCTCACCCGCTGCTCGTCATCATCTCTTACCCTACGGACAGACTGCCAAGGGTTATCTAACTCCATCGGACACTCCTTGCTGGAGGAAATAACTGGCTGCGGTGGGTATGTGTGAGTTATTGCTGAGGGACGACAGTCATCGTGATCTACACTAGCTAATGTACCACCCACAGGTGGGTATGTATGGGCTGTGGTCGGACGAAGCTCATTGAGAGGGTGTGACTCAATAGCTTCAGGGACCGCATCGTCCGAAGAGAAGAAGGACATTAGACGAGACATCTTGATGCAAGAAATTATTCTGCAATTCACAACTTATCTGAGGACGACTTACCTGGTTGTGTAACTGAGTGTGAAAACATGTCACCTTAATTCATTCCCAACTACATACAAGCAAAACCAACAAAACAAAACAGACAATAAGTTCTTATCATGACTGCTTCTGATACGTTCGACTACTGCTTCCCAACTCCTTCCGAAATGATGGGGTCTATTGAAATTTACGAGAACCTTTGTGTCGCGCCTTGGCAGAAGTATTTTTTAGTTGCATCTGAATCATATCCCCGACTGGCCAACTCCCATGATAATCAGCCAGTTCTGGAAAATGGCCTAGAGCCTTGAAAAGAAGTTAATATCAAACAGCCATAGCAACTGCAGACATACCTCATTATAAACCTGAAGCAAAGCAGCCGGAGCTTGAAGTTTCTTGCTTTTGCCAACATGACAATGCTTCTCGATAGACTGGTGAACGTATTCCTAATGTTATGTGAGGATGAAAAAAAATAATGATAAGTGCAATCCCACCTTGAGATTCTTGAAGCCCTCAGCATCCCAGTTAAGCGCCTTTTCCAAGTTGTACCCACCACAGCCAGGACGGCCAGCCTCACCCTCCGGTTTGGGGATCTTGGAGTCCTTGGAATCTATGGAGGACAAGGAGGAATACGTTGACACCTTCTCGGACTCGCTGTTCTGTGTGAACTGTTCTGGCGAGAAGGAGACTAATTTGATGACTTTTGGAGTAGGCATGGGAGGAGGGATGGGTGTGATTCCACGAGACATGATCGTGAAGATGCGGGAAGGAGTAGGACTGCGTCCCCTCAGTGGAAGGGTAGAGAACACCATCTCTTCTTGTGGAGATAACAAGACGAGCGATAACGTATGACAAAACATCTCTGTATGATATGTCAGTAATGGAAGGGCCTGGGGAGGACCTTCAGATTCATGAAAAGGGGTGACGGGAGTAGAAAATTGAGGCATGACTGACTTTGGAACTGAACAGAGCCAGGAAGATATTTAATGGATGACGGCAATCCGGGCCTAGATTGGAACCCAGCGCCCGCTCAGGGTTGCCTGGTAATGGTGTTGTCGTCTTATTGTATGCCACCTTATAAAGGTGTTCAACTCAGTCTTGGCGTTTATAACTACTGATGCTTTTCCTATCCACCAACAGGCTGCAAAGAATATTGGCTTGAAGGGCGCCTCATTGGACACAAGAATGCCATCAATTGCCTAGCGGTCTCTCGCAATGGAAACATGTTGGCAAGCGGGGGTCAGTCGAATATTCAGAATGACATTATACACACTCACCCGAGTACAGGCTCAGACGGCATGAGGATCTGGGACCTCAAATGACGAGTGCAGCTCCCAGCTCCACGTCAAACCCCAGCCATCCAAAATCCAGCAGATCCGGTGACCTGCGCATGCTGGATAACTCGGCAAGAAGCAACATGTGAGACACTATGCTATGGCACAGGGCTGGGTTTCATAAGCATTTGGCAACAGCAAGGGGAAGAATCGAAGGACTTCCACGCAAAAGTATCAAGACGAATTGGGACAGGTAAAGAGATCATGTGTCTTACATATGACCATACCGGCGACGAAACTCGTATTGCAAGTGGAACGCGCGACAGACAGGTTCAAGTATGGGCATTTGACTCCAAAGGACCAGTTGATACCGATCTTCAGTGTTGAGCTGTCCACCACGATCCCGCGCACTGTGCAATTCAAACGAACAGGCAAGTAGAAACCTGTTAGTATTCAGGATGTATGACAGGCAAAATGTAGGTGCACATGCATACATATTATCAATGAGTTCAATGATGTTTTTTAGACATACACTTCGAGGCTCAGACGGTACTATCCGTCGGTACAAACAAGGCTGGACCTATGATGTGAGCGTTGGCATCAAACAAGTCAAAATCTACTCACCAATTTACCAAAGTGGGCACACTGCTGTGGACGCCCCTCAGACACTATTCCTAATCGACAATGTGGTTAACGGGTTCAGCCTACATCGTTTGGAAGATGGAGCCTACATCCATACCTACAATACCAATCCAGTGAAGACATTCCCAAAACAGGTTGTTTTTGGGGACCAGGCTACCCTTGTTGTTGGAGGTAGCGACACAGGAACTATTCGGATTTTCGACAAGAATGACGGTGCCCTTAAGCAAGTATTGCAACATGCAGACAGGGGGCGAGTACAAACTGTAACGGTAAGTTATTTCATTGATCAAATGAATGTGAATTTGACCAAGTACAAGATGTATGACAGTCCACAACACAGCCTGATTTTTGGAGTAACATCTACCAACGATGCAGAACTGACCATCTCCATCTGGTGTCGCAAACGTGCGACATCACCAAGTGACTGTCCTCTGGGGTCAGAGGTCAGGAATTTTGTGCGGGGAATAATCCAGCTAGCTATCGCAATGGCGATAATAGCATATGTTAGTAATATGGTATGTGATATGTGATGCAAAACACGCACTGACTCATTAGAATGCAGTTGATTGAACATTCGTTGGGGATTACATCACTGGGAAATGCCTGGCAAGAGTATTCAAAATTGGGGGCTCAAACAGCTGACCTAACGAATACTAACATCCGCTCCTTGGTAGAACAATATATGGAGGCACTGAGGGGTGAAGAACTTGAGAGAGCACAAAGCTCAGGAGCAGATAGGAGACATGATGGACAAGCGAAGCTTGTAAAGCCACAAGATATGCTACATGAGGTCATTCTCCTCAGAAATTGATCTTGAATTTATTTAAGTACTCACCATGGGTACTGGAGATTCAAAGAGATGTATTATTTTGTAGCGACAATTTGGACTTAGGGCGTGAATTACTTCATGTCATGTAGATCAGAGTGTGCACTTACATCTGAATTGAGTGTTCTGAAAGCGTGACCCGCCTGGGGACATGCACTGCACGGAACAGGCAGCTTTCATCAAGTGAATCACTCTAAGTTGCATTCCAAGTCAAATTCTTAAGTCTTACATCATAATCTAATCTATGCGGTACAGTAGATAATGAACACTTGCAGTAGTGAGAGTCCAAAAGGAAACCAGATTGTTGAATAGGCACTACCTATATACTGAATGACTACATAATCAAACTCCACCAGAAATATTACTGAGGCACCCACTTTGCGCCCACTCAACAATCTGGAAAGTTCTGCCGAATCGGCATTGCCAACTGAGTTTTAATATGTAAGTCATTCTGTATTTATGGCTGCGTGTTTCCAAAATAATCTTTTTTCCGATTCCTGTAATGTGAATACATAGTGTAGTGTAGAAGTGTAGTGTGAGTCATTGTATACATCCACCCACCCACTCATACACTATTTACTAGTAGTAGTGGGCTGCTAGGACTTGACAATTAAAGACAAAAAACAGCGCTATGGTCCACAATACCTTCAACACAATAGACAATTTGCGGTGTCCACCATTCACCGTCCACAATCTCAATCACACCTGCTGCTCTAGCCATTCACTATAAATACTGATCTCGCGCCTTCATGGTTTTCTTTCCGCTACTATCACCTCAATACGACAGACTTTGCATAGACTACTAAATAAGTGAATATAGTGTGTAGTGTTCTAAGTTTACTTGTGATAGTGCTGAACTCTAGACTATAGAAATCATGTCCAAACGTGCTGCATCCAATGACGATGCACCCACTCCAAAGCGCATCAAAATTAATGACGGTAAGTAGCAATATGATGTTCCTGACATTGTTATTCATGAGCATATCACAGGGAATCAGACAGCACCACTGGCGGATAAGCGTGCATGGGCAATTTTAGAGCAGTTCCTTACGACGGACATGATGTATGCTCAGATGGAAGAAGCTCTTTCATCGTACCTCGGCAATCGATATTCTGCGGACAATTGGAAGGAATCCCGAGATGCACTATTTTCCAGTGATGGTGATGACAACCTCACTTTGAGAAATCTTCATGCTGTGAAGGCAAAGCACATACACTCGGCGTCTGCTTCCAGTGATTCTTCCGTGGCCGACGGACCGTCCAGTGCGCGCATCCAAAGTTTGCGTAAACCAGCCAAAGTAAGCAAAAATAGGATGACTCTGATACCCTCTTATGCTAATGAATCTCTAGTTAAAAAATCCCTACCTCGATCTGGCCGCAGAGGAGGAGGAGGAGGAGGAGGAGGAGGACCACGACCATAATGGTCCCTCTGGGTCGTGGAAGGTTACATCCTTGCCAGGATCATCATCGGCCGCTAGGTTTGCCACGGCCATCAATAACATCACGCATAGATTCGAGACGACACAGCGTAGATCGCCAGAATATTCCCTCCTCGATATCTGACTTGATCCCTTCGAGAAGTTCAACTGAGCTGCAGGGTGGGAGGATGTATCTTCTTCATGTCCACCGTAAGTTTTTCTATCGATTTAATGACGTTCTTCACTCATTCTTGACTCATCAATCACAGGAAGTGTTACAGATTATATTGCTGCACACCTTCGCAAGAAACATTTTATCGTTAAGGTGTCAGCTTGGATACCCGGTCAGCTTTACGTGGTTGCAGACAGCCCTAAAACAATCGCAGACTTGCTTCCTTCCTCGCTCTACCTCGCCGTCAAGCAATATGTTTGTATATTGGATGACAAACGTGAAGAGGTCGAGCGTTCTTACTGCAAGCTTCCCAGCCCGGCGTGGGTGAGGATCAAGCATGGCAAGTATAAGGGCGACATAGCCCAAGTCTTCGATTCCAATCTACTAAATGATTTCATTGTGGTCTTGGTTCCACCACGGGATTTCCCATACTCCATGCCTCCAAGATCTCGATCCCTACTTGACCGATCCCATCTTCCGAACGGGAACACAGTTTCCAACATCACTCATGGCAGAAAAAATGTAGGATGCGAATACAAAGGAGAAAAGTATTATATGGGCCTCCTACTTCACAGCTTCCACCGTGATCACCTAGAACATGTCGTCTGCCCCCATGCTGACGACATTCAGCTCCATTTACAATCCGGGTGGGAACAATCATTCCTCAAGAGAACTGTGCTTGCGTTTTCGATGCAGTTCTTGCATGTGGGTGACTGCACCAAGATCGTTCAAGGAGATCTCAGTTCAGAAATCGGGAAGGTTACCTCAACCGACCATCCTGCTGGTTCTGCCACCTTGGAATTGAGCTTGAGTGGACAGTGAAAGGAAGTAGAGCTTCGACTGCAGGACATAGAGCGCGTGTTTCGGATTGGTGACACGGTTCGAGTTGTAGCAGGCCCATACTTGGGTGTGGAAGGCCACATTATTCAGATGGTAAATGATGTATTTCATCTTTGTCAAGACATCTCGAAGGAAGAGGCGAGTGTCTCTTTCCACTTCAGCATTTTGCAAAATCATCTAACACAACCTATAGGTGGAAGTTTCAAAGTACTATCTAGACCGCCGCCCTCTGAGCCACATGTTGCAAGCACAACTACCAACGCAGCAACTCTTTAAGCCTCCCCCCGATGTTGAATCCATCCAAATGGGGGATTATATAGAAGTGCTTATTGGGGAGCACATAGGGAAGTGTGGCATCGTGCGTTGGCTGCCCAAAGGAGCAGACAGTCTGTGGTTCCAGGACGGAACATTGAACATTCCAGTTCCCATTTCATTTATTCGGCGGACCCACCTCCCCCACCTCCAGACATTGCAGTACACGAAAGACAGGGGTTACGATGTTAAACCTGGAGATGTTGTAAGAGTGGTTCGTGGGCCAGAGTATCTGATGAAAGGGGTCGTTCGAAGCGTCGACTTTCCAAAAGCTCGCTTGACCCTACTCTCTGACATTGACCATTCACTCGTTAGTAATATTTTCCTCAACCTACGCATATCTGACTTTTTCTAGGTTGACATTCCCATCTCATTCGTGGCAAAAGTACGCGATGCCAACTTTGATTCTTTCAAAAAGGAAATCGGTCAAGAGGTATTTATCATTGGAGGCGACCGTAAGGGCTACCGAGCCACACTGTACAGTGTCACCTCCAAGACTTGCACCGTTGCCATGCATGGGCAGCAGCACATCAAGATCGAACTCAAGGATGTTGCAACCAGGTAAGTGTCACGCACATTTCATGGTGGATCAATTGCTTATATGTATTTAGGTATGGAATGAGGTTAAATGGATTGATACTCAAAGGAATAGACATGTTGTCTTTCTGCGAAATGCGGAGAAGATCGTACTTGGCCGCACAACCTTGAAGCATCACCCCCCCACCCGAAAAGGTTCCTTCATCGGTTGCCATCACAGGCACCGGCATGTCGACATCCATGTGGACTGCCTGGACCTCCAGCCCTGAGGATCAGGCTGGTAATCCTTTGCCCGGTGTCAATCCCAACTCTTTGACTACCAAATCCAACCCCTGGACTGTCAACGCTGACGATACACTAGATAGCATCGATGCTCGAATGGAGAAACTCAAAGAGGGTGAGTCTCTCTACAAAGGCATTATAACATTCACCTTATTTCGTCCTAGGCCCGCTAGCTTGGCTGACGAAGAAGGAATTTTCTTCCAAGCTCAACACACATCACATGATGTTAAAAGTCTCGCCCTCCTTCATGGGAGGCAGGCTACACAACCGGTTTGTATTGACAGCCTGTCCTGATCCCTTCCTCGGTCTAAATGGACCTGCTCCCGATGGTTGTGTTGCAGTGTTTTGCTCATCGAACAGTGCAGGCGCCGCGATTCAGCACTATCATATACCAGTCACAGATCTGAGCCCAGCCCCTCCCCACAAAAAAAACCAACAGTGCCTTGTTCTGGATGGGAGTCATCGCGGTTCCATTTGTAATGTAGCTAAGTGTAACATTAAGAAGAACACTGTGGATATTGTAATCGCTCCTTCGACTTCTATTAATCTGTGTTTCGATTAAATCTGTCTTGTAGAACAGGTACGCACGACTACATGACCATTATCGTACCATACCCGTACTATACCATACCATATCACTTACCAATAAACACTTGATTCTCTGTTGCGCTCTTCCGTGTACCGAATGCCCGACGAATCCCTCATGAATGCCCGATGAATGCCCGCTGAATGCGCAGCCAGTGCCCATGTCATTTTACCATGCAGAAAACTTTGCATTTTCTGTATCACATTTCACCATCGGGAAAATTTAAATTTTTAACTGGAATGAGAATGCTGGCCATTATATAATATTTTACAGAATATTTTCTGCGCTCAAATTTTCCATTTACCAATGGATATAATTGGATTACAAAACTTCGTATCTGCATTTTCATTTTCCTAAGCGGAAAACTTCCAATATCCTTATCTATTTGGACAGGACTTAAAAGTTTTGTCAAAATGTGTCACTTTCTCTGATGCATCTAAATGTGTTGTTGTGTCGATGTCGAAATTTAAACTGAAAATCCTTTATTTATCAATCCCATTTTGATTTCAGTCTAGCTTGTAGGAAAATTCAGAAACCGCCGGTGTGTCAGAAGAGAAACGAATGGAGAGCAATTTACTGTCAAAAAATTGTTCATTGTACATGAATGCTATAGTTGGCAACTGTGAGCACAATTCTATTACAGCAGTTGCTTGGTTCATTTTTTGACTCCATGGCAAACGTCGAAGGTAGCACCGCAAGTTGGCCACAAGCTTTGATTAAAGTTTAGATAAGCTTCAACGCTGGCCGCAAACACATGGAGACCCGCCTCTTCATGGGAAACACCTAACAATATCTGTGCATTTGAAACACTCAGAGAACCACAAAAAGGGCGGACATATGGTACAGCAACATTTTTATGGCAAGTCTTCTAGGTTATGGTGATTGCATCATCCAGGCTGAGCATTTCCATGCGAAGATGGTGAATGGAATGGTTACTGTGCGCTTCATTGTGTGAAGATGCGATCCTATCTGCATGTTGCGACATGTGACTACTTCAAATTTGTATTGTTGGCACCTCATGAAGCATCAGACTACCATGCGACTTTTGTAGCCTGCACATGAACTTGCTGAGCATGATGAAGGTCAGACAATGGTGTTCTTGGTTTATCTGATGGATCTCGCTTTCAGCTCGCGACCTTTACCGGCTCCTGCTGAAGTCAGCACTGCAAACAACACTGAAATACAATGGCCACTGACCGAGGCTGTATGATCAGAAATCGGGCTTTGTTACCTGTTGCAGGCTTCTCATCTCCCATGTGCGATTTCTCTTTCGACCTAGTATATACGGTGTCTCATGTTTAACAGGTATCAATGACACAGCATGAGTCATGATGTATCTGCCAGTGCAATGCATCACCGTCGCATCAAGTGCACCATCGGATCCACCGAATAGAGTGTGCTGTTTTTTTTTCTGACTTTTGCTATACTACAGAATGCAACCTTGTTACAGAAAGAAATCAGGGGAGCTGACAGCAAGTCTCAAGCTTGGCCAGCGAAGCTAAGAGAACACAGATGCTCATCATGATTGCGATCACATCATGGTTAGATTGATGGCCACATGGTTTCATACTGGAAAATGGCATAGGAAATAAGTTTGCGATATCACTAACCACTGCAATTTCTCCGGTGTCCAAGTAGTCGCATGCGCAACACTGGTTTGTCAATCAAATTCTACTTGGATTATCTAGGGCTTATTTTTGTCTGATTTCAAACTGTTTCACTTGATCAAGGGTCTTGAGGCAGGATCAAATATACATCTCCATTATACTGATTTTGGAGGTAGAAATGCTGAACAGTAGTATATCTAGCATGAACACTGTCGTTATACACCAACCTTCCCCACTCGCTCATACCCATCCCTCGAACATGACCTACGTCTCAAATGATCCCAGTTACTGGCCGTATATCAGTGCGACAATTTTTATAAACTATTTCACAGGTTTGTTGCATCAAGACAGTGTTTGGTTCCAATGTTGACTTGCGGTTTTGCAGTTGCTGCTGGCATTGTGGTGGTATATGATTGGGGTGAGCAGGACAGTGTTCGAAAATCGCTGATGTTCTCATGATATTTCCAGTCTTAACACTCGGACAAGAGGTACATCGATGTTATTGCCACAGCAGCCATCTCACTAAGACTGGTATCTTAGATTGAACTCATCTGGGTGAGTGACAAGAGTCCCGTATCAGAAGAAAACAAGAGCATGCACTGAATTCATGACAGAGACAATGTTGGTCTCTCATGACCATGCTGTATTTGATTGTTCGTACTCATGTTGTGTTTTAGTGTGGTGGGCAACTTGTGCTGACTTCAGAATGTTCTAGATACGCTATATTGGAATACCGTATTCTTTGTATGTGTCAAGATCAACAACTTTGCACTGTGCTAATAGCTCATCTCTGACAACTACCAGTGTCAATCTTCTGCATATGTTTCATATGCGCTATATTTCATTTTTCTGACCAGTGAGACACAGCAACTATGCCATCGGTATCGCTGACAGATGCAGTAAGTATTCTGCAACCATCTCATTGCCATCTAATCAATACACTCATATGTAGGGGTGAGTGAGATTCCAACCATTGAACTTGACTCAACATAATGACTCAATAGGTGTAAGTCAGAATTTTTGATACTGATGCGAGGGTGTTTACTAATTGGGAGTCTTTAGGCAATATGACGTACTACGCAGTGAATGCGACAAATGTGGCCTTGACTGCCATGTTGGGCGGTAAGTGACCCAGGTGCAATACCTCTGTGATATGGACCTGACTGACACATGATGCAAGTCATCATGATTGCTCGGTTGCATGCCATGTATCAAGGGTCTAGAGCAATGCTTATGTTCCTTGTTATTATCTTCCTGGCTGTAAACATTGCCTGCAGAGCAATGGCGGCAATAGCACTCAATGATGCTGTAGCAGGTAAGCTTTACTTGTTGACTTGAAGAACACGTCTCATTGGACAAACACCAGAGGAGATGATACTCTCTGGTATATATATGTGCAGCTATGAATATGGAGGGGACGAGCAGCTTCTGTTTTCGATCATTTGGATACTCAACACTATTTGGGAGGTCCTCACATTGTGTCTTTCAGTTTGGATTGCTGTGAAACACTTCCGTGAGCTGCGACAACTCAGCCCATCAACAGGATCGACCATCGGGGACTGTGTCAGAGTGCTGGTACAATCTCACGTTCTTTATTTTGCAAGGTGAGCTTGTAATGTGAACGTGGTTATATTTTTCTGCTCAAGTTTCGCACATGTTAGCTTTGTTGGCGTCTCTTGCCTCCAGCTTGCTTATCTCTCTCCAGAAATCTCAGTACGCTGACCTGTCGCTAACATCTGCGTGTAACCACTGCTCATCATTTCTGTAGAATTTGAATTCTATTGGAGCTCAGATACTCCTTGGTACTCTTCAAATTTTATTGGTCGTGCAGATGTTTGTGCTGAGACCACGCCTCATCCTTAGCGTTCGAGAATACCACGCCAAACTTGTGGTATCCTCCGACACAGAAACTAGCATGAATTCGATTGTTTTCCAGGAGCATGTACATGTATCAACTAGCAGTACTGTGTAGGGAAATGCTTGCTGAGTGGTCTGCAGGGAGGAGAAATTTGGTGGAAGATCTATCATGGTATTTATTCAACATATTGTGTTTCGAAGTGTATTTAAAAGGTCTAGACAAACCTATTTCTTGTTGTATCACTACTGGAACGAAGCACCCACGCTTGAACTACGTGGCAAGGTGAAATTGTCCAGAATGACTAGCGACCAAACTAGTCCTTGAGCTTGATGACTGATGTTAAAATACAACGAGAATCAGTAAAAGTGCCTGGACAGCTGATTCTGCGCGTTGGTCGACTAGTCATGTGTTTGCATGCTTCGATGATGTAGTCCGCGCTTCTTGGATGATTGATGAAAGAAATTCAAAAGGCTGTGATCCAGATATAGTGCGATCTTGGCACTGTCAACAGTACTTCAGTGAGGCAGCCGCATGCACCAGAGGTTATGATCATAAGCGAAAAATATGTAATCTGCATGTCTTGGCCTTCCTGTCTCTGCCTCCCATAATGATGACAGCTTCTTCCAAACCTACAGAAGAAATTCCCTCATCAGGAAAAGCCTCCTAAGCTAATTAGAAGAATCCAGAACTAATTAGAACTAATTAGCACTAAAGTACTAATGCTCCATTATTATGTCTAAATTAGACATTCAATGGGTAACACGTCAAAAATGACCCAATAAAAATCTCACAGCTGCATTCCGCCACGAGCTCATGACGATAACGCACATCGCCAGGGTTCTAGATAGATCAATTATCAACTGGTGATTGGGAACGTACGAAAAAAAGATGATGCTAACATGAAGAAATAAAAATGCTGTCTCGCACGAGCATGCTCATGAATTTACGCGCAAGCTGGAGGTACCAGGGGTGGCCTTCCTTTCTCTCATATTATTGAGAGAAACTCTACTAGTAATGGCCAAGAAGAAGAGCAATAGCTCGAAGCAAAAGGCGGGTATGAACAAATAGGTGAAATCTGTGTTGATCCCGGAGAAGGTGCACAGGTGCTTCCCAGGAAAGCTTGAAGACTCGTCGGTGACTGGTGATGTTTAGTGAAAAAGTGTGGCTCCACGTCTCTCTGCAGCACGTACCAACCAATTGGCTTGCTGGACCAATGGTTTTCCAGATGATTACAATGACGGTCAAGGACCTCGCTAAAGAAAGCAAAGACCAATATCATGAGTATCCGCCTAGTCCGCCGGTACATAGCATATATTCGGAGTTGCATGATGCCTATGCGGGTGATGTTAATGTCGAATTGTATATGCATAAATATGATTTACACTGAGTAAGCCACGAACAAAAGTTGCAACAACCATAGTTTCCTTCTTGAGCAGGTTGCTGTGTCGTCGCCTATACCTGAAGCGGAGGCTGTGGCATCGAGTTTGGTTGTGCCGCAGGTGGAGTTGCCGCTGAGGACGACTGAGCGTTGGCTTTCACAATAGATGCGCGCTACGTGAACCTTCGGAAGATTCGGTTATGCATATGGCGGAATAAAAAGCACCTCACACACCACCTACATGTTGTTGTTCTCTTCCAGCAGAGACTGTTGCGGGCTTGTGTTCCACGCGAAGAAACTGCGCCTTGGGCGTTGTTGCATCGAAATGATCTCAATCGCTGCAGGGTGAGGGAACGCGGAAGTTCTAGGAGCAATTAGCCGAGGACGGGTGGGAACGCCCGGAAAGATAACAAAGTACAGACAGCGCCGAAGGATTATATGACTGGGAAGGTACGTATCGTTAACATCTGCGCCCTTTGCAAGCACAAGGTTTACCTGGAAAATCCCCGCCACACGGATCTCCTCGATCAATCGATCACCACTCCCACAAGGCTCTAGACATAGCTTCGAGCTGTGATAGTTGTGTCAGCAATATTGGGGAGGAAGACCTAGTCGAGCGGGGTACTTGGGGTCGAGTCACGGTTTCCTGCTGTAATGATATGGCTAAGTAGTCAACTTGAGGTATGGTCAGCACATATCGGAGGCTCAGGCCTGGAGCTATGTCCTGGAGAAGTCGTATCCGCCATATTCCCATCCCCGAGAGTGTTGCCAGACAACCTGTTCAGGGCTGCTTACTTAATTGTGCGGGGGTACGCCGGAACGTTCATCCGAGTTGTTCATTGGCTTGAGGCGGTGTACTAACTTGCTCAGGCCAACAACGAGCTTGTTTTCAGATGAAATTTGTTTTGTTACTTCTACCTTCGATGCAATTTTGTCCACTCAAGACTCTAGTGTCAAGTGTGATAACCCGCAGTCGGATTCTGAGAGGAGAGGCCTCCTAAATTTTTCAAATTCGAAGTCCCCTCTTCAATCCTACAACCATGACTATGGCGGTCGGATTCTTGTCGCTTCCTACAGAGCTCATATGTCACATTCTAATCCTTCTTAACCCCAGGGACATTAGTCGCTGTGCAATGGTTCGCTTTTCCCCGTAGTTCCACAATTTTCTCCAGGGCTAATGTCTGATCATGCTAGACATGCAATATCTTGTGGCTTGTGGTCCGGAATTCTGTCTACATTCAATACAAGCTTGAAATTTATGCTCAGGGCTTGACTAGTACTGGGGCCGCTACCATGAATTCGACCGGCGTTTCCAAAAAGACTCTGTGTTCGCTCAAGAAATTAGCATCTTTGTGGCAATCCGACTTCCATGCGTCCACTACCTTTGAAACAGTGGTCACTACTGTTGCCACATGGGAACGCATGTTACCGGCGATCCAAGATGTGAAATGTGGGCTTTGGTGGTCACACTCGCTGGACGAAGACAAATTCTACATTCAGGGTTGTGGCACGAATCCTACACTCTCCCGGACGTGGTCTATCGGTGATGTCGAGGGCTTTTTTACCTTCGACCCTCTGCAGGATCTTATGGTTGTGCGTTCTGAGCCTGATGATGTTGTCACTGTGACCGATGCAAAACAAGATTACCATGTCTGTTGGGTGGAGTTCCTACTGGCTTCATCCCAGTGTCCACATCCAAGTGCTGCGTGCACTTCCTTGGAGTGCAAGCACACCTTTGACTCGGATGCACCTGGCTATTACCGTGCTATTTTGTCACCGCCTGTAATCTGCGGTGATCACGTATTTATCCTCTATCACATAGAGGACACGGGTGATCGCCGCCATCCTAAGCCTGTGTCCGGCATGTTCATACAAGTGATCGATTGGAGGAAGGGATATGTGAATAGGGTGAGTTCCCTCTGTTTGTGAAAATTCTGCTACTCAGCATAAGCAGCATTTTTTATGTCAACTGCATCTCTGCGAGTTAGATCTCTTCTATCCAGTGGATGAACAGAAGTTTGTCATCATTGGCCCAGAATCGATATACTTGTACACGTTACAAGGGCTCGATGGGCCGCCTCAGTGCCGAATCATATATCACCTTCCCAAGATCCTCCATCTATCATTAAACGACTCGGAAATCATTGTTCATGGCCACCCGTCACTGCATGGCAAAGCAGCACACCCAGGACTCATGCCGAGCTATGTGCCCTCCCTGGAGTCGCAGATTATGGTTTTAGAGTTTCTTTCCGAAGCGGGGGATGCCATCCTAGTCATCGATATGGCCATCTTCTCTGACACGGCCCTGCGCTCAGATATGCTCGTCGAGATTCCCTGGTCATATTGGGGACCTCAGTATGCGTACTACTTTCCGCACCACGAAAGCTACGATATTAGCGTGTTTGGCAGCAAAATGGCCTATGCTCTTCCCCAAGATCATATTCGTGATCCTGGTCAAACACTGGAAGGGCTCTCCAGTGAGGGTTACTTCTATGTGCATATCTGGGACTTCAATAAGCGAGTCATTCCTCGTTCGGAAAGTGTCAACGATCCTGACTCACCGGATCTTCGCATTTGCAAGCCGGGTCAGATGATTGACTCCTTTGGTGAAGACATCTTCTCGAATCGTGCATACATCGCAATGGTCTGTCGTACGCCATTTCCGACAGCTGGCTCCAGTATATTCTTGGAACAGTATCGGCTTACTGTGACACGGGTACGCGTTCTTTGTTTGAACACAGGAACGGTCTGATGTGACCACATTGTAGGCTCGGCATCGTGAGATTAGTATCCAGGTCATTTCCCCCATCCAGACAGACGTTGGCCTGGACATTACAGAATAGACAGTTTGGAGTAAAACAGGTGGGACTCAGCGACGCCTGACCAGTTGGGGAACCAGGACACATTACTGGATGACGACGAAGGATATTGCAGTGCTTCTATGCCACCGGCTTCCATCTACATCACGCTATGGCTCATCATGCTGTGGGCATGGGTGAGAGTATCAGCAGGAAAATGCTTAGATATAGTAGCAACGCAACCTGCATGACGCTCAATATGAGATAGCTGAAAGCAATAACATTGGTACTTGCGCTAGTATTATGACTTACTCCAAACAGCTGTCCGAACACCCTGGGACCTCCTCATTGTGATCTACTTGCATACATCCATGGCCATATACCGACGATTCGATTTTTTCGCAGTGTAGATAACAGGAGCAGAATTACATACTTCTATAGTTCTCACGACTGCAATGTCACGGACTCATTTGAATTCACTCTTCGGAACTGACTGCTTGGTATCCTATACACATCCGAGTCATATTCAAGAACGGTAACAATATGGAGGATTCAGTGTTCACGAGAGACTGTACTAGGCTAAGTGCGGCGGTTATGGTTACTTCTTCCAGCATACGAATGGAAATTCGGGTGGCAGTTTCGCTCAGTGGCCGGGCCATATCCATGATGGAGTATACCGCTCCCCTTGACACCACCGAGGATGAGAAACAACCACGTGTATACCTGTGACCGCTGAGCGCTGAGGACCCCAACTGCTCAAATACAAGATTCTTTTATTATGTCCTTTCCTCTAGTTCTATGTTGATATGAAGCTCATATATGTTCTTTTCTTGCAGAATTGCTATCGACTTCGATGACCGGACATCGTGCCTTTCGAGGTTACAAGTGCGTATATGGTTTTTTCTTGAAGTATACCGTGACAAATGGAGTGATAAAGGGAGACTCAGGCCCGCCGTTATCATGAGACTAATCATGGAGAATCCTACTCCCCTTAGAACCACCAAGGGCGAGGCGATTCCGATATGGGAAACAACTACTAGTATATACCTCTGATTTCCGGGATCCTAACTCGAATACAGGCATATCTTTTCCTCCGTTTTATATGCTGGTGCGGAGTTGATTTCTTTCCGCAGAGATCAATGACGCAAAATATCCACCGACTTCGACAGCAGTATAGTGGGTACTCACGAAGTGGCCGTACGGGCATAAAAAGTAACCATTGAAAGGTCAATCGTTAATCATGAACATGGCATCACTTCTCAAAGTTCCATTTATTCTCTTGTCTGCTATCACGCAGCACGTATCGTTTACACCTCCGAACATCGCCTCGAGTGAAGAGACTATTCCCCAAACGTTCAATGAGCGGGTGTTCACTCGGTTTATTATGCACGGGTTTCCTATTATGAAAGTGAGTGTTGTTACTGCTTGTCCACGACTATTTCTATACAACGATACGCTAGACAGCCTACTGGATTGTTTCTGTCGCAGAGCTCGTTATCATTGCCTCTCAGACAGCAGACTCTTTGTCCGTTATACAAGCCATCGCACAACACGCGGCCGGTCACGGGATTCGTGACACGCCCATCACTTTCCCTTTCATCTTGGGCACCACACTTGCTGTCGCAGGGGGTCTCGTCCGTTGGTGGTGTTATCGCACCCTCGGTCGCTTTTTCACATTCGAACTCAGTGTTCGCAAAGGCCATCATATTGTCACGACCGGACCATACGCTGTCATACGCCATCCAGCATACACAGCGGGTATTATGCAGATGATTGGGATAGTGATGCTACACGGATCGCCCACTTCGTGGCTTAGACACTCCGGAGTTCTAGATATTCCTGGACTCAAATTGGCTGTGGTGTCATGGCTTGCGGGGATCACGCTTCTTGTGATCAACATCGTGTTTAGGGTCAGCGAAGAGGATGAAGCACTGAAATCGGCTTTCAGAGACGAGTGGGCGAGGTGGGCGAAGGTGGTCAGGTACCGACTGATACCTGGCATCTACTGAACCCATTGCACTCGACATATTGGTGTTTTGCGATGGTTACAACTATTCCCCGTTCAATCTTAGATGACCCGCTCATATGAAAAGACCGTCTCTCCCTTTCCTCGTCCAAAGTTAGAGGGGATTCATTTCAAAGTTTCATTCTACAATAGCGTTCAGTTTCTTTTTTAGTTGACGGTGACACTGGTAACTAGTTTAGACTGTAGTGCAATGGACTTTGTACAAATTTTGTATTAGTCTTTTTTCTACTTTCTCTTTGTAATCTGATATGCTCCTAGGCTAACCTCGTATTTCATATAAGGCCAACGAGAGGAGGTTCTGGATAATGTTTTTGGGCAATACATCGCCCAGACTGAGAGAATCGCAACGAGGACTCTCGCTATTGCACCTCCCTGTGCCTAATTCAGACTCGGGCTCAAATACTAACCGAGCGTCAGTGTCGAGCGCAGACAGCAATGGTTTGCATCGTAATATCCAGTACTTTATATTGCATTTACACCGGTCATACGGACTCGGTGCTTTGTACATGTATATGAATTGCAGCAATCAAAAGTTATAATTCCTCATAAGTGATGACCTCGGTACTCTCTTCATCACTCTTGACCGGCTGCATCTCTTCGTCACCTTCGTTCGACTGGTCATGGTTCGTAACCTGGCGCGCAGACTCTTCGCCGACTCCTGCGAAGTATGTTGACCGATCATGATCGGTTCCGAGCTCAACCGGTGAGAACAATGTTCCTTGAAGTCGATTACCATGCGGGTGCCAATTACGGTCTCAACAAGCATGATGAACGGATAGATATATTTGCGTGTAGGGCCTGATTGCGTGCAGGGATCGATGATAACACGTCAAAAATGACCCAATAAAAATCTCACAGCTGCATTCCGCCACAGGCTCATGACGATAACGCACATCGCCAGGGTTCCAGATAGATCAATTATCAACCGGTGATTGGGAACGTACGAAAAAAAGATGATGCTAACATGAAGAAATAAGAATGCTGTCTCGCACGAGTATGCTCATGAATTTACGCGCAAGCTGGAGGTACCAGGGGTGGCCTTCCTTTCTCTCATATTATTGAGAGAAACTCTACTAGTAATGGCCAAGAAGAAGAGCAATAGCTCGAAGCAAAAGGCGGGTATGAACAAATAGGTGAAATCTGTGTTGATCCCGAAGAAGGTGCACAGGTGCTTCCCAGGAAAGCTTGAAGACTCATCGGTGACTGGTGATGTTTAGTGAACAAGTGTGGCTCCACGTCTCTCTGCAGCACGTACCAACCAATTGGCTTGCTGGACCAATGATTCTCCAGATGATTACAATGACAGTCAGGACCTCGCTGAAGAGTCCGCCGGTACATAGCATATATTCGGAGTTGCATGATGCCTGTGTGGGTGGTGTTAATGTCGAATTGTATATGCACAAATATGATTTACACTGAGTAAGCCACGAACAAAAGTTGTAACAACCATAGTTTCCTTCTTGAGCAGGTTGTTGTGTCGTCGTCTATACCCGAAGCGGAGGCTGTGGCGTCGAATTTGGTTGTGCCGCAGGTGGAGTTGCGGCTGAGGACGACTGACCGGTTGGCTTTCACAATAGATGCGCGCTACGTGAACCTTCTGGAGATTTGGTTATGCATATGGCGGAATAAAAAGCACCTCACACACCACCTACCTGTTGTTGTTCTCTCCCAGCAGAGACTGTTGCGGGCTTGTGTTCCACGCGAAGAAACTGCGCTGGGGCGTTGTTGCGTCGAAATGATCTCGATTGCTGCAGGGTGAGGGAACGCGAAAGTTCTAGGAGCAGTTAGCTGAGGACGGGTGGGAACGCCCGGAAAGATGACAAAGTACAGACAGCGCTGAAGGATTATAATATATTATTATGACTGGGAGGCTACTTATCGTTGACATTTGTGCCCTTTGCAAGACAAGGCACGAAGTTTACCTGGAACGTCGCTGCTACACGGATCTCCTCGATCAATCGATTACCACTACCCACAAGCCTTTGGACATAACTTCGAGCTGTGATAGTTGTGTCAGCAATATTGGGGAGGAAGACCTAGTCGAATATGGCAATGCAGGGTACTTGGGGTCGAGTCACGGTTTCCTGCTGTAATGGTATGGCTAAGTATTGAGGTATGGCTAACACGTACTGAAGGCTCAGGAGCTATGTCCTGGAGAAGTGTCGTATCTGCGAGGTGTCTCCCATCCCGAGAGTGACTGGTTGCTTACTTAATTGCGCGGGAGTACGGAATTGTGCTTGATGGAATTCTGTGCCTTGAGTTATCAAGTGTACTAACTCACTACTCAGGTTAGTTCGCCTGTTTTCAGACGAAATTTATTTTGTTGCTCCTACCTTCCATGTTGTCCTCCTAAGGCTTTAGTCACTAGTGTTAGTGGCGTGATGGCCCGGGATTCCGAGAGGAGAGGCCTCCTAAATTTTTCAAATTCGAAGTGCTCTCTTCAATCCTACAACCATGACTATGGCGGTCGGATTCTTGTCGCTTCCTACAGAGCTTATATGTCACATTCTAATCCTTCTTCACCCCAGGGATATTAGTCGGTGTGCAATGGTTTGCTTTTCCCCGTAATTCCACGATTTCCTCCATGACTAATGTTCGATTATACTACTAGACCTGCAATATCTTTTGGCTTGCGGTCCGGAATTCTGTCTACATTCAATACAAGCTTGAAATCTATGCTCAAGGCCTGATTAGTACCGGGACTGCTACCATGAATTCGACCAGCGTTTTCAGAAAGAGACTGTGTTCGCTCAAGAAATTAGCATCTTTGTGGCGATCTGACTTCCATGCGACCACTACCTTTGAAACAGTGGTCACTACCGCTGCCACATATCTCCCAGTGTCATGGGAACACATGTTACCGATCCAAAATGTGAAATGTGGGCTTTGGTGGTCAGACTCACGGGAAGAAGACGAATTCTACATTCAGGGTTGTGGCACGAATTCTACACTCTCCCAGACATGGCCTATCGGTGACGCCAAGGGCTTTTTTACCTTCGACCCTCTGCAGGATCTTATGGTTGTGTGTTCTGAGCCTGATGATGATGTCACTGTGACCGATGCAAAACAAGATTACCATGTCTGTTGGGTGGAGTTCCGACTGGCCTCATCCCAGCGTCGGCATCCGAGTGCTGTATGCACTTCCTTGGAGTGCAAACATACCTTTGATGCGCCTGGCTATTACTTTGCTGCTATATCACCACCCGTAATCTGCGGTGATCACGTATTTATCCTCTATCACATAGAGGACACGCGTGGCTGCCATCCTGAGCCTGTGCCCGGCATGCTCATACAAGTAATCAATTGGAGGAAGGGATATGTGAATAGGGTGAGTTCCCTCTGTTTGTGAAAATTCTGCTACTCAGCATAAGCAGCATTATTTATGTCAACTGGATTTCTGCGAGTTAGATCTTTTCTATCCAGTTGATGAACAGAAGTTTGTCATCATTGGCCCAGAATCGATATACTTGTACACGTTACAAGGGCCCAATGGGCCGCCTCAGTGCCGAATCATATATCACCTTCCCAAGATCCTCCATCTATCATTATGCGACTCGAAAATCTTTGTTCATGGCCACCCGTCACTGCATGGCAAAGCAGCACACCCAGGACTCATGCCGAGCTATGTACCCTCCCTGGAGTCGCAGATTATGGTTGTAGAGTTTCTTCCCGAAGAGGAGAAAGACGCTATCCTAGTCATCGATATGACCATCTTCTCTGACATGGCCCTGCGCTCAGATATGCTCGTCGAGATTCCCTGGTCATATTGGGGACCTCAGTATGCGTGCTACTTTCCGCACCACGAAAGCTACCACATCAGCGTGTTTGGCAGCAAAATGGCCTATGCTCTTCCCCAAGATCGTATTCCTGATCCTGACCAAACACTGGAAGGGCTCTCCAGTGAGGGTTACATATATATACATATCTGGGACTTCAATAAACGAGTCATTGCTCGTTCGGAAAGTGTCGACGATCCCGACTCACCAGATTTTCGCATTTGCAAGCCGGGTCAGATCATTGACTCCTTTGGTGAAGACATCGTCTCGAATCGTGCATACATAGCGACGGTCTGTCGTACGCCATTTCCGGCAGCTGGCTCCAGTATATTCTTGGAACAGGATCGGCTTACTGTGACACGGGTACGTGCTCTTCGTTTGAACACAGGAACGGTCTGATGTGACCACATTATAGGCTCGGGGTCATGAGGTTGATATCCAGGTCATTTGCCCCAGACAGACAGACGTTGGCCCGGACATCACAGAATAGATAGTTTGGTTGCCCAGCGTCATGCTTGTATCATGTTTGTATTGGAAAGTGAGTAAGATAGGTAGGACTTAGCGACGCCGATGTAGTTTTACGAGCAATGTGTTTTAATGACAAGCAAAATATCGAGGTTGCTTTTGCAGTTCACAGACGAAGTCTATATATTTACATTGGGGTTATATGCGAATGCCATGGCATCGAGGTCTGTCACTCTGTCCGATACATAATCGAGCTGAGAGAAATATTCTCGAGTACTGATGACCAATCGAGGAACCAGGACACATTGTTGGATGGTGACGAAGAATGTTGCAATGCTCCTATACCACCGGCTCCCGTCGGTACCACCCTGTTGTTCATGAATTATGCTGTGGTCATTGGTAGAAGTATCGACAGGACGATGCTTACATTTGCAGATATAGTAGCAACCTGCATGACGCTCAATATGAGATAGCTGAAAGTAATGGTAAGAATGTTTGAAAGGTAAGAAAACGCATTCACTCACCACGAAAAATGCAGTACATGGTCCCTAAGGATGGCAATAATGTCGCCATGACCATCACCAAATCTATCGTCTGAACGTGTTCTCTGCATCTCGCGGACATACTCCACGAGGACCCGTACGGTAAGGAGGAGAAATAGAAGCTCGATGCATAGACTTGGAATGCCCTCAAAAAAGGGCACCATGGAGGCCATGCACGTAGTGCAGACTCCCGACTCGGAAAGCACGCATTCTTCAGCTGAACATCAACGATTCATGAGCGAGTAACCGTCACAAAATTGGCTGACTTGCATGCTAAGCCATCCGTTACTCCTCGGAAAGCACTAGCGACCAGAAAGCAGATAATAAGGAATATCCTCATCCGCATGGATCGGTGATACATGGCAAAAACACGGATTGACATGATCGCTACGATTGTTTTTGAAACATCAATAATAGTCCACATTCATTTGATCACATCATGGAACGGACCATACATCGTACACGCGAGGGCGACCATTCCCCATGACCATGATTTGCCAACAATGCCACCTATCAGGAGTTAAAGGGATTGCCGCACATGTGTAGCTCATCGACTCACGCCTAGAACTGACATTAGCAAATGGACTGCAGCAAGTTAGTAGCTGGTGAAACGTACTTCTGTGCGTAACCAGTCAGTAAAGACGTATCTCTGCAAGTAACTTAAGAGGCTTCACCGTATCACTCAACAAGATGCCTGGCCCCCCTACTACAAATCGAAACAAAAAACGAGTTGGTTTGAAAGCAGAATTCCACAAAAAGATACGTACATATCTGAATTCTGAAACCCGTTCTCAGTCAGCAGATCCCCGTCCTCTATTTAAAACTTACATCGCAATTGCAAGACCCAAGTAACGTGCCTAAACAATATTGTCAGGCCACATAGTGCGATGTTTTCAGAGGGCAACTTACAATGATATATAGAACTGTCGTTAGCCTCCAACGTTGGCACTACGGAGTGTTAGTATAAGTCAGACGATAAGTACATTGGTTTGAATTCCTCGCCCATATCAGCTCTACCTATTGGGAACGAAGCAGTCAAAAGGTGGAAATAACAGCTTTAGAAAGATCGTATAACATACTTCACGAGTGAAAACGAGGCCTGACAGAGACCACATTTAAGCATGCTTGCACCAACTTGTGATATAACTGGTCAGATACCATAGTCGTAGAAGATGATCGTTGTAGAAGCCACTATGCGCGAATCAACTCTAAGAACCTGAACAAAGGAGGCCAGCTGAAACCCACCACTAAGTCTAAAGTGAAGGTCATCACATCCGGTAGCTGGCCAAAAGCTTGGTGAGCCGGATGTGAAGCTCATATCCCGCGTGTAGGTCAGAACGAAAGAGCGATGCTGTAGAAGTCGACCCATGCCACCTTACTTCCGCTATTCCCATATTGGCTTGCCAGTCGTTGACCAATCAACCAATCCATCAATCCATCATGATCGTAAGTTAGTTAAGTCTCACTGTCGTGTGCTTAACTGTCACGCCAAAAGGCAGTGATACTGAAAGCTTGTGTTTTAGTATCTCGGACAGAGATTACGGGAACTCTAGTAAGCCAGCGTGCTTACATCCATAGAGACTAATTTTGCAATCTGATGTGATTATTTCGAACAAACTCAATAGCGATCCTTTAAATCCATCGGCACCGGTGCAACGCGATTAATAGCGGGTTGTCTTCTCGCTCCACTTTATGAGCATGGAAACCAAAATAGTATGAGTATTAATTTACCGTGATCATGGGCAGTATACGCATTGTACCGTCTCGGATAGGTCGTTATCAACTCCTTTCTGTCACTTAGTGGCCAGGACTTGGCCTCCAGTTATAGTAATTCAGTCAAAGTGTCAAAGACCCTCCGATACGTGATGTTAGCAAATGTCGTCAAGGCGCGTGTGTGGCATTAATTAATGGTTGCAGCAGGAAGAATCGTGGTGGGTATCAATGCAATATCAGGGGGGAGGATGATATGCGTAAGGAAGGGTCGCGGGAGAAACGAGTTCGTGTCCAAAAGTTCTCATCTCCCTCACAACTAGACCTGAAGGAATAATCAGAAAGATTGAGCGTGTGAAAAGGACGGCACATACTAAGCTAAGCTCGAGGGTCCATACTCGCCTTGCCCATAGCTTCACAGGAATAGGTGGCTCTCCTGGCACAGCTAGATCGACCTCAAGGCCGTCCCACCAGCACTTGCGCTAGGATGACCAACGCGTGAACGACTGTCCCACGCATATGTGGAGCAAACTTACCGCTGGTTTTCTCCAGAACAATAACAACTTCTGTGCTGTAGCCATTTGATTGTAGTCGATAGTGACCGGGCGCTCGCTGTTTTGTCCTGGAGGATGATGTACGATGCCCGTCTTGAGTAATACAAGAGCGATTGAAGAAATACAACACCGCGAGGGCTCCATGGCACGGAAACCCCATTCGTCGTCTCGGTTAAATCCACTATGGACGCTGTCAGTCACACCACAGATAGCCACCAGCAGTCTTACCTCATGCACAACATATCAATAAGATGTTGTTCAGCAATATTGTTCTCCTTGTGAACGTTTCGTTGAAGCGCAGTAAAGATATTACGCTTTTCCATGACATTTTGTCCACACTTGTGCTTGATATCAAGAAGCGCCTGGTTGGCGGTGCCATGTTCATCAGTCAGAGCCTTTCCTTCTTTTGGCGGTATAGCAAAGTATTCCAGTTCCTCGCGAAGCACGATGATAGCCTGCTTGGTAAGGAGTGGATTCTGTGATACAGAGGGACCAAAATCTGAAGGTGACCCGTCAAGCAGATGCTGCTGTGCCGCGAACAAACCAGGCGAAGTATTGGTCCCATAGAACGTGTCTGATGCGTTTCTGAAGAAATCAAGCACGTATGCAAAGCATTCTGGGTCGAACTGCGGCGCGTCAGCAAACCTGAACCACGTGAATTGTTCAGTAGCCGCTTACATCGACGCCGTACACCTCGTCGTCTTCTTCATTGTCCCCGCCATCTGAGAATGCTTGGCTCTGACGACTCAGAACAAGCCCGTTTGGAAAGAGACACAGAAGAACCGATTCGGGGAGATTCATGATGGTTTCTCTGTCAACCGAGAAACGTCTGCCTCGGAGGTCGAGGAGCAGCCTAGTAAGTAACTGAGGCTGAAGGCTGGTATTCACGGGCGCATGCTGGGATACCTGTGTGATTGGTGAGGAGGATATCGATACTGCTGCCATGATGGTCAACAGTGATGATGAGGGAAATGTTGTGAAGACTGCTCAGGGATTCTGAACATCAACTTTCCCCAGCGCCTCAAGGCTACCACGACCTCCCTTGTTTGTGCAAACCAAATACATCCACAATAACCCTGGGCAAGCTGGGCTGCACATTGTATTCAAGACTCGGCCTTTTTTTTTTTGCTTTTTTGCTACAAGAGGTCCTCTAGTATCTAAAAGGAGTGGACGATGCATGTAACAAATCTGAACGATAGCTTATGCATCCAAGTTGAAATATTACAGAGATATTGCGTTTCGTGATACTGTCCAGATCAACTGCGCATGTTAAGATAAAGTCAAGGAAAGACCGGAAGAATGAAAGGGTCGTAAGGTATCACCATAAAACACGTGTAGTCCAAAGAGAGCAAACGAAGAGCATCCTTAAATTCACTGGCCAGCCAAAAGTTTGGAACCTGATCTCGAAGAATGTCACATGAAATCAAAAATAGAATGTATCTTTAATATCCGCTTCCATACCCTCCTGGATGTGGAGGCGCTGCTCCAGGTGGCAGATTAAACGTTGACGTACGAGAGTATCGGTTCTGAGGCGCCTGTGATGTGGACCGACGGACTGCTGGTCTTGCTACCCTACGGACACCCTCGGGCCCAGGAACAGGTCCATTGTCAGACAAGCTGACCCCACGGCCCCCTTGTTGATATTTGCTGGGCACAGGTGGCGGTGACATCTCTTCTGGTTCGGCACTATAGCCACCATACTGGTCATCATACGTAGCCACATGTGGTTCAGAGCGGAATGGGTTCTGGGTCTCTCCAGGGTATTGGCTGGATATGGTCTGATTGCGAAGAACACCCCCTGCCCGGGCAACGTGAGCATCAAACTGGGGGTACCGCGGCGTCGGAGATTCAGTATACGAGTCGACGTATTGGTCTTGCTGGGAAGAAACAAGTCGTTGATTAGAGGTGGAGCCGCCGTCTGAATAAACAACATCCTCGCTAGAGCGCGACATAGCGGCTGACGAGGTTGGTGTTACAGAGGTGGGATTCTTACTGACGGAAAGTGGTGTGGGGAGTGTAAGAAGACCGTTACTGTCGTGTCTCGACCGAGTACCAGATACGTATGGCACACTGGGCGCAGACTCTGTCGTCGATGAGTCAACACCATTATGATTAACATCAGAGTTTGATGCCATCGAGTACCGATTGTTGCTGAAATAGAAGTCAGCGATAAGAAACGGAGCACGCCACCAATCACAGCACTCACACAGTTGAATCACGAGATTGCACCCCATTCTTCCACCGCCTATCACGCTCGAACTCAGCCCAGCGCTTCATGACGATATGCGAAGAGTCGAATTCTCCCTCCTTATCACCATGGTTGCCACCCTTATCACCTGCAACTTGCCGCGTCTGACCCCATGAGAAGTCATCAAAGTGCCAGAACGCATAGGCAGGGAGGAGACCGTTCCATATGGGCAACGAAATTAAATACACGATCATCCATCCGACATAAGCGACCTTGCGTGACGTTACGACAATGAGGAGACCGGGTAAACCGAGGACGATAGCAAGCAGTACGAGAGGGATGGTAGTGTTGGCACCGCCGGGGATGATAGAGATGATGATGAGGTAGAGAGTGAAACTAATAGCGGCGGGCAGGACGAGCGTTCCCATAAGCTCCATACCCACGACGAACTGCATCGAGAAACAGAACGTTCCGCAAAGATCACGGACAAGAACGAGCTCAAACAGATTATGGATCGTTGAATTAATCCACCGACGACGTTGGGAGAGCAGAACGCGGAAGGTGTCAGGGACGATGGTCTTGCAGACGGCCTGGGGACAGAACATGTTCTTGCGCCGCGGGAATGTCTTGAGCAGGAGGGTTGTGAGGTATCGATCTTCTCCGAGGAGTAACAGGTTCTTCTTGTGCAAAGTGTCAACAACGTTCTCTGAGTACCGTTCCACGATGTCAGGGTTTGCCAAGACAGGAACCCAGTACCCAGTGTCACCCTTGGGAGCCTTGATCCGGTACATACTGAAACAACCGGGCAAACATGTAACACCACCGAACATGGCTTCGAACGCCTTAGTCATGTGATGTGAGATGTAGTACTCGAAGACTGCGAGGCAAAAATTAGGGTTAGGTTTCTACAGACACCAACAAACGAATCGTACCCTGCATCATTGTCACGAAATTATCCGCTTTATTTGCAATCTTTGTCTCTCCGCACAGACCCATAATCTCAACGTCCACAACCATGCATGACACCATGCGAGTCAACGAATCCGGGAACACCTTGGTATCCGCATCAACGCAAAGCACAAGTTCATATCGATCTGGGCTGACACCCGTCACGCGCCAGATGGAGTTGAAGAACTCATATTCAAACGTCGTCATCCGCTCGTCAAACATGACCTTCTGCAAGAAGGCCATCAGCACGATCTGCGAGTCACGCTTGCCTCTGTTTCCAGGCTTCGCATCGTTTGTCTCCAGCGGGTTGCCAACCTTGGCAACGACAACCATCGGAACGCGCTGCTGCTTCGACACCTCAACCGAGGCATTATCGTAGTCGTAGAAACCGGCGTAGACCTTTGCCATGTTATGACGCTTGTGCCCATCTGCAATGGCAACATAAGAGTGTGGCTCGACCTCATGCGGTGAGATGGCGAAGTCTTTCATCATTGAAAGACAAATCTCCGGCGTCGTCATTGAGTTACCAGCACCTTTGACCATACCATCCGCGATGACCAGGATGAGCTTGTGGCTGTTAGGGTAATCTGTCGTGGCGAGGGAGTCGAGCGTTGTACGAAGACCCTCGACGGACTCTGAGTATGCCGTGACCAGGCAGATAGTGTACGCGAGGGGAAAGTTGAACGGTTCGAAATCGGGGGGAGGCTGTGGCACAACATTCTGCAGAGGGAACGGACAGGGTGTGTCAAGGAACGCGGAGCGAGGAGAGATATTGCGAGACGATATATCACCAAACGACATGGTGCTTCTTGATTGACGGTATGGTGTGTCAGGGGGACTGACTTTAGAAGCTTTGGTGGAATATGTAGTGTTCCACTTGTAGGGATCTCCCATTCCGTAATTTGTGGTAGGTCGAGGAGAGGCGCCCTTAGGCATATTTTCCTGTGGTGTGAAGCGAGAGGTGGACGGAAAGAATCCTTTCTTCCCGACCTTCCCATTTCGTAACCCATTCTTGCTCACATTGGGACGATATTCGCTCGGTGCAGGTCGGTAGATATCGTTCGACCAGTCCTCAATCTGGGCGGAGCGCTGCATACGTTGCTCATATGTCTCCCGCGGGAAATTACCGAGCTTCCATGAGAAAAACCATGCGAACATGACGGCCATGACAAAGCGAATAGCGACGACTCCGATGATGAACACGAGGGACAGATAGAGGACGACTTCAGAGGCAACGCAACCGATTGAATTGGTATCAATAAACCCGACCGTGATCACGTCCTCCAGACACTTGCCGACCTGGCGCTGGTTTGATCGCATGAACATCATAGAAAGGTCTTTTCCATTATATGTTCCATCTGCATTCTTCATCTCATCGAAAAGAGCAGGGTACTGCACCTCAGCAGTGCTGAGCCACTGTAGAAGATCTAGGTCGAGAACGTTGCTAGAAAAATGATCAAACTGAGAAAACATCAACTACGTAGAAACTCACGACTCGAAGACGGCCAAATTACGATCGGAAGCTGCGACATCATCCCATGTGTAGTAGACCTGCCCCTGAGGCTTCATCGCAGCTAGCCCCTGCCTTGCTGTAGAAGATACATGACAGTTCGTCGAATCCCCATATCCGGATACATTCTGTGCGTTTGACTGTGGATCGAACACATTACAGGGGAAGTACCAGTCCAACATTTGTCCACTGCCCGTGATACTGGAACCGTTCGCCTTCGTGATGATGCCCAAGCAGTTATCATTGGTGATCTGAAACAAGAAGCTTGCAGTCGTTACTGGCTAGGTTCCACCCGCCAGTCAGCAGCGGGTTTGTTGATCCGTTGAACGGCCCCACGGCTGGATGCTTGAAGTTGGAAAAGTCATAGTCATAGCCATGGATGATCACCGAGTTGTTCTGAATCTGGCCCTGGTGGAATCGATTTGGAGGAATGCCGCAAACAGTTTCTGTGAAGCCGAATGTAACGAAACCGACACCAGCCATCTCTATCAAGATGATGCTTATTAGACCTATTTTCTCGCGCCATGCACGTTGCGCATCTGGCGTGCGGATACCTGACATAAAATGAGCAATCTTGCAACGAAACCATACAAAAATGCCTACCGCATGTCCGGAGAATGAAGTGAGGGATCCAACAGGTAATGATGTAACAGTAAATAAACCATGCATCCTTGGGCCCCGGCCCGATGCTGTCAAGACATTTGCGTGACTGGCGGTCAGGTACTGTTAGTGGCGCGGCAGACTGAGTGGATGCTGGGCGCTTGCGCCGAAGGGTTGCACTCCGTTTAAAGAGAGCAAGTCCTGACTCCTGCACGTCCTCTTCACGTCCAAGAAAAGATTTTCCTCTGCGGAGCACTGCTTTCTGCGGATAATTACCAGTACCTAAAATAATGAGTTAGACGACATGCTACCAGGGCAGACATACGTACTTGACGGTTGAACGCCTACTCTACCAGTCCCCTCATTCTGCATCTGTGCTGCATGAGTGCGATAGTGCCATTGCCTGTGGCCAGGTTCGATCTTCTCCCTGTCTGGTCGGACCAAACTCTTCTTCCGCCCCACTCGTGCAGGATCGAGGTGATCTGCTCCTGCAGAGTCGAACAGTAGGTGAAAGTTGGTTTTCGTATGCAGAGGGCAGTGTACGCTGGCGTTGCTGATCCAGGGCACTCTGCCTATCACCACGCTCAGTAGTTTGGAAAGAGATATTTGGTGTCCTGCCCTCTTGAAACTGGTTGAAGGCTGGCCGCTGCTGCGAGTAGGCGCTCGCAGGTGACGGCGAAGATGAATGGCTATAGCCAGAATACTGCTGTTGTGGGTAGACGGGAGGAGTCTGCGGGGGTGATGGGTGATGATGTTGGTGGTAGGCAGACCGTGGATGTCTTTGATCACGATAATCCATTGTTTTATGGTCAATGAAGGTTTGAGATCACCCTGACGTGCTCGCTGTCGTAGACGTCAGTAGCGCTGCTTGTGATAGTGAGGAGAAAAGAGCGGCGGATTCGATTGAATGGAATGGGAAACTGCCCCGTGTAGTGGCGCAAGGCAAAAGGCCTCTCAATACGTCGTTTTTTGCCACGAGCAAGGTCAAAACAATGACTATTTTCGGACACACGTTGATTTCTTTGTACAAAAATCTTTGTGTTTCCATTTCTCTCGTCATACCTACCGCTCATAAGAAAACTGAATGATATAACAACAGCATATATATACTGGTCAAGCTGGGGACGACTCTACAGTACTTGTGAAGAATTTTGGCCCATAATTAACCATAGTACATCGTTTAGCCAATCATTGGCATGCTATCATTGCTATGCTCTCAGCAACACGGGATCCCGGCCACAATCAATGTGTACGGTAGCAGAACGCAGCACTTATTTCTATCCACACATTCTCACATATTCTCGTGAGAAGTAGCGCTCAACTAACGTATAATGCTATCAGACACGGCGCCATCGCAACACACAAGGTACGGTAGCGCAACGACCCTTGCCATATTCGACTCAAGACTCATCTCTGAGACTATCTCGATTCTCGAAGCTTGCGGCGTCCCCTTCAAGCATAACCAACACGTCTCTCCTGCCACCAACTATATTGGCTGTAGTTAATGATGTCTCTCCTGCTGCAACATGGCATCGTGCGTGAAAATGCGACCGGGTCCGAAGAATGGACGGTGCCGGCGAGTGTTTGCATTTTGTTATTTATAGGATCGTCACTTCCACGCCATACTACCAGGAACCTTTGTGCCCTTCGCTAGCTGAAGCAAGTGGTTCCACCGACGAATTCAAGGCCTACTATTCTTAGCTGAACGGAGAAAATCAAGGTGTCCTCTCATCCTCTCTTTTCGTGGATACTACTGGTGACTTTTCTGTCTGCAGATGTAGGATACCGAACTCGCACTGCTAGTAAGTGCAGCCCTCCTACTCCTGTTGTGTTGCTGAGGACTTGCTACCAGGAACAATATCTCGAGCACACCACCACTTGATGTCTTCGAAACGCATCTGTCTCATCAAATATGGAATAGGCGGCCTTCCTGCACTTCCTACAGGAACGACGATCAACCCCGTCAAGTCATGTGTGTTTTCCTCGTTAACAGAGCTGACCATTTACTACTATGATCAGGGCCAGATCTTCCGGAGTCTACACATCCTGTGTTGACAGCTCTTAATTTCTTACCGATACTACAACAATGTCGTATTATAATTTGAACGACCCTGCAGTGCTATCCATTTCTCCCGTCCGAACGTTATTTCCATTGATACACTTGCTAGTGGTTTGGCACGAGCTGGGAGGACATTTTGTGGATGCGATTTCAGCGGCATCGTGGCCTTGGCAGCTTGGCTTGATGAGTATTTGTCACCAGGCCCGAGCCAGGGCCCAGGGGTTTCAGGCCCCACACTGATCACTAATGCCACTGTCCCTGTTGTTACGGGGCCTGCAATAGGTACCTAGCTAATCATTAGCCAGCTGATAGCATACCGCTCTGCTCTAGACGTCAATGACCTCAAGCTTGCTGGTAGCCACCGAGAAATACGGATCGCCGCCGAACGTTGCACGTTGCACATCTGTGTGGACACTGGAGGATATAAATTCTATCCTTGTCGATATGTCCTCTAACTCGGCAGGATCGAAATTTCTGTCCGAAAATACGACCTGGACGTAAGGTCGTCAAGCTCCTTCCAAATCTGCCGGAGCCACGGATGTATGTCGTGGATGGCTCTTTCACTACTCGTCCTAGACCCCGCCTATTTGTCACAGCTAGCGGGCTAAAGTCCATCAAATGTGACATTGCGCAATCACAGATGGTAGGAAACTCAGGCCAACCTTGTTGACGAATCCCGTTTCCCCCTGCTCGTGTTCTGAATTACAAGGCTATTCAATGCTTTCCCATGGATAATGTTGTTGTAATTTGTCAGCGACTTGAGTGTGGAGTTGGAGTCCTGCAAAAGCTATGATACTACATCATTGCAGTCGGTAGGGGATGGTGGATCAAATCAGTGCCACTCGATGATTTGAAAGTCCGTAAATGCAATTATAGTGAATCCATGACTCAATAACAACGACGCGTATGACGCGCATATATGATATTAGTCACATGATATCACTCATGACATCCAAAATACTGATTTAGTGAGCAGCACCCTTTTTCATTGATTCAACTATCTAGATGTCTTCTACAGTACTGAGAACAACTCTTTCTCAGTACTCAGCGAACGATTCTATCAAATTTTGATGCCGCTATCGAGGAACTCAGAATGGCGTGCTGGTAAGTTCAAGTGCTGTATATTAAGGTTTAAAAGCTTATGTAAAGTAACTTTACATATGCGACACCTCCTGTCCCTTATTACCAAATTCACTAGCTATGTAGGTCCACGTGTGGCAGCAGGCAGCCACGGTTGTCTGTTCACTTTCTTTCACTGAGCTTTCATTTCGCACCATGGTCAAAGCTATCTTCACTGCCCCAGAGCAAGGTACCGTCGTGCAGCCTATATACCAGTACTCCGACGAGCAACAAGCCCATATAAAGGCATTACGTGAGGTATGACACTTTTCTTTCTGTCAACCGTTGCCTGAGTCGTCGTAAAAAGTATGCAGATACCCTGCTTCTGGACCCATCAGACCCGTACCATAACTGGGAGCTGCGATGGTTAAACAAGCCAGATACCATGCCTCGGTACATGCGCGCGGCAAAATGGAAACTCCCTGATGCGAAGCGTAGAATAGAGGGAACCATCAAATGGAGGAGGGAATTCCAACCAGAGCTAATCAAACCTGATGATGTATGTGCATATTCAACTCGAAGATAATATCGATACATACACAGTTGCCAAATCGCAGGTGAAGATAGAAGCCGGGACAGGGAAGATGTATGTAACTCCTTCCCCACTTCATATGAAAGAGAGCTAATCAACTGGAACACAGCATCTTAAATGGGTTCGATAAAGATGGCAGGCCCATAATCTACATGCGCCCTGGTCGCGAAAATACCGAAACCAGTCCTAGGCAGTTAAGACACCTCGTTTGGTGGTTGTACGTCCTTAGTCCCTCTCATTCAACGTCATCTCACAGGAGTACAGAGAACGTGCAAAGGATTTGATGCCCCCAGGACAAGAGTCACTGGTTATCATCGTAGATTATAAATCCACGACGCTTCGCACCAACCCTTCGATATCCGTTGCCAGTAAAGTACTTACGATCCTTCAGCAACACTACGTAGAAACTCTCGGTCGGCGCAATCGTCACCAACCTTCCAATGTTGCTTAATTTCTTCTACAAAGGCATTTCGCCATTCTTGGATCCTGTCACACGGGACAAGGTGCGCGTTATTTTGTATTTGCGTGGGAAACGTGACTTGACGGACTATAGATGAGGTTTAATCCTGATCTTCTTGAACTGATTCCAAAGTCTCAGCTGGACTCTGAATTTGGGGGTGATTTTGACTTCGAGTTCGATCACGAGACATACTGGAAAGAAATCGTCGAGTAAGTCTCTAGAGACCTTATTCATCGATCAATGATACGAGCTCTAATATCATTAGTTTCTGCGGCATTGCTGAAGACGGCACCCGCTTAGAAGGCTATTTCGACGGACCAAAGAATATTCATGGAGAACTGCCTTCACAACATTCCGAGTGAGTCTCTATCCATTAGATGTTTTGTTTTCTGAACGCTAACAGCGCGGATACTGAATCTAGTACTGCATCACCCACTTCCACCTCGTCCACCACTGCGTCTGTTACGTCCGCTAGCGAGATTGTTTCACCCGAAATGGTACCCGCTGCCCCAGAGTTAACGGAGTCATTGTAGATCACTCAGGGATATTTTTTGATGATTGTACACTATACACAGCACTGTAATTCAACATAGCAGCGCAGCGCCTATATAACATGGTCTTCGAACCCTTGCTACAGATATTCTGTGCCTTGTAATAGCATATTGTATTTATTCCATTGCTCAGCGCTCAGTTACCATGTGTCATAGTTGTTGCGTTGAAATCGTCAATATATTAGTATCTCGTAGGTCACTTGGATAAAATACAAATAACGTGTGCTATAATACTGTGACACAGAAGCTTTCGTATCGCAAGTCTTTTAACTCTGCTTTTGATACTATCAGGGGCCTCACCTGACAAGACTTCGCAAGCCATTCCATGAACTCCTTGAGTGCCAAGCAAATTTACGAACTTGAATAGCTGCCTAAATTGGCAAGATGACATAAGCCTCCGTGCTAATGCCACGAGCCACGGACACCTTCTGCCACATTCTGCCATCGCCCAAATTCCCCCGCCGCCGCACGGACGTCAGCCACAGGTTTAGCCACAGCGCATATTGACCAGCGCAATCCAACTCCAATAAATTCTGAACAAAAAAATCAGGATCATCTTAAGTTTGAAACGGCTGATCTAGTGCGGCGCACCATCCAAGATGGTTCGACAAGCAAAACAGACAGTGCGTAGTGCTCGCGGATTGAATTGTGCTTATCAGCCACCTGAATTCACTGTGGCTGAAATGTAGCCGGAACAAAAAAAAGAGTCGCAGAAGAGAAAGACGACTCAGAAGAAAAAGGTGACAGAGACTGGAGTGTGGCCATGCAAAATCGATGGTTGCAACAAGCAGTTTGCTCGGGAGGCCGATCTGAAACGGCATCAGCGAACTACCAAATTACACTCCGTGCCAGGATTGTGAGTGCTTATTCAAGCATGTATGATACGCGACGGTTCTGACGTGGCTATGCCCCTGTAGTGCATGTCCGCAATGTGATGCTACGTTTACACGAGTACGTTATTCTTTGATCACTTTCATTCATATGGTGCAATTACTAATACATGAATCTTGCAGACTGATGCATTACGGAGGCATCAGAAGTCCAGGCATGGACATATATTGAGTGTCAGCTAATTTATCTGATTGGATTTGCATACAGACACAACGGCGTAATCATCGAACCCACGGAGGTAGAGAAGAAGAAAGATAGTACCGAGCCTCGGGCATCAGGGTCTCAATCTCACAGCCGAAGTCCATCGCCGTCATCGAAAGGTGCAGAGAATTCAACCGATGGCGCTCCACCCCCTCTTGGTACTCTTGGCGGTCCGCAAGGCCCACACAGTTATTATCGCCAACACACTATGCCTGCAGGTGGTAGGTGTATTCGTTCTCGACCTAATTCACCCTCTCAATTGTGACAGCATACATGACGCCACCCCTTGGAGTAATCGTTGAAGGTCAATATCCTCCTAACGTTGGACTCCCGACATCATCGGCTCGATTACACCAGGCAACATGGCCCCCAAGCGCCTGGATTCCTGACGGGTCACAACCACCACCTATTCCGCCTATAGGTTATCCGCATCCTTCATACTATGCATACTATCGTGGAATGCCTCACCCTCCACCACCCTCTGAACTCATGGCTCATCTACAAAACGGTGTCCAGCCGCATTCTCCCTCGCCCTGTGACGACTCATCGAGCACTAGTAGTCCTACAAGGACGAGTATGCACAGTGGCGGCGACCCCTCTGCGTCGGGAACAGGGAACTTCCATGGGAATGAAGCAAGATCACCTGTCATCGACCCTTCACTAGACATCTCACCAGTGTCACCAGCTGCAAACCATAAAGTATCTTTTAAGATCAATCAACCCGCTGTAGAAGTCGTCTTGTCATCGACAGAAAGAGAGCCATCACGTGCACCGGATATGATACACTCACCCAGTCATGTGGACCCTCGATCGGTATCACACCATTCTAGCTCGGCTTCTACCGGAGGTAGCATCGAACGAAACGAAACATCAAGAGAACTCACGTCCAGTCACGATATAGAACCACCTGAACTATTTTATGCTACCCAATCGCCACCCCATACTCACACTTTCGAGCGTCCACCTGAAATGGAACACATGCTCACAGAAGATGGAGAGCCTATGCTGAATCCAGGTTCGTTTTGTTCTGTTGTGATTCGAAAGTTGATGCTTATATGTATTTGCAAAGCCGAGCTGTTGACTCAGGTGGGTAGCGCGATGACTGCTGCAGAATCTAATGTGTATGATCTGATGCTGGACCTACTGAACCAGGAATCCCTCGCATCTCCACCTCCATCTCTATAACAGTCATACTCTAGATTATTGATGTTATTCCTCGCTGTTTTTTTACATGCATTACCTTACTGTACTCACGCATACATAGCTTGTTTCCATGCATAACATTGGAGCTTTTTGTAACACTTTAGTTTTAATCATCATCGAAATCATAGATTCGAAATATCAGTTGCTACATGCTTGTGGAAAGCGAGTGATGAAGGAACATCGGTATGTGTAGTAAGGATACAACAAATATCGCTGTTGAAAGCGTGATATATGTAGGGAATTCAGAAAGTGTATATGGTAGTTCAATGCGTCTAAAGAACGGAGACCTTGGGCCACAGGTATTGGGGACCAACCTAATGGATATTCATGATTAGCGAGTGTCTTGATACCAAAAGGCATCGACTTACAAGCTGGATGTTCATGGCACCCATCTTGTGCCCAACCTCGACACACTCATCCAAGCTTTTACCAGCGACATACGCGCCGAGGAAACCACCTGCGAACGCATCACCAGCACCGTTGGTGTCGACGATCAGCCCTTTGTCGATAGCGCTGACTTTGAAGACCTTGGGGCTGTCAGGCTCAGCGGATGATACCAAGGTGGTGGACTCAGCGCCGTGCGTGAAGACCACGACACGCGGGCGAGATTTGTTCGATTTAGGGAAGGTCGCAACAGCCTTGGCGATCGCAGCGAGGTCCTTGGTGTCTGGCAGACCGTTTGCGGCTGCGTATGCCTCAGCCTCGGTCTCGTTGCCGATGATGATGTCGCAGTAGGGGAGGACGGACTGGAGCTGGGTGCCGAAGAACTGCGGAATGAAAGGCGCAGAGAAGTTCATTGCAAACACCTTGGAAGCAGCGGATGCCTTTTGGCTGAGCTCGAGCACAACGGATGTGCCGTGCGTCAGGAAGAAGCCTTCTACGTAGAAGACTTTTGCGGCGTCTACCAAAGGTGCCACGGCGGGGGAAGAGAGATGCGATTGCTCGAACTTCTCAGCTGCCCGCAGGGTCGTGACCAGGGAGCTGATATATCGATTGAGTTTGGTGCTACGAAATTTATGATGTTGACCTTACCGATCATGCCCCGTGAGGACGACGGCGCATGCGCCCGTTCTTTCACCTGGCTTGACGAGGTAGACCTCCTGCAGGCCCTCGCGCTTGTTTGCCGCCCGCAGTTGATCTGCCAGGTTGTCATCTCCCACGCAGCCAGTGTAAACCACTGAATTGGGGGGAAGAACGTACTGTGGGAGTGTCAGTATCTGAAACCTGAGGCCTGATTACAGAGCATAAAGACTTACTGCGGCTCCTCGGGCAGCGTTTTGAGAAGCACCACCAGCAACGTATGTGACCTTGTGGTTGTTCACGATCTCATCGTAGCTGTAGGCGTCGACGATGAATGTCTGATGTGGAGAGCGGTTATCGGATACTCACATGGACATGTGCTTCTCCTCCGCAAGGATGGCATCGTTGGCCTTCAGATCATACTTCTTGAGCAGCTCTTCACCGTTAGTAACCTGCACGTCGAGGAGGGGGTTACCGATGCAAAAGAGTTGGTACGTCTGAGAGGCCATGGTGGTATGAGATCAACAGATGATGTGAACTTTGAGGAGAACAAGAAACCAATATCTAATCGACGTGTGATGGATAATACAAATAATTTTCCATGCCAACGTCAGCTGCTCATAGCACAAGATTTCGTTGACGTGATCGCTAATGGTTGGTTGGTTCTGAGCAATTTCTGGGCATACAGATTTGATATAGATTGTAGCCTATCTATAGGATCTATGATTGAAATATTGATCGTTAGTCGACGGTCGACGATAACACTTTCTGTGCGATCGTCTTGCGAGTATGAAACCTTCAAAACGATATCATGGAACCAAAAGCCGAGTATAACTCTTGTGTTACTCAAACTGTACTAATTAACGGGAACAACGTCGGAGGAGCAGGAGCGTCTGTGCAAAGACGCGAAAATAACCCGATAGGGTTGTTGCATAGTTAGCGGTTTATAAGTACACCGTATGCGAAGGATGGCAGATGTGTGAATCCCTACAGGCTAGAGTGGTGAAAGGTGACTGTTCGGGAGGTTGGTTAATGATGATAGGCAAGGGCAGGTGAAGAGCGGGTTAGATATTTGAGTTTTCAGCTGGCATTTGGATCAACTCTGGTCACGGTAAATCCATTTCGTGTATGAATTCTTGAGCTGCCAAGCAGACATCAGGTGGATGTAACCTTGTCGATGTCGTCCAGAACCTACTTCCAGGTTTAACAGATATATCGATAAATGAGATAGACACGCACTGGTGTTTGACAGCGGCTAGTATCCAGCATTTGGACCCGGTGCCGGGTGTTGTGCTGTGGTGTGACTACATGCGCTATAAATGACCAATTTTGATCGAGGGAGCAGCGCTAGTTAGTACTACATACCCACGAAGAAAACGACAGTTCAAAGTTCGAGTGCCTTTCCCTTAGGTGCCACTCATCGATGCATCAACAACGGTTGGTCATCAATGCATCAGGGCCAAAGAGCCCATGAAAGAAGTTGGGACCATGACTTGTGCCAGAAAGCTCACGACCGCTGAGAAATGCACGACCAGTTAGCTATCGAAGGTGGGGTCAGGTGAGCGACGTTACAGTGATAAGCTGTTATGAGGTTCCACGGTCAACAGATGGATCGGTCCTGATCCTTGTCCTGATTGGGACTCGACGAACAAACAAAGAAACTCGCCACGGTTCCAACACGGTTTTATATAAAACTCAGTCTGCCCTAGTTAGGACAGTTTACTTTTGAACCAAGGTATTCTTTAACGCGAAGACTCGGCTCACAACGTTGTAACTCCCAGACGAGCTCTAATTCATTAGTCCTGGAATGAATCTTACATCCACGTCGTGGTGGAGCTAAAACCTCATTTCCGCAGTGAGTCGCCGGTGACTTAAGTGTTATTGGAACATAAAGAGGTGCTGGACATGAGCTATGTATGTCAGTAATCATAAAATCGTGGCAAGGCGTGACGTAGATGTAGCAATACAGGTAACACGACTGTCGCATATCGTCTGTAGAATGAATAACTATAAATAAAGAAGCCCTAGAACTTGAAGATAATGTCTTGCGTGCGCAGCGACCTTAGCGAGCTGGGACGGGACAGCCTACATGCTTATGCCATCAGTGACCCGCGCATTCCATCACCCCGACGTGCCGCGAGAATGCCGCGTATCAGCACAACAAGGATCGCGAACGTTACAAGAAGCCTAGCAGGAATATGAACAAAGAAATGATGGGCATGTATCAATAGCACGCACCAAATAACCCAAGCAAAACCTTCTAGCGCGTTAAGCTGCCCGCAATACACAAACACCATCTGAGTACTAAAGTGATAGGACGTGAACAATGAGAGAGCGAAACAAGAAGATGCACGAACTTGCAGTTCAGCCCTCCGCCGAGAGCTGCGGTTATACTTGCAGCGCCCGCAGTCCAGAATATCCATGTTAGAAGTAGGCTATGACGAATTTGTCAGCAAGTTCTATTGTCCAAGTCAAAGGAGGTTGACTTACAAGACGACATGAGAAGCTACACTACTCATAGGGCTATCTGGCAAAGAAAAGAAGAAAAACATGTAGACTCCAGACAATACGATCGTCCATATTGAAGTGAACAGTAGAAAACGTGTGCGGTCTCGTTCAGCTAGACTGAAGTAGTTGTGATAGGAATTAAAACGTGACGTGAGCCAGGCTGAGATTGCAAGCTACCACAGGGATTTATTATTTCGCCGTTGCAATCAAATGTGCACATACCTCGATGATACAGAACAAGATGATCAACGAGAATACAACTACAATCCAGCAAGTCAGTCGAACTGAATAAAGCAGACAACAGATTCTTACTAGGGTGTCCCCTTCGCATGTGGGTATTAAAATCCATTGTTCAAACTGGATATACAAGACTTGTTTGGCTGATAGTTCGTGATTGTTCGTGAAAGATGAAAGAAACAAGTTTTGATGGAGACCGATGGAGCTGCGCGAAAGTTGAACAGAAGCATAGTGGCTATGCAGCTGCGTTACCACATTCAGTTCTGACGTCATCTAAAAGTAAACTGTTGGGTACAAAACCAATATCCGAATGTCCATATGCGATGAGCAATAATATACAAATGAGACTATGCTGCGTGGAATATGTTTTGAAATAATAAAAAAGTCCCTAGAAACGGACACTAATGGACATCCCTTCATCTGGAACGCAAACACGTTCACCAGGCATGAGTTTGTCGCAGTCCACTTTAGGGTTGACAATGAGAAGTTTGTCTAAAGAGGAATTGTGGTCGTTGGCAATATCCCAACAAGTGTCTCCAGGTTGCACGATGTAGGAGAGGGTCGTTGAAGGGCATGGAACAGGAGCGATACGTGTAGGCAACAGAACGAGACGCCAGACCAATAATAAGACGACAGCGATCATGAGAAAGAACGGGAAAAGTGTGCGGTAAGCTCCTCCCCGGGGATTGTACCGGGTGCCGTTCTGCAGCCGAATTGAGATAGGGCGGGCAATGACGGCGAGAACTTACCTCATCTAGCGCCAAGATGCGATAACCGTCAGTGCCAGTAGGAGCAGCTTCCAGGTCACTGTCTTCATCTACCTCTTGAGGGATGGAAGAGGGTATTTCAGACACTGCATGCACGTGTGAACTATGAGCGCTAGAAAAACAGCGTCCAAAGCATTTACCTAGCTTAAGCTCCCCGAATTCAGAGCCCTCTGGCCCTTGGTATACCAATCCTTCACGGTCACGGAAATAATACCGCTCACTGTCGGCGTCGTAACCAACTCGCTTGACGCCTTCTGGGAGTCTGTAATCGTCCTAGAAAACTTTGGGTCAGCTTGCCGAGGACAAGTCAAAAATAGTAGTACTTCATCATACTGCGTCCAGCGCCCCATAGTTGTTCGTTACGCACAAAAGGCCAACCAGTGGATAAGTGCTGTTTTTTGCAAAACAAAGAACTCCTAGTTGAGGATTGAAAGGGAGACTGAAGATGCTTTGACGCTTCACAGGCAATATAATGCAACGGAGAAAGCCGAATAACCGTCACTGCCACTGTCAGACGTACGTGGTATAGCCCCGCTCGCTATTAAATATTAAGCGCTAGGGGTTGTGGGTTCTCTACTCCACACTATGCAAAGGGTGGTCAAGACTATGTTTCCAATATCCTCAGAACTCATATTCAAAGTCGCCTTACGCGGCGAGACATTGCTCACTTCACCTCGTTGGAACAAGGGAACAGCCTTCACGAAAAAGGAGCGTAATGATTTTGGTCTAACGAGCAGACTTCCTTCTCGCATCAATACCATCGAAGAACAATGCGAGAGAGCCTATGATCAGCTACGCTCTCGTGAATCTCCCATACAAAAGAACTCATTCTTGCAGAGCCTCAAAGAGCAAAACTGGGTTCTTTACTATTCTCTGCTATCCAGGCATCTCAAGGAGTTGACTCCTATTATATACACGCCTACCGAAGTAAGTTCTGATCTTGTTTCAAATATTCAAGTGATTGACTGTGTCGTAGGCAGAAGCGATTGAAAACTACTCTCATCTTTTTCGTCGCAGCGAGGGGTTATTTCTGACATTCCCGGACCAAGACTCCATGGAGAAAGATTTCCTGGAGCAAACCCGTGGCAGAGATATTGAGTTGATAGTCTGCACAGATGCAGAGGCTATCCTAGGCATCGGCGACCAAGGCGTTGGGGTAGGCGCATTTCCGCTACTATGCCTTACATCTCTCACCACCACCTGACGTCATAGGGAATCGGGGTGAGTATCCACATATATCTCACGAAAGGGAGTTGTTGAATAGTTGTTCCAGATATCATCTGCCAAATCTGCGATATACACGTGCGTTCCCACTGCCCTCGGTTTATTCTTACTTCATGTGGTGACAGGTTATTGGCTGGGATAAACCCAGTGAAAGCGCTCAGTGTGACACTTGATGTCGGCACTGACAATGAAACACTCTTGAACGATCATCTCTATGTTGTGCGTGCCTTTTAAATCACTGTCATCGTTCGCTCATCAGACAAATTCAGGGATGGCGTTCGAGAAGGATCCGGGGTGTTGAGTACGATAAATTCATCGACAAGTAAGTTTGACTTACCCCTTGGTCGGCCTCACCTCATGGGCTTGCAATACCCTCATAGGTTTGTCCAGTTGATCCGCAAACATCAGCCACACTGCTTGCTGCACTTTGAGGACTTTGGAGTTACCAATGCTCAGCGATTTCTTGACCTGTACCGCAATGAGCATTCTGTTTTCAATGATGATATGTATGGTTATGCGTCATCAATATATCAATTAGCACTAACGCACAGTAGCCAAGGAACTGGTGCGGTTACACTGGCCGCTTTGATGGCCGCCATTGGGGTGACCAAGTCGAAGCTGGCAGATCAACGCTATGTCATCTTTGGAGCGGGCTCTGCGGGCCTCGGTATTGCAACACAAGTTCGGGATGCAATCATACTCACAGACGGTGTGTCTCGTGAGGAAGCCAACAAGAAGTTTTACCTCGTCGATCGCTTTGGTCTCATCAAGCAGTCTCTTGGTCCCAACAAGATACGCCCTGCGTTGCAAGAATTTGTGCGGCCTGATGAAGAATGGAGCGATGTTCCAACTAATGACACGGGAGAGGTTGAGCTTCTGGAGGTTGTCAGGAAAGTACGACCGACGGTTTTAATAGGATGTTCGACGAAAGGTGGCGCTTTCACCGAGCGCGTCGTGAGGACAATGAAGGAAGGTTGTGAGAGACCTATCATTTTCCCCCTCAGCAACCCTAGCCATCTGGTGGAAGTCGATCCGAAGGACGCGAATGACTGGACAGAAGGGATGGCTCTACTAGCCACAGGCAGCCCGTTCCCACCAGCTAAGATGCCGAACGGCAAAGACTATGTGTAAGCTTGTCATATCATGAGTATCATGCACAAGCTGATTTGTGACTTACAGTATCGCTGAATGCAACAGTGAGTTCATGTAATCCCCCGTTTGCGCATACTGACCGCTGCTAACTTTCAGATGCTCTCATCTACCCTGGACTTGGACTTGGTTCCATGCTGTCGCAATCCAGGCGGATGACCGATGGGATGATCATCGCAGGCGCACAACGTCTTGCTGCTCTCTCTCCTGCACTCAAAGACCCGGACAGCGGCCTGTTACCCGACTTCGAAGATGCTCCAGCAGCCAATCTCGAGGTTGCAATAGCAGTAGCACAACAGGCATTTGATGAAGGCATCCAGGGAGTTAGCTGGAGCAAAGAAGAGGTGAGAACTAAGGCAGAAGATAAGCAGTGGAAGCCAGTGTATGGTACGTATGAGTATGATGAGCAGGGCGCAAAGTAGTTATGGTTTGTTTTGCAACTTCGAGTCACGAGAAGCAAATCGAATTTTTGCTATAAAGAAGCCCAGCGCCTTCGATCTAAGATACCTGCGCGGCCCATCGCGATAATATTGTTCTTCATCGATATAAAGTCAGCAGGTTCATCTGCTCGAGGTTCGTAGAACCAAAACTTGTCACGGTTTCGCGTTTGTCACAAACGTGACTGGACGCGTCTTGGTCCAAGATCAAGCTCGAGATTCTTCTCCCCATTTTTCTAATCTTTGTGGGTCCTCCGCTGTCGATATGCACAGCGACGAAGAATTTTTAGGGCACATCACGAAGAAAATCAAAATCACGGCCAACAATGGATGGGAACACGTCTTTGCAAGAGGTGGAATCAAATCGCGCTTTACAAAAACTACCGCCGTAGATGCGACAGAATTCCTCAAGAACTATCGTCAACGAGCACAAAAACAGAGTCTTGAAATACTTATCTCCTTACCTTTGGATATCCTATTCGAGGTAACTCAGGTCCTTTGTCATATGATCATCCGAGATAATCACAATCGGCCCAGATCTTTGGGAGGCTACTTCCACTCGACTTACTTCATCTCTCACGCACTACCAAGGCTCTGCGCTCTGTGCTGATGCACCGCTCATCTACCACCGTGTGGATGGCTGCGCGCTCCAATGTAAAGGGCATGCCTGCTTGTGCTGATGACATGTCAGAGCCTGTGCATGCGAGCCTCGCGTTCGATATGCATTGTCACGTAAGTGTTCTAATCATAGCACCCGGATGTATTTGACCTTCCTAACTTAGAATTGTCTCAGACCAAATGTGCGCAATGTTGACTGGAACCTCCGAGTCAGGTACTGCCAAAAATGCTTCAAAGAACGGTGAGCTAGGTCTCGCTTGATGTGACGATAGGCTTACCGACTGGTACTTCAGTACAGAGGTTGTCGATGATAAGTTCAAAACAACGTATGGGTTGAAATTGCACCATTGTCTGTCATTGAGCATGACGCAGAATCCGTTAGTTTTCTGTCCATTCACTGGCGCATGTCCTTACTTTATTTACCTTCAAGGCAATGACGCCCGCTGTTTGATTTCAGACAGGGAATCATTGGTCGACGAGTTGTCGAAGCTCGGGCCGGAAGAAAGATCTGTCCTTCGAGGTTTGAAGAGAGATGCGGTGCTCGTTCGGAAGGAGGTACGTCTCCTGTTTTTAAAAAAACACATCCTTGTTTGTTGAGCATATGCAGCATGCAGTTCGGTGCACAAAATGGATGGAAGGCGAACAACAGAGCAGATGGAAGGAGCTCGATCATCTGAGGAGCTTGCGCTATGACGCGTAAGTCTTGTGTTCAGTTCCTGGCAATCACGGCTCAATATTCACAGTATTGTGGAGAAGTTGATCGAACTCGGCTGGGAGGAAGATGTAAACAAGCTTCCAGATCGGCATACTGCACGAATCTACAAGTTGACCCATTTTGAAGATCATCCACTTGTCAAGCAGCCAAAGCCCTTGACCGATCGCAGTAAGGCTTTTCATCTACTTTTGTTCGTTCGTATTCCTTGAACGCTAACTGATTGAGCAGTCTGGCAAAATATCCACCACCAAATGGTCGAATTCATGGGTCAAATGCGCTGAATTCCGCATTTCACAAGAAAGAAAACAACAGATCAGGGAGCGGCAAAGCCTCCTCGCTACGATATACAGTGACTGGCAACGGGAGAAAGGGTATCACAAGTATCTTATGCCTACTGCTGCCGACCTCTTTGGGATGCGACAAGTTCGCGATATCGTGGAGTTGCCTGCTCATCTGACTCTCACCTGCGGAAGATTTTCAGCCTGTTCGTGAGGAGTTATTTAAAATAGTCGATACTTGGAAGCGCTGCAATGGTCATGATTTGCGGTCAGACTTGCTATGGCGGCTTGAAATCCACCCACCGTACTGGCTTGACAGACTCTGTTCAATGCGAGAGACTTGCTGTTGCTGTCTTTACGTGCACAGGGTGGCTTTGCGACGACATTCCTGAGCCTAATGACTCGCCTCGGTACATGTACTTCCCAGAGTACCTTCACCATAGATGCAATCGGATCCGGCGACGAGCATGGAATGAACTCGACCCTCCTAACACGTTTGCAATGGGCCAAGGGTATCCGGGAAATACTGTACAACGAGAGTGGTCCATGGACGACCTCGAGTTAGATAAGAAGGCCTCCCAAACCGTGAGGAACATCATCGATGCATGCGACTTAGACTGGACAGAGGTAACAGTGTCGGAGCTCGACAATCTGGATCCTAGGTTGGTCTGCCTAAAGTGCAGCTACGGCAACCACTGTGATGGAGAGAGACCTATGATGGTCCGTTCGTGGCGAGAATCTGTAAGTTGATCTGTGGGCTGAAGTAAGACAACGTCGTTGACGAGGAATCACAGGTCAAACATTGCACCAAGAAGCATTGGAGTGACTCCACTGTGAAGTGGCAGAAAATTTCAGATGAGGAGAGTAGAAGTCTTCGCCAAGACCAGGAGGAAGCCGCCGCGAGCACTACGACACCTCCACGCAAAATTTGGCGGTGCACTCATTGTCATGACAAGCCTGGAGAACCGGAGAAAATGACTGTGCAGGGAATGATGGATCACTTGGAGGATCAGTAAGAGCTCCATCGTGTATGCATATTTCTCTCGGCTGATATCGACTCTGCGAAGCCATTCGATAGATCTAATCAATCAAGTTGCCGGAAAAGACTTTGCTGAAGCTTTGGACGTGCCTCCTACAACGATTCCTTCTGTGAAGTTGAAGCCGAAAGCCGTGGACCCTTAGCCTTTGAAATTTCGCCCAGCACACTGGGAAAAAAGCTTCTGCGATATACTTTCATGAAGTCGCTATTGCGAACCCAAGGATGTAGATATTGCAGTCGACTTCACGCGGTCCCATTCATGTATGGAACTCCAGTTAAACTACAATAATTAGCACCATATATTTGCGAGCTTGTAGTTACGATTAGATCTAATATTCGGGTCATTCACTAAACCCCACCCAGTCTTTACGAAATGATTACTAAGCACTTCCTGTAAGTCTGAGCTCGACGAAGCTGGCACTTATCAAGTCATGGCCACATCACAGGCAGCCCCAGTGGACCCTCACTCTATGCAAGATGTCACACCAACCTTAGCAGAAAATGGGACACCTCAACCAGAGGTGGAAGAAGCTGTTTCTGAGACTCTTTATATTCAAAACCTCAACGAGAAGGTGAAGATCGACGGTGAGCATCGAAACATACCACAACTTGGCTGTGACTGAATTATCTTCTTTCCATAGTGCTCAAGGCTTCACTAAGAGGCTTATTCAAATCGTATGGGGAGGTGCTGGATGTTGTAGCGCATAGCAACTTGAGAATGAGGGGTCAAGCATTCGTCTCATTCGCATCCCCAGAGATCGCACAGAAAGCTATGAAGGAAGTCCGTGGATTCCCTCTCTACTCCAAACCTATGGCACGTATTTTTATGTTATAAGCTCGTTTTCTGCTCATATGATTGTCTCAGCAAATTACGTTTGCGCGGACGCGATCTGACGCTGTCGTCAAACGATTGGATGCTAACAACCTTGAACAACATACAGCCAAGAGAGCTGAACACAAAAGTGGGGTTTTCTTGACAAGGTTTGTTAATAAGAGCTGAGAAATCGTGCAGGGCGTACGCGATATTCGAACCCCTTGAAGCAGAAATTCAAGGCCAAGCGGATGGCTGCAGAAAGTTTGTGTTACAGCCTTATATTCACCAGCTGCACGCTGAATCATATTCATTACAGTTGACGGAGCTGCTGCAGCTCCTGCAGCTAGGCGTCCCAATGTCCAGATGCCAGACGAATACTTGCCTCCCAACAAGATCCTTTTCCTCCAAAATCTACCCGAAAGCGTTACCAAGGACCAGCTTATGGCCCTCTTTTCTCAGTATGTAAACCCCCTGCGCGTTGAGAGGCCGATCTTAACTTTCTCAGGTACCCAAACCTCCACGAGGTTCGGCTTATTCCAACAAAAAAAGACATCGCGTTCGTGGAATACATGGACGAAGGCAGCGCTGGGGTTGCCAAAGATGCTCTTCACAACTACAAGCTTGATGGGGAGAATAAGATCAAGGTCTGTAGATACGTTTTTGTTCTTTAAGAACCACTCTCACTTCATTTCAGATTACATTCGCCCGGAAGTGAACTTCTTGTATTGTTATGCTTTGGGATATTGTATCATATTTTAATTGATGCTACTTGAGTTAGAGTGGTCCACCTATTATCGCCATGACTGCCTCAAGTCCCTAATTTGCCCAAAGAACTTCAGAAGTTCAAGACCAAGATTTCGAAGATCAGCGAATGTCTGAGCGTGATTTAAAAATTATACTCCGGTCCGGACAAGCGAGACGAGAGCGCTCTGACAGAATCTTCTCGCCATCATGATATGTAACCGAGTCTCGGACTCACTCAGGCTACCCATCCGCGTTTAGCCAGGAACTTGAAGGAACACCATAGCAAGTCCCAGAAGACGTTCGCGATGCACTCGTGGAGTAATGGAAGCTTTGCTGAACCAATACAAGCCTGGACCTTACGGCACTTCTAAACTTGATTGGCACCCAAATTGTATACCTTTGGTTGGCAGCTGTTGGTAGGGGTTCGGCCTCGCAATTGGAAAGAGTTTATCAAGACACTGGTTCATCGATATCATCACTCCTTGTTCTAAAATTCCCTCAATTTTTTTCCAGCATTTTGAATCACGAATAAAAAATGGACCCTAAGACTGTGGTGAGTGCGTTCGTTCAGCGTGCATCGAGATCATCATGGCCTCCCAGGTGGTGTATGAATCGTCGGACGACGGTGAGTACTCAAATGGCTGGAACGATTTCAAGATGCAAGTAGAAGCTTTAGGTACGCGTTGGCAACCCACCTTAACGCGAATTCATTTGATCGTTGCAACTCTATAGACAACTCGCCGTCTCCAACTCAACCATTGGCAAAAGTCCTTGGAGAAAAACTTTCTATTTCGCAGAAGATAACACTTCAAGCGCCTAGGGCGGATATGCGTTTACGAAGACGTGCGTCGCGTGACGAGGAGATGTGTGAGATCGATGAAGGTACAGTGTTGAGTTTAAGTTTGCTCAAATGAACATATTATTCACGCCCTCACAGTAGCCCAAAGATGTAGGTGATCTCTCCCTACTAATCTGCGCTTTATTACTTAGTATCATCCAAATCAGTGATGGAGTCGGACAGTGATTCCGGGTCGGCACCGTCGACCGAACAATCTTCACTGTTCTCGAGTCGCACGACCTCAATGTCATCCGTTGGATCCACGGGCCTGAAGCGTGCACCAGACTGCTTGCTGCCTCTTCCACCAGCGATTAAACGCAAAGTCTCACCATGCGCACCAGTTGTAAGTCATATAATTCTTTTACATTCAATGGGTTCTCACAATGCCGTAGGTGAATCTGCCACAAGGAAAAAATCGAAAACGCAGGTCCCCCGAGTTCGGTGTCGAATTAGATGTCGCCCACATTGCCCACTGCGAGGAGGCTCAGGTAGTCCTTGATCGACATGAACTCGCATGGGGAACAATTTTCGAACTAGCGCGAGGTGTCACTCGTGGCATGTGGACATTCCAAGACATGACGGAGCATCGTCTACGAAAACTCAAAGGTTCAAATGCTCAATCTGCCTGGAAAGTCACTACCGTCATGGCAGACAAAGAACCACCTGCGATGGGAACGCCTTCAGAACTTTGGTATTAGCTTTATTCGCCTCACAAATCGCGAGCTAAACTTGATTTAAGGCTCGAATACGATCGGGAGCAGCTCGCGATTGTCGAAAACAAAGGTCGCGGTTTGGGAACTATGGGACAGTGGGAGGGAAAAGACCATTGGTACGGAGGGAAGATACAGCAAGTTGCACGTGTCGTGAAAGCTGGAACGTCTTTCAAATTCGAACTCGAGAAACCAGAGATTCGGAGATCGCATCGCTTTGCTCGGTTCTTGGGGTCTCGGCGCATCCTCCAAGTCCGCGTGCCAGATAACCTTACGTATGATAAAGTCGGCTCGGCACTTCGGGAATTCCTGATATCATCCAAATTTGTATTGTGTGGCCGCGTCTTCGTACCCTTCCATGCTAAGGAAGGGAGCATGTACCTTATGGAAACGAACCAGAACATTGATCGGCAAGCGAACCTCGGCGACGGCGACAGTCACAGATTGACACTCTACCAGTTTGTGGAGTGGCACAATCCTCTGGCGTTGAATTCGATGCAGGTGATCACTTTTTTGTCCTCATCATGCAGCTCTGACACGCTCCCCGAGTAGCCCATCAGCAAGTGGTCTACACGATGGGCGCTTGGCCTGTCAACGTCGGTGCCAACAATCGAATTCTCTCCGGAAAACATAATCTTCATTGCTGACCAACGTAATATCTCCTCGAGCTCATAAAATACGAGGTACTGACTGCTCAAATATCTAGATGCTGTGGACTGTGGCGAGGGAAAGCCCCCGGCTGAAAAAATCATGACCGATGGGTGTGGTTATATCAGCGGTGCGGCCTTGACGGCCATCATGCGAGTAATGAAGTATTCGAGTAGACCGACCGCCGTGCAAGGACGTATCGCTGGTGCCAAGGGAATGTGGGTTCTGCACCCAGATCCCGTGCATCAGATCGCCGATGGACCACCGAAAATTTGGATACGTGACTCACAGAATAAGATCAATCTTGGCTCGCTACACAACGTCGATAGCGCACATAGGATTTTCGACCTCCTTGCGCCATCTCGGGTAACCGGGCCAAGCCGTTTGTCGAGCCAGACGCTCGTCAACTTAGCACATGGTCGTGTTTCCCTTTCTGTTTTGAAGGAGCTCATGGCAGATGGACTTCACGAGGAGGTCCGTCAGCTGACGGAATGGAGTGGACCGGACAGCATGCTTATGGTCTGGCGAGCTGTGGAGCAAGCCGGCCGTGTTGTAACATCGAGACTGCGGCGGCGCATTGCTGGCCAGGCACGAGCACTTGGTCTTGGCCAACTCCGACCCAACGAGGAGCCTGCTGCCGGGACTAATGATTGTGACGATGTTGCAGTGAACCCATCGCTGCATGACTCGGTTAATCGGGGACGTAATCCTTACAGCGGTGAACCGCTGACTCTACACGAGACGGTCCTTGAACTACTGCAGGCCGGTTTTCATCCTCTTAAGCTTGACCAACTGTTTTCCAAACTTGAGTACGTGGTGACCCAAGTACTCGACGAGTACATCGAGAAATTCCACATCCCGGTCAAGGAGTCTTTGGAAGCATATATCATACCGGGCATGTACCTTTTCCGTAATCATTTTCTTCTAGCTCATCTAGTAGCAGATCCATATGGGGTCCTTGAGGAGGGGCAGATATATTTTCGCTCTTCAGAACTCATCACCGATCCCGAAAGCGGAACCCAGATGGATATCGTGACCGGTTCTGTTCTGGTGAGTACTTCAGTCCATTGCAATGAACTGTCCTGAGACGTTGATAAACAGGTATGGAGGAATCCCACAAGACTGCCCTCTGATGTCCAGAAGGTAAGGCAATCAATACCTCGTCGAATGACCTTATCAAATATGGATCAGGTCACTGCCGTCAGCCACCCAAAATTGGCTAATTACTTCGATGTCATCGTGTTCCCTGTGAAGGGGGAGCGCTCATTGGCAAGTTACTTGGGTGGAGGAGGTAGGCACTTACTTCCATCATTTTCCGGACATCGCCTGACGTGTTCATTCTGTAGATTATGATGGAGGTGAGTTTACGTCACTTGTATTTTATCATTTAATAATTGCTTTCAAAGATACGGTCACATTGGTCTGGTCCAAACGTCTTGTTGAAAGTTTCAATACCGCTCCGCTGTGTACGGCGCCCGCAAGTTTGAGTGACGACTTTGAGCGAGAAGTTGAACACGTTAAGGATTTTGACCGACGAGTATCCAAACTCACTGCAAAGGAGGCTCAAATCGCGTTCCAGAAGGTCCTTCTTCTTGGACTCGCGGAAACAAAAATCGGATTATATTCGAAGTTCCATGATCTCGCTGTGTATGAGCGCGGCTATGCAAGTGCTGCCGCCATTCGGTTGGCATACATGTGAGAATTTTCAGTCTATTGCTATGGTACTCGCCTTATGTTGTGCGGCGCAGGTTTACCACCTGCCTCGATGCGAGCAAGACGGGGCTGCGGGTTAAACCCCACGTCTTCGAGGCAGATCGCAAGTTTTGTGGTAAACGCAAGCCCTACTATATGGCCGCTCTTGAACAGAACATCGAGGGTCAAGAGGTATCGAAACGCAAGGGCTCGACTCCGTACATCCTGGATGCCCTTGTTGATGAGGGCCGTCGCCTCCGTGACGACTTCCTCAAACATTATTCTGTCCTCCGGAGTTCTTCCACCAATACGGCAGACCGCGACCTCGCTTCGCCTTACCTTTCTACGTCTCGTAGGGCAACACAAGCTTCGCACAACGGTTTTCAAATTCTGCAAGACAACTTAAATGCTGTCAAAGTTCATGTCCAGAGAGTACATGGAGAGTGGCAAGTCGCTGTTGCTCTCCAGAAGAAGGCTTCAGAAGGGAAGGGGTCTCCGGATCCCAGGACACGAGCGATCCAAAAGACAGCTCAACACTTTGCGCGGCGACCAGAGGTTTTATCTTTTTCCGACGAGGAACTCAAAATCATCATGGCATCCTATGCGTACAATCTAAGTGGTGCATTCGGCTTCTCCGTCGCCTTCGCAGATCTCTGCGCCATCAAGGCACGAGTTCAAAGTGGTGTGCTTTTTGCAGATAGATTTGCAGAGGTGATGTGTATACCTAACAATGTCTTACGAGCCCTTTCACAAGCACAGGATGACGCGGATGATTGAAATTTTGCATCTTTGTCCATCATACATACTTCACATCTTACACATACTCCACCATATAGCACATCCTTACAAATCCTTCATCATACATATCCTTGCACATACTTCACCTATAGCACATCCTTATCTTGATTCTACCATCTCGATTTGTTAGCCACTATCTCTCTGTACTACGTAACGACAATCGACAGACCCGAATTCCTCCAGAGCGACTCGAATATTCTGAGCAGGATATCAAAACGCAACGATGGGCATTCAATATATTGCTGCGAAGCTGAGACACTCGACATCAATATCTGCATCTCATTTCCGCACGACACCAACCCGCGGTCCGACATCTTCTAGTAGCGTACAACGTTCAGAGTGATGCAATAGTTCCTGAACTACTGCTGCCTCAGACTTGACTGTTGTGTTATAGATGCGATGGGTCATCATCCATAACTCAAATCAGATTATAAAGGGGGTGAGTGAAAGACATTTCATTGCCATCATCATACAATGTAGTGACAGTTATCGAGCATCATGAACCGCGATATGGCCTTATTGCGTAATTCCATTGACCGGCCGCAGACTGATGAGCCGCTGCCAGGCCGCTGTTGATCACTACTTATTAGGAACCAGTGTTGAATTTGTTGGGCGTCTCACCCGCGGTTTGACTTAGCTTGTGGGAGTAAATTGATACAACGAAAGCAAACTCGATATTTTGCTTGTCATATTGTTCGTAAAGCCACATCGGCGTCGCTAAGTCCCACCTATCTTACTCACTTTCCAATACAAACATAATACAAGCATAACACTGGGCAACCAAACTGTCTATTCTGTAACGTCCGAGCCAACCTCCGTCTGAATGGGGGAAATGACCCGAATACTAATCTCACCATGCCGAGCCTACAACGCAGCCACATCAGACTGTTACTGTGTTCAAACGAAGAACACGTACCCATGTCACAGTAAGCCGATCCTGTTCCAAGAATATACTGGAGCCAGCTGTCGGAAATGGTGTATGACAGACCGTTGCGATGTATGCACGATTCGAGAAGATGTCTTCACCAAAGGAGTCAACCATCTGACCCGACTTGCAAATGCGAAGATCCGGTGAGTCAGGATTGTTGACACTTTCCGAACGAGCAATGACTCGCTTGTTGAAGTCCCAGATATGCACATAGAAGTAATCCTCACTGGAGAGCCCTTCCAGTCTTTGGCCAGGATCGGGAATATGATCTTGGGGAAGAGCATAGGCCATTTTGCTGCCAAACACGCTGATATGGTGGCTTTCGTGGTGCGGAAAGTAGCACGCATACTGAGGTCCCCAGTCTGACCAAGGAATCTCGACGGGCATATCTGAGTGCAAGGCCATGTCAGAGAAGATGGCCATATCCATGGCCAGTAATAGGATAGCATTCCCTGCTGCGGAAAGAAACTCTAAAACCATAATTTGCGACTCCAGGGAGGGCACATAGCTCGGCATGAGTCCTGGGCGTGCTGCTTTGCCAAGGAGTGATGGGTGGCCATGAATAATGATTTCCGAGTCGTGTAATGATAGATGGGGGATCTTGGGAGGGTGATATATGATTCGGCACTGAGGTGGCCCATCGAGCCCTTGTAACGTGTACAAGTATATCGAGCCTTCTGGGCCAATGATGACGAACTTCTGTTCATCGAATGGATAAAAACAATCTGGGGCGTAGATATCCGGTTGACATAAAAAATGCTGCTTATGCTGAGCAGTAGAATTGTCACAAAAAGAAGGAACTTACCCTATTTACATATCCCTTCCTCCGATTGATCACTTGTATGAACATGCCGGACACAGGCCAGTCATCCGTGTCCTCTATTTCATAGACAATAAATACGCGCTCACCACAGATTACAGGTGGCGACAAAGCAGCATTATAATAGCCAGGTGCATCAAAGGTATGCTTACACTCCAAAGAAATGCACACAGCGCTCGGATGCGGACGTTGGGATGAAGCCAGTCGAAACTTCACCCAACAGACATGGTGATCTTGTTCCGCATCGGTCACAGTGACACAATCATCAGGCTCAGAACACAAAACCATAAGATCCTGCAGAGGGTTGAAGGTGTGAAAGCCCCTGGTATCATCGAGAGACCACGTCCGGGACTCGAGTGTAGGATTTGTGCTACAGTCCTGAATGTAGAAGTTGTCCATTTGTGGCGAAGGTAACCACCAAAGCCCACATCTCACAGATTGGATCGGTGGCATGTATTCCCATGGTATCGCTCGAAATTCGACAGCAATATTACTGACCACTGCTTCAAAGGTAGCGGTCGCATGGAAGTCGGATCGCCACAAAGATGCCAATTTCTTGAGCGAACACAGAGTCTTTCTGGAAATGCCGGTCGAATTCATGGTAGCGGTCCCAGTACTAATCAAGCCTTGAGCATAAATTTCAAGCTTGTATTGAATGTGGGCAGAATTCCGGACCACAAGCCAAAAGATATTGCATGTCTAGCATGATCAAACATTAGCCCTGGAGGAAATTGTGGAAACTACGGGGAAAGCGAACCATTGCACAGCGACTAATGTCCCTGGGGTTAAGAAGGATTAGAATGTGACATATGAGCTCTGTAGGAAGCGACAAGAATCCGACCGCCATAGTCATGGTAGTAGGATCAAAGAGAGGACCTTTGAATTTGAAAATTTTAGGAGGCCTCTCCTCTCGGAATCCCGGACCATCACGCCACTAACACGAGTGACTAAAGCCTTAGGGAAAGCATCGCATCAAAGGTAGGAGCAACAAGATAAATTTCATCTGAAAACAGGCGAGCTCGTCAAGTTAACCTGAGTAATTTAGTACTACACTCGACAGCACTCGACATGCCTCAAGGCACAGAATTCCAATTCCGTACCCCCGCGCAATTAAGTAAGCAGCCGGGTCAGGTCGGGAATCGGGATGGGAGACACCTCGCACACGACTTGGATACGACATAGCTCCTGAGCCTCCGGTACGTGCTAGCCATACCTCAAGTTGAATACTTAGCCATATCATTACAGGAGGAAACCGTGACTCGACTCCAAGTACCCCTCCTTGCCATATTCCACTAGGTCTTCCTCCCCAATATTGCTGACACAACTATCACAGCTCAAAGCTATGTACAATTTGAGCCTTGTGTGGAGTGCTGATTGATTGATCGAGGAGATCCGTGTGACGGCGATTTTCCAGGAAAATCTTGTGCTTTATCTTGCAAAGGGCACAAATGTTAACGATAAGTAGCTTCCCAGTCATATAATCCTTCGGGGCTGTCTGTACTTTGTTATTTTTCCATGCGTTCCAACCCGTCCTCAGCTAACTGCTTCTAGAACTTCCGTGTTCCCTCACCCTGCAGCAATCGAGATCATTTCGATGCAACAACGCCCCAGGCGCAGTTTCTTCGCGTGGCACACAAGCCCGCAACAGTCTCTGCCGGAAGAGAACATCAACAGGTAATTAGTGTATGAGGTGCTTTTTATTCCGCTATATGCATAACCAAATCTCCAGAAGGTTCACGTAGCGCGCGTCTATTGTGAAAGCCAACCGGTCAGTCGTCCTCAGCGGCAACTCCACCTGCGGCACAACCAAACTCGACGACACAACAACCTGCTCAAGAAGGAAAATGGTTGTTACAACTTTTGCATCGCACTCAGGTGCCTCCCACACCACCATCCTCTCCGTGTCTCTGCTGCTCAGCCTGCTCCCTCGTTACTCCAGCGTGCGCTCATTGACGTTGCTTCATCAGCATGTTTATGTTGATCGAGGACATGTGCCTTCGTGGCTGATCGCCCATCGTAACTCATAGTTATTCGTCATTGTCGAGCTATGACCTGTAAATTCTATGTAATGTTGAATTTTAGTCTCAAATCTGTTGTCCATTTCTTCTCGATTCGGTTCCCGTCGTTTCCTACGGTGCTCATCATTTACATCTTACCCTCAGGGACGATTGTCGTTGTGCAATGGTTCTCCATTTTCCGCAGGGACACGCTGCTGATATTTCTTCCGACAGCGTCGACACTCCCGTCGAAAATGACATAATGAAGGTATGACACTTCAAGTGTACAAATCTATTCGGAGAGCTCCCTCGATCGAATGGCCTACAGTCTTTCCTAACTGCCCCACTGGCAGCTGAGAATCAACGGCCCAGACGAGTTGCCGAACGCAATTTGCCATCATCACATTCTGTTCAGAGTATCAGCCCCTCTATGTTGTCTTTATTCCTATTGGAGACTCGGGTTGGCGGTGGTCCATGTCTCGAGAGCATTATCATTAAATTTCGACGTATTCAGAGTGAAGCTTTGCACTGGGCCAAGGCCGTGACACGTTAAATATGATATTCGAATTGATCCTTAAATGTCGAATGATGACAATGCAAGCAGGTGAGATTGACTATGTGTAAGATTGTCCAAACAACAGACTAATGCAAAATCCAACATTTCTACTGTATGCAAGCATATCTGTCAGCGTCTTCGACCAACACGGAAAAAAATTCGAGCGCTATCGTGGAATTAAAAGAAAAGTCAGAGAACTAAAGAGCGACTAAGTGGAACGTCTCAATATAGTATATGCAAGTGAAAACCAAAAAAAAAGACGAACATCATATCATCATACAACATGTTATCGGGCGTTCTTCCAGCTCGATGGGGGAGCGGCTTTTCGTCCGAAATTCCTACCGGGCGTCTGCAGCTGTAAATTCGAAGGTTGAGAAGCACCAGTCTTGGTGCATTGTCTGGGACTTCCTCCACAGAGACTCGCAGCACTGTTCGGGACGCCATGCCCGGCCGACACGTAGCCTAAGCTCGAACAGGAAGACATTGATGGACCAAACGGAAAAACGAACCGGACTCGGTTCCCGAGTGAGGCCTAAATCACTGCAAACAGGATCATAGCATGAAAACATATGACAATGAATCAAATCAACACGGAAAATGTGTGTAGATCGTGATAAAAGAAATAAACACCTGTGTAAATTGATGATGTGAATTAGGACAGACTGGCAGGCCCATTTACATCTGTGCAAGCCTGACGACGAAAGGGTAACATCAAACCCGTTGCTTAAGATGTTGTCAACTTGTGATAGCCGCGACAACAACTTGAGCAACGGGTTCGAGCGTTACAGTATTCTTGGAGAAACTGTTGGAGTCAGCAACTAGTGTGGAATTTGTTGGACGTGTCACACAAGGTTTGACTTAGCTTGTAGGTGTAGATTGATACACGATTACAGCGGCCTTTCCACGTCCGACGTGATGGAGGAAAATTGAATAGCGTTACGCCCATTACATAAGTACAAATACTGATAGTTGTGATAATAGTGTGACCAACACGTGTTTTGACCTGTTTTGATGTACAAGCCTGTATTACTAGTTACTACAGCTAAGTACTACTAGGCTCTAGCACTACTAGTACCCCGCGGCAGTCACTCTTCCGCCACACCAGCTGCCAGTAACCCCTGGTTGGTTTATCTCTATCAGTGATTGATTTGTTATCGTGAGTGTGAACTCAATCAGACGGTGAGTTATGAGCTCGCCGTTGCTATTCTTGGAAACTTAACTAGTGCGCCAGGTGACCATGACTTACTCCTGTTTCTCGCCCAATGCAGCACGCTCGTGAAACATTACAAACCGCGACATAGTAGCTAATCCAGTTTCGTAGCCTCGAGGAGGGACTGGAATGTCATCAACGTGCGCACAAAAATCGTCAACTTCGTCGGACCTAGTCACCCAAGTGCTACATGGTTATATCTGGGATTCCACGATGCGATCTTCTCGTCGTTTCAGAAACGCGCGGAGATGGAGCTACGCGGTGCAAATATATCCAGCCGCCCCTACATAGCTGTCATGTGCTGTCAAAAACAACATATTACCCGGGAAAGTTAGTTCTACCATCACGTATTGTGCCTATGCAAGAAACTGACATTCGAAGTATATCTTATAGGGACAATTCCTCTAAGAACGGAGCATGGCCCGGAGAGTCTGTCTACTGCGTGTGTTTATGTATGTATGCGCAACCTCCCTTCAAGGCCTTGAGCTACTTATAAGCTATACCATAGGGTTGGGTAGCCTACTAGGCGTCTTTCGCCGGTTCTCCCAACGCCCCACTTGTTATCTTTATGACGAATATTGGTCTGATTTACGGAGCCATGATGGTCGGTGGCTTGCTGGCCTTCAGGGACGTGATCAACCTTGATGCAAAAATATGATATCTGTCTGACAGAACTCCTTACAGCTTTTCGGGTTGTGTTAACATGCAGTTCATCGTGTACTTCCGGATTTATTTTCATGAGAGTTGGCGTACTAAGTCATTGGTACGTCACGTTGTCTTTCAAGTTTGCACCTTTTTAATCATCTTGCAAAGGTCATTGTAATATGGTACGTCCCAGTATCCTGATATATGTGAGACGAATGTCAATGGAATTCAGGCTACTTGATTTGTCCCATTCCGCACTTGTTGCAGTTACCCTTTGGGACTCCATCATTGCGACCTACGGTGATCTCAGTAAAGTTGACACAATCCCCTGGTATGTGTGATGTCATCGTTTATAATCAGCTGGAAAATCGATCGATCATCAGGTGTATTGGTGTGAGCAATCACGTTCTAGACGTTTTGACTTGGCGTTAACGCGGCCCCATAGCCTGCGATTGAGCTTACTGTGCGTTCTTACATGTATAGAACCTCACAATTTTCATTACTGCAATATTTACCAGGCTTTGATTACCTTCCTTGTTCAAAGGTTAGCTAAGCTATACGAGGAAATGCTGTTCTGACTCGAGCTTCAGCTTCTTTGCGTACCGAATCTATAAACGTTTCGTACCTTTCTTTGGTTTTGTGATTCCCACACTGATGTCGCTAGAAAGTGCAAAAGAAGAAGCTCACTGTAGCGATTCCAATTGTAGGTCTCATGTTTGCGATTCTGCTACTTGAACGATGAAATTTTCGCTTGTAGGTTGCACTCTCTTTTGCTCGTTTAAGTAAGTGCACTTTGGCAGTGCAATAATGTGAACTTATTCTTATTTTGATAACTTACTTCAGTAATGGCTAGCAGTAAGTCATGAAGTACCGCACATATGTATCTTGATTATAATCACGTATTTTCGTCAGTTACGAATATCGAGATGTGAGCAGTGTTTTACAAAATAGGATTGATAGTCACTGAAACTTGTTTTCCGTAGGCTCAAACTGAAATCATACAGCATATTTTTTCAGCGTAATTATTCATCTGCAGGTGGTGGGCAGCTTCGCAGTATTGACATTCCGATAGGATTTTCTTGGGTCTTCACTTTTGGCCTTTTACTTTCGGCATTCGTGGATATCATGATCACAGCTTTCCTGTGCTACTTCCTTCGCAAAAACCGACCATCTTTTACAGGGTAAGTCATTATATGACATTGCTGTGCAGCTGGTGTTCACCAGCTTGTAGCACTATGCGTATCATCGACACCCTGACGTTCTGGGCAATTCAGAATGGCTCGATAACATGGTATGTCATATAAGCGCATGCCATAAACCATATGCTAAGGCCACCTTAGCGCCGCAGCCATCGCAACATTAGTTTGCGTGAGCATTCCTAATGCTTGTTATGTCTCGATCACTCAAATACTACAGTGGATGACCATGCCTTCGAACCGCATATTTCTAGGTCTTCACTTTGTCGTAGCAAAATGTAAGCCATCTCAAATTATCATAAACTTATCTCATCTGAATATTATTGGAGTAGTATATGCAAACTCCTTTCTAGCTACGTGAGTCACATGTTTGATGCGGTATTTGTGGGCTGCAGTTTAATCTGGTCCTGTAGTCTCAATGCCAGAAAACAAATATGGAATGGAAATCGATACACTCCTTCAAGCAATCGGCCTATGTCAATCGTCTTTCTAGGGGAGTCTGAGCCTGGACCTGATTCTTCGATCTCGCAACAGGAATCGGTAAGTACCATGGTCCGTCACATGCGAATGATATTATATCTCACACAACCACAGCTGCGAATAAAGACTCCCCAATCAAAAGCAGTGCACCAACGGAGGGAACCGGTGCGTACCTTTGCCACGTATTCTAAATGACCTTTCTGACTTGTCACAGATCCAAGTAAATATCGAACAGATTGTGGAGAGCAAGGATGATAATTACGATGGGATCGATAGTCCGGTGTGATGTTCTGTAGTTCGACCACCGTACTGATGACAGCCTCATGATCATTCACGACATGTATTTGAAATTAACCCTTACTAACATGCATATATTCTTATCGTGTACTACCAATGTTAGGGCTTGTATACTAGTGATTCACTGAGACGATGACTGCGTTTATTCTAGATACTATACGTACTTTCTGTTTCTGTCATTTCCTGGTATCAAAATTGATCGCGGGTCCTCCGAGAATTGAGCTGGAGGGCCCCGCTTGCCCTAAACTCATCGTACGAGTGCCTATCACCGGTGCAGGTTGATTCAGCCATCAATCCTAGTTTTCCATGTCGTGCAAACCCTCGGATTTCAAATACCAATGCCATAAATAACATCCATTAATCAGTGCGCATCACGCCGTCTTCTATATGAGACATGCGCAGATAGATTCGGTACGATTCCCTCCCCGAATATGAAGTTTGGCGGACGCGATGTCCATTCATCGCCAATTCTAATATCGTAGGCAGATATCATGTACGCAAACATGACTTTCAGCTGATAAGTGAGCAAGAAACGCCCAGGACTGAATAATAACCATCGCGATTCATATAAGCGTCAAAAGCCCAAGAGTCGACAGAGATCTTTCACTCACCACGCATGTTTCCCGTAGCCAAAAAACAACCATTGGGGCGTGATAGTAGTTATGCTGTGTTCTGGATTGTCCGAAAACCTGAAAGGTCTGAATTCATCGGGGGCCTCGTATGTGGTGCTGTCACGGTGAAATGGCGGTAAGGAGACTGCTATAGTACAACCCTCGGGGAGAAATGTGCCGTCAGAGAGCGAGAGATCACGCGTCGCTTGCCTGAAGAATCCCACTGGCAAATGGTTCATAGCTTAGTCGCAGGTATGTTTAGATGAAAAACGTACGTGATGATACGCCGTTGATCCTGGCGCTTTCTCTCAGGAAACTGTCTATCTTGCTCATCTTTGCGACGGATTGTATATTCCAGCCATCGCGCTGTACGATGGGATCAACTTCATCCCGCAATACCTGGGCAAACTCCGGGTTTATGGCTAAATGATATAGGGCGTGGGTAAGGGTCTATAAACCAGTTAATGATCGTCCGGCTCCGGGGGATTTCTCACATTTGAGGGCGTCTGGAGTATGATGTCAGGAAGACTATTAGAAAATGTATCACACATACAGATGACACCGCGATGGTGAAACCAAGGAGACGCGCCGTAAGGTTTCTCAACAAACTATCTTCACCAGTAGATCGCCTTACGAGTCGCGCGAGGAAGTCGAACTGCGGAAAACGCGATCAACGAATTGGTATGCAGCAGCGAATTTCATACCTTCTTTTCGTTCGGAACAGCATATTCGTCCATCTCGCTCGTGCAAGCCTCCACTGCAGGACCCAACAACATGGTCGCATGATCAACATTTGCCTCGAGGTTGCTAGCCATTCTGGCAAAGAATCTGGACTTGTTCTGGGTTTTCAGTTTCATTTCCGTTTTTGTGTGACATACGGGAATGCCCATGATGGCACAAGACGTCTGATCACGCTCGAGATCGCCACATCCTTGTGAATCTTGGCTACCAAGGAAGACCACTCAGAGTTGCGGCCTGCAGAACATGGTGAGAATGTCGAACAGGACAGATCGTGTTACATACATAGGGGATAGCCGACAAAGAATCGTTGCCATGTCTGTACCATTATTCGACTTACGGTGCTCAAAGCGGGAATCGAGGTCCAATCTGCTTGATGTTATTCGTCACTTCGTCAACTGTAGAATTGCATCCTTACCATCACTCTCATTTCCTAAAACGGTTTCGAGAGAGGTGAGCAACTCGTCTTGAACTTCAGCACATATTTTGGTTGCATTTCTAGCAATATGACTCTTGAGTAGTTCGGCAAGAAGATCATGATCTGGACTGCCGACGTTAATCTTTAATGCATCATCGACACCCATGATCTTCAGAGCCGTGTCAATGGTTGTTAGCTGAAGAGACGATAAGAGTCTTACATCTTTCATAGCCTCACGGAACGAAAGGTCTTCTTCCGCAGCATTCGCAATTTCCACCATATGCTGGGGATCAGTGAGAACTACTGTCCAGCGTAGCATGGTTGCAACCTTAAACGGTTTATTACCATACTAGCATTGTGCGTCATTTACAAGCTGAGATGAATGGGAATCAGATATACCTTTTCGTATCCCTCCTTGAGGACACCTGGTGCGTCTACGAGAAATCTGGATGCGCCCACGTAGAAATTACTGAAACAACGAGACGGGCCGAAGGAGCAGCCAACAGTCGGGAAATCATCCAACTGCACGAACAACATCAGCTTAGCGACTCCAGTAAAATATAGAACCGCCTGCATTTTGGGCCCTGCGTCTTTTGGAAAAGAACACGAGAACGGGGATAACACCTGAAGTCAGTAGAAGGATAATCCTGGGTGCGTGGCCGTTCCACATAAAGGGAGATTGCGACATCATTCGTTCAAAGATCAGGACCAATAACCTAGTGGAAACACTGATCGCAAGGGAGATAGTTTTGATCCCCTTTAGAAGGGAAAGAGCTTCAAATATCGATCGGATATCGGACGCGAACAGACTTTGCTCCATTCTGATGCGCGCATTTGACTGTCCTGGATACGAACCGGTTGTCGATTACGGCTGGAGGGTGCTGCGAGGAAGTCATATAGATCATACGATAGCTTCAACTTGGACGCAAGAGCCGGGTAAGTATTGGTAATAGGCAGAATTTTAAGACTCCGCGTTCTAGACGTTTCATTAAAGGTTGGTTGGATGCGGACTTTAAATTTCAGCTATCGGTATATTCCGGTTCCTGGGACACATCCCGCATGCTTGCTCCCACTTTTGTCTTCATTGATACTTGGTACTCCACTCTCGTCGCTGCTAAGTCCATTTGTCAACAGAAACGGACACGGCATGATGGCGCCCAGTAACCAAGTGGTTGCCACTCACGGTATTGGGGCAGCATAACATCAAGTGGGTCTCGGGGATCTCAACGATTGGTGCTACCATTTTTCAGAATCTGCACACGTTAGCCCGATGGTGTCCAATTTAGGCCAGTGACTCGTTATCATCAATTTGAAATATGGCCAAGCTTCAGTTAGTCACTTGTCTCCGATTAGCACATGAAGCAGTAGAACTTGGGTGAGTGAGGCCTACCTGACCCCCCCAGCTTATCTATCAACCTGACCATAATCCGACACCTTATAGCTGCGTGTGTAAAATATACCGAGGCTCGTTGTCTACTGGCCACAATTGCGGAAAGTATACCTGCAAGCCTATAGCTGAACGGTTGACTTTTCTTCCATAATCTACTGTGTCAAGTATGACATGAGAAGTATTAAATCCGAACGAGTAGTAGGTAATATACAATGCATGGTCCTAGCTATTAACACGAACCGATTATTAATCGAAGTTAGCCTACGCAATTGCCGCGAGAAAGGAAATGAGAAAGCCAATAAAGCATCGTGGAAAGCAATGATCGTAACCCTATGTCCAGTAACCATCGTAAATTGTCAGCGCTTGAAAGTCCCATATCAGACGTTAACCAAAACCCATCCTGTCGCGGCGCCAAACGCGCCCACAGTTAGAGCACTCATCATCCCAACGAGACTGCCACTCCACAACTTGACGGGGCTGGCGCCATTAAAGTTGATATACGTCGGCGTCGGCGTACTACCAGAACCGTCAAATCCATCTCCACCAGTTCCACCCCCAGTGAGGTTGGCACCGTTGGGCTAAAAAGACAGTTAGAGCGAACTGTATGGCTCGAGACTGCGACTTACCCCAATAGGTCGCGAGTTGTCCGTAAACGCGCAAGCCGAGGACTGACACAGGCACGACCCAGCAATGGGATCCCAGAAAGGTGTCGAGCAGTTGGAAGGCACTACGGAACATCTTCAGCCCAGGGTAATAGATAACAGTAAAAATAGTTACATCTGTATCTTATCTGTTGGCCTGCCGGGACTTGCTGCGGTGGGTTTGGGTTTGAGGGGGACACCTCTACTTGCGGGCAACCATACTAATCCATTGATTAAGTCTAAATGAATACCGCGGTAGCCACGAACAACTTACGCAAGTGAAGAAAGGGAAATCGGGGAAGTCACACTCTTCCAGGAGACCAGCTTCGTTCTGAGGAATACCATTGCAAATCTTCAAAGACGAGTCAACCTGGGGAGTCGAACACTTCAAAGGCTCAAACGAATCAAGCTCTGAGACCGGTACAGGGTTCCGGACCCAAGCAAGAAGCTGCTCATTCGAAACGATCCAGACATCCTGCTGCATCTGAACCCAATCCAGGTAATCATTGATCATCTGGATCGTGCTGTTCGGGGGGTCGACACCAGGATAAGTGGTCTAAAGTATGACATTAGCCAATATCGAGCTATCGTAAGACGGGAATAACTCACCGAAAGATGAATGGGATGAGTGTAGAGACCAACCGGTTGCCTATTCCCAGTGTAATGAGCCGTGAACGTATTCTTCATGTACTCAAATGTGGCAGTGTCATTGACGGCACTGGCCCCATTTGCAGTATCCAACCAAGGGTCCATCAAGTGCGGTCCGTCAATCCCGAGCTCGTCAAAGAATGCATACATAGGAATCTCCCAAAGACCAGGGATTTTAGGCTGGCCTTTGCATATACCCTCGACAGTCAGACAGTCATTTGCGAGACCGTTGTCCAGCGTGTAAGGCCAGTACGCATCGGTACCTGGGTCAGTGACTGGAATCGAAGCGGCAGAGGAAGAATCATAAGTGAAGTCAACGTTCGCGAGGAGCTGCAAAGTCTGAGCCGTATAGTTGAGGTAAGGTGCACGGAAACCTTGAATGGCGTCGAGCGGGATGCCAGCGAGTGCGTTGAGAGCAATGATATTGCCGTTGATCTCGTCCGCCGGAGGTGAACCGACATGTGTCATCCTAAAGCCAATGATCAAAAGCACGAAGGACTACGACAAAATACATACGTATGATCAGCTATTTCATTTCCAGCAACGAACCAGTCGGTGACAAGGGTGTAGTTGGTGTAGTTGAGAGACGTGAAGTAGGTCATCTTAATAGGACAACCGTTCGGATTCTGCCGTTGAGCAAGGAACTGATTGACAGAGTCGATCGTATAAGACTGAATAGCATCGTCGGCAGTGAAGACAACGAATTGCGGCACGTCCGACTGTAAAACCCACGCGTCAGAAGTGATGCACGGCAAAAGACAGGTTAAAACACACAGGAGAAAGACCACCTGGGGGACTCGTGCTAGCACAATTGCAGTTGGGCAACTGGCATTGGCTAGGGTCGCATGAATACCCAGCAGCAGACGAACTGCTGGTTGGACCAGATATGGAGCCGTCTTGGGCGGTCACCACTGACACCTGCAGCGCTATACCAAGCACCGACAGCAGCGCAGAAATCCACATCTCTCTGAACAAAAAAGAGACGGACCAACAGTGTGTGGTCAACGAATGAAAGAGAAAAGAGCGAAAATGCTAGGCAACGCACTAGTGGTGAAGAAACCTATATAAGTTCGGCGGGGAGGCGAAAAAGAATCGAATTAGATGACAAATATTTCGTTAACGCTACTATATTACCTTTTACCACTTGTCCTAGTGACCAGCGACGTAAAGAACGACTCGGAGTGCCCACGCTTACTGTTACACTTGCAGATCATCATGGATGTTTGACGTGAAGAGATGATCCGTTCCCGAGCTGTTCATCTTTCAACAAAGCTTATTATAGCACACGGAGGTAATAAGTCACTGCTAGCGCTTAAACGTGAAAGTCATGCTGTGCCTGCGGTTTTTAGTAAAAAGCTCAGACTTACGTTGAATACACCGAGGCCGTGACCCGAGCAAGTCGTCCTCGGGCAGCCTATTAATAGGTCAGTCGCTGAGTTACTACTATTATGTAAGCGGTTAAGCATCATTCCTCGACTCTCGAGTTGTCCGCACTCAAGTCAAGTTGCAAACCTACACAATCACGCTGGACTGGGCCAATTTATGTTAACGTGGGACGGACATGAACGCTTGCATTAGTGCTTGTGCTTTTTTTCTCCCACTTTCTCTAGGAGTTGAAAACAGGCTGGTGGTTCATATAGATATCGTTTCTAGTACTACTTGCATGATATCGTCAGCAGTGTATATATCATCGGAAAAACAATCAAACAAGAAGATGACAAATAAGTATGATGAGGGACAGGAACACACAAGGATATTGATTCCAAGCGTGATCCTAGTCTTCAGGCACTTCCGAATTTATAAACTGAGACGCACGGAGCAAAGTGTTTGAGCTCAATGATCTCGTCAAATGAGTCGATCAGCATGTCCTTATGTGTCTGTACGTGCGAGGTTGTAGCCTCTTCATCACATACACTTCAACCGAGACTGGCTGTCACGAGACACCCGAACGTCGAGTTTGAAAATCCGACGGTGATGACATCTTTGACAAAACAGGAATACCAAACCACCTGTGACACATCAGCATGATGTCTAAGGGTGTCTCTGATGAAATTCGTTTTCGCTACGTGCTCTCATGAATCAGCAGCAACATTGCATGTTCGCCCAGTCTGCTTTTCAGTGCGTCGTTCGGTCGGACAACCATAAATCCAGGTTCGGTGCTAGGTATAAATAGGAAAGGAATCATAGAATCAAATAGTACACTCAATATTGCAGCAATAAAATCATCGTTACGTAGAGCTGGAGGGATTGATGTTAGCAACTGCGAGGACGGATGGCAAAGACTAAAAACTCACACATCTCGGCAACTCGACCAGCGCGTCCCATGCGCCATGCAGCTCAAATAAAGCTCAGGATATCCTCTGGGTATCACCAATGACGTCCAAGGAGTATAAAAGGCGCGTCGGGAAGCGGGAGGTACCCAGAAAAGGAGCTCATGATTGGGTCCCATGATCCATCCATTAGGCTGCAACAAGAAAGGGGAATGATGATCAGAGCGGGGTGGGAGCAAGTCGGCTGGATCAGGCAGGATGTGTTTCAGGCAGGGCGAGAAGGAAATGGGGGGATGGTTATAAGTGTTGGTTGACGTGATATGACTGTCTTGAATGGGAGATGCAGTAATTCGATGCAGTGAGGATGCAGAGGGATGGGGCTCTCTTGACTCAGGGGATGGCAGCACTGTCACTGCATTCCACAGCCACACAGTCTTATCCGATGAACCAGACGCGATGTGAGTACCATCCGGTGAGAACGAGACTGAGTAAACATGTCCTGTGTGCCCCTTCAAGGGCTCACCCAATGGCTCTCCCGTCGCTGCATTCCACAGCCGCACAGTCTTATCGTCTGAACCAGACGCGATGCGAGTACCATCCGGTGAGAACGAGACTGACCGAACTATGTGAGTGTGCCCCTTGAAGGGCGCACCCAATGGCTGTCCCGTCGCGGCGTTCCACAGCCGCACAGTGTTATCCTCCGAACCAGACGCGATGCGAGTACCATCCGGTGAGAACGAGACTGAGTAAACAAAGCCAGTGTGCCCCTTCAAGGGCTCGCCCAATGGCTGTCCCGTGGCTGCATTCCACAGCCGCACAGTGTTATCGTCTGAACCAGACGCGATGCGAGTACCATCAGGTGAGAACGAGACTGACCAAATCATGCTAGTGTGCCCCTTCAAGGGCTCACCCAAATGTTAGCAGAGGAGTAGTACTACTTACATCAATTATTAGAGTCTTTTGTCATAAGTGACCCGGATGCCATCGATGTCGATGAACGTTTGAACGTTTGACATAACATGACTTCGCGTTCTAGACGTTTCATTATTTAGTTTGATGCGGACTTGAAAATATCGTCATTGTCAATCGCCTGTCAGACGGGAAGGCTATAGCCAAGGACTCGTAGATTTCCTTAATCTGTGATGTCAAGTAAGACATGAGAAGTAAGGAGTACTGTGCATGGTCCTAGCTATGAACATGTCAATCGTAACCCTATATGTCCAGTAACTATCGTAAAGTGTCAGCGTTTGAAATTTTCATGCTTGCAAGGCCATTGTCCAGCGTGTGAGGCCAGTATGCATCGGAACCTGGGTCAGTGACGGAGGCGGAGGAAGAATCATAACGTTCGCAAGGAGCTACAAAGTCTGAGCGGTATAGTTCAAGTCAGGAGCACGGAAACCTTGGATGGCATCGAGCGAGATATAACTAGCAAGTGCGTTGAGCGTAATGATATTTCCGTTCCGCCAGAGGTGAACCGACATGCGTCATCCTAAAGCCAATGATCGGAACGTTTGATCTAGACGGAGTACTCACATGGCGGAGTTTGAAAACAGTTACACGAACGGCACCCGATCAAGCCGTGTGGCTTGTTGCTTATACAGTTTATCTAATTATTTCCCACAACCCATTATCGCTTGTACTCTGCCGCGTCTAGTACTCCCCTCGTCAAGACCTCTACTCCTCAACATGGTGGGTACTATCACCCGAACCATGTTTTTATCTAACCACGACCCTAATTACAGACTAAACGTACACGCAAAGTGGGTGTGACCGGAAAATACGGTACCGTATGTTATGTGTTCTCTTCCAGGACAATTGACTTGACATCTTCATCTAGCGTTACGGTGCTTCGCTTCGTAAGCAGGTGAAAAAGGTGAGTCTTCCTGCTCTACGATCATACAAAGTGTTGAGATCTGCATTTTTTAGATGGAGATAACACAGCACGCCCGGTACACCTGCACCTTCTGCGGCAAGGTGAGATCGAAATCGTTCACATGTGCGCAACATTCTCATCTCATCACAGGACTCCGTGAAGCGTACCGCCGTTGGTATCTGGAATTGCAGCTCCTGCAAAAAGACGATCGCTGGCGGTGCATGGACAGTATCGACGACTGCGGCTGCTACCGTACGGAGGTGAGCCATCTCCGTTCACATTGTTGGACATTAAGTCTGACTATCTACTTAGCACTGTTCGCCGTCTGCGGGAGTTGACTGAGGCATGAATCAAACATCATCGTTTCTTTTTTTCGTGTGTTGTTCCATATACTCGACCCATATATGGTTTTTTCTTTCAGTATACCGTGATAAATGGAGTGATAAAGGGAGACTCGGGCCCGCCGTGATCATGATACTAAGTTCATGGAGAAATAGAAATTTCGAGCAAGCGCCGCATCTCTGAATTAGTGAATCTTCTAGCGCAGTTTCGAGGTGGGCATATATTTGAAACAAGAAACTGGGCAAAACAATGATACATATCTGCTTGCTAATGTGATCCGACCCCGAATGCCGCACTACAGATCGTAGGGTTCTTATGCAGACAACACTTCGTAAAAGGAAACCTCGAAACCCTAGCCATATTTGACAATTCCTGGGCAATATAATGGGTACTCACGAAGTGGCCGTACGGGCATAAAAAGTAACCATTGAAAGGTCAATCGTTCCTCACGAACATGGCATCACTTCTCAAAGTTCCATTTATTATCTCGTCTACTATCACGCAGCAGGTATCGTTAACACCTCCATCATGTTGGGCACCACACTTGCTGTCGCAGGGGGTCTCGTCTGTCGGTGGTGTCATCGCACCCTCAATCGCTTTTTCACATTCCAACTCAGTGTCCGCAAAGGGCATCATATTGTCACGACCGGATGGGCCATATGCTGTCATACGCCATCCATCATACTACGCAGCATTTTTGGTCATCGAGCCACTCTCAAACATATATATATACAAGCAACTTTACTGATTGGCTCCGAACTAGATCTTGTACCATCAACCCCGATAATACAAAAGCGAAAACAGAAACATGACTCACGGTCGCGACGTGTATCTCGGGCTGCCGGCTCAATATCAATCCTCAATCGACTACTACTGGCAGATCTTGCCTGATCCCGGCTCCTATAGTGCACAGGTGAGCCATGGAAGCACAGTGACCTGCTCATACTCACACTACGATAGAAACAAATATAGCCATCGCAGCAATCGCTATTTGTCTGGCAAGTCGCTTCGGGATCGTTGTGAGGCACACATGGAGTTGCTGCATTGACAGACACGAATGCTGTCAAAGTGACAACGATGGCGAGGAGGAAGAAATGCATTTTCATTTTCTATGTGAAGTGATGTGGAATCTTCTGAGGGGGTTCTCGAATGATATCACTAAGGATGGGGGACTACTATAGGACAACGGCCAGCTTTTATATCATGCATTGGCACGATTCTGATCTATTTGGAAGAATTGTCACCGCTGTCAAACGGCACAAATTTAGACAGAAGCTGCAAGAACCTATATTCGAGTGGTTACGACCTTGCATGAAAACCCAATCTCTCACTCATCACTTCTTCATTTGAACATGCGGCGACCCTGCCAGCGCAGCGACAAAGTTTAGAAGTTGATTGCTCAGTGGATCAGATAAATTCAGACATTCGTATTGCTCGAGCAGTACGAAATTTGTCCGAAATCAACTGTACTGATGGCTTCGAACTAGGTATCGTTTTTCAGTTCACCTATGCGCATTTTTGGTCATCGAGCCACTCTCAAACATATATATATATACAAGCAACTTTACTGATTGGCTCCGAACTAGATCTTGTACCATCAACCTTGATAATACCAAAGTGAAAACAGAAACATGACTCACGGTCGTGATGTGTCTCTTGGGCTACCGGCTCAATCCTCACATGTTCTGGCAGATCTTGCCTGATCCCGGAAACTAGGGTGCACAGGTGAGCCATGGATGCACAGCGACCTGCTCATACTCACGCTACGATAGAAACAAGTATAGCCAGGGCAGCAATCGCTAGTTGTTTGGCAAGTCGCTTCGGGATCATCACCAGGCACACATGGAGTTGCTGCATTGACAGACATGGATGCTGTCAAAGCGACAACAATGGCGAGGAGGGAGAAATGCATTTTCTGTGTGAAATGATGCGGAATCTTCTGAAGGGGTTCTCGAATGATATCACTAAGGATGGGGGACTACTATAGGACAACGGCCAGCTTTTATATCATGCATTGGCTCGATCCTGATGTATTTGGAAGAATTGTTATTGCTGTCAAATGGCACAAACTTAGACAGAAGCTGCAAGAATTCGGCCTTGGTATGAAAACTCAATCTCTCGCTCATCACTTCTTCATTTGAACATGCGACGACCCTGCCAGCGCAGCGACAAAGTTTAGAAGTTGATTGCTCAGCGGATCAGATAAATTCAGACATTCGTATTGCTCGAGCAGTACGAAATTTGTCCGACAGCAACTGTACTGGTGGCTTCGAACTAGGTATTGTATCATCAGCCATGATGCCAGAGTAAAAGCAGAGATATGACTCACTATTGTGACGTGTCCCTCGAGTTGCCAGCTCATTGCTGACTTCAAGCACTGATGAGCACCTCCCGCCTCCCTGCCGCTGCATATAGCTGCCTTGGAATTTTCATGCCTTCGCCCCAAATCTACCTTATGGTCACGCCATGCTCGCTGTCCTTCCGCCCAAGAGTCTTTCTCATCCGCCTCCTTCCTGTGTTTCCCGCCCGCCCCTCTTCCTGCACACCCACATGACTACGATTGGAGTCTAGGGGTCTATTAGCAGAACCTCTGCAATAACAGATAGTATGCAATGTCCACGAAGACTGAACTCAGGCTGTCATCGACCGTTTGTTGCTGCAAGTCCATTAGGGATTTACCTTGAACGAGTGGTGCAAAACCAATCAATGCGTTCGCATTACACACAGCCTAGTGACCGTCCAATCCTAGGCTGCATTTACTCACGATGCAAACACATTCTTGGTTTCATGCACCACGTCACGGTACTATGGATGTTCAGTGTTGTTATCTAGCTCCTTTATACACTTACTGGTAGGCTCCTCTCGCCAAATGGACCGTCATGCCTTCGTGATATGCCGGCTTACAAGAAGAATTTGCCCGAGTTGAGATAGTATAAAATACACCTGTCTCCCGTTGTCCTGTTAATTCTGAACTCTTCGATTACCAACTACTATGGTACGTCCAACGGACAGTCCCTCATGTTGTCATGACTGACACGAGAGATGTTTTTCAACAACTGGGGAAACCAGGACAAGACAAAACGCAGGGCAGAGGGACTGGTGCAGACCACCGAACTGGTACACCGGGCATCCTATGTGGAGGTGGGGTGCACGTTACAGTGTGATTCCGAAATAAGCACTTTGGTTCGTATGTCTTGTTGTACTAGTGGCTGCTGATGGTAATGCGTTATCTCATTAGGTTGATTTTTCATCGAGGGACGGTCGTTCGCTGGTAAGGCAGAATTCTGGCGTCCGATTCGAAGGGGTAAACCTTGATGATTATCGTAGGAAACATCCGACCGCGAACGCGAAACGTCTACATCTGATAATACAACAAAGGCTCGAATGTTAGATGCAGATGAAAGGGCGTGGGACAGCCCCCGCTCAAGCAAGAATGTGAGGGCCTCGAGGCAATAGTGCTAGCTATATTTTCTTCAAGGAGAGCAGTATGGCGTAGATTCGAGCAGCTTGTCAATCATATTCTCATTTTGAGACTCCCATATATAACCACGCATAGAAACATGTTGTAAGATACTCACCAATTCATCAAGCAACGGACAAGCATCGTGATTAACCGAATCTCTGCTTTGCCAGCTGTTGAAACATGTCCATCGTAGCTTTGTCTTTCTCTCGCAAGGCCGCAGCACGTTCGCGTACACCAGCAGTTTTATCTTCTTTCCCTGCAGAACGCTTCTCCTCGAATCGTTTCCTTGCTGCATCTCGCCGAGCAATGCTAATACGATGTCAGCATTCAAAGGAAAGCGAAGGGGCGCATGACATACTGGTCCCTGAAACTATCCCCACCACCGAGGAGGGTCGACTCGTCAGCTTCAAAGCCGTCATCACCTTTCTCCCTAAATGCACGGTCGTCCTCTCTCCGGGCACGCTTCTTCTCCAGCATGCCCTCCCTACCGACCTCTTTCGGCCCCACCATGTCCTCGACGCGCTCTTTCGCTTCTGCGCGATCTCGTTTACGCTTCATGCTATGTTCTGCTGCTTGATACTCCGACGCAGCCTCCCGGGCAAGGACCCGATCGGATGCTGAAGGGAGAGTTGGGCCGTGTACGCGGCTTCGACTTCCACCGGTATCGGATGAACTAGTAGCACGCCGGTACGTCGCGGAATCAACCTCTTCTCGAACAGCCTTCAAGGTTCCTGCGTCTACACCTGAGGCCTTAGATGCGAAGGACCATTTGTAAGCTGTTTGGTTTGCTGCTGATGAAATATGGGAGTTGGCCTCGGAGTATAGGGACTCTGGACATCGGTTAGGATCCGTCAGAATTGGCTACTGTGAGATACTGAAGAAGTCTCACTCGGTAGTTTCGCTCTGTTCCATGCCTTGTATCACATACTCAGCACACATTTTTATAGCTCATGCATCTTCTTACCTTTACGAACTTTCGGAAGTAGCTGTCATTCCTCTTGAGCAACTTTGCAAGGAAACATCTTGATCATAAAACTCACCTCCTAGCTTTCTCACTTGAGAGCTCATCAAAGTACTACCAGATGAACACCTTAGCATTATGTCTTCAATTCAGGAAAGCGTAGCGCAGGACAGACCTTATGTTTCTCCTCCTTCAGCCATATTCTAAACTCCGTATTTTTCAAAAAGTAGTCCGACTCCGATATGGGTGAAACACCCTGTGGAAGGTCGTAGCCACTTTCTGGGGTAGGCGAACGTTCTCTTCTGTCTCTGGAGCGTGAACGGTCATGACGTGAACGGCGCTCATTAGTCTCTATGAGAAGGCATGTCTATGTCGTTGTTTGTTCTCCTGAAAGTTGCACGCAGCGAGCGTGGTGTCGAGTAACTAAGACGACCACTGACCACGGTGATTATCGTACAATGCTAACGGCTCCTTCTCTGCATGCAACGTTGCCAGCAGATATATAGCAGATATAGAAAACCACGAATAAGTCGAAGACAAGTCTAGACAGGAAGATCACAGCTGTTACTAATGCGCTTCTTACGTTAGCATTTAGAGACAGAGAATTTCTGCCTGTTGACACTAGTGCTCCACATTCACCTCTTCACTGACCGTTGAATTTCGAGTCTTCTTCTTGAAAGGCTGGACGGCTCTCGCCCGTGCTACTTTTTCTCCCTGCTAATTGCGACAACTTCTCATTAGGCCACCAACTTCGAGGCACTCTCATTCCTTTCATCGTCAAGGGTCTCTGAGCGGGCAATTTGTAGGACCAACTACCTATGTTTGGTCGCATTCGTCGCCCTTATACTCAGACGTTCATGGACACTAGTATTTCATGGCTTCAATATACATATTTCCCAAGACATCTGAATAGACCAGTACGTGATACAGACATTCATTTGTCCACCCCACCGATCTAAATAATGACAGGTCTTTCAGACGATCTATCAACGAGGGTCAATCTATAGCTCTAACTAGTGGGTGATATCTAACCTTGTGTTCTTGACAGTTGTACAGCATCTCGTGGCTACATTGTCAGTCATTATTTCTGGGCAGTTTCTTGCATTTCCCAGCCTGCAACATGCAAGTCAGCTGCGTCCACTGAGTCCGCCATGGCAAAAGAAACGGTATTTACCTGACATGCATAGCCAGGCGCACATTCGTCATAGCCCTCGTTGCACTCGTTGGTGCCATCTGCGCTAACAGACACAGCAAGAGCGACGAAAACAGCGAGAAGTGCCACAAAACGCATGGTGGATATGAGAGTCAGTTGTGAAGTTCTCGAGGTGGGTTGTTCAGTACTGCAGACTTGTTTGCAGCCCGGGTATTTATGCTTTTCCTTGGTACGTTGCTTGCACTATCCATCCTATTCGCTTCGCTTCTACGTGACAGAACGAGTCAACACTGGCAGGTTGAATGGTCAGCCTCTTTTCGCGTCCGACTGGTGTCATGTTTCACCTAAAGCTCCATTCCGGTTGCGGCAGAGACTGTTATTTACCTAAGGTTCCATTCCGGATACTGACAGAGTCCAGTGGCACTATAGTAATATAACTCGTTGATGTAAGTTCCGCAAACGAACAATCTCGGTATCACTTCCTGCAAGTGCGATAGTTGATTCGGCATCCATTTCTAGCCACGTACCGGACCTAGCTCAACATATCGTTACTTGTACAAAGGAACCCTTTGTCGTGATCATCCCGTATTTCCCTAAGACGCGGAGTGTGCGCCAGCCGAGTTTGGACCGCTGTCAAACCAAGTATGATTTAATCATGAAAAGTTCAAGGTCGACCCTAGGCTCAGAACCGAACTGCGGGAATATTGCATTACTTTTGTAAGTCGCCCTGAGCAGATGCTAATGCGACGGTGGAGAATATCCGTTGATACACATTTACTTTGGTGAGTATTTTGTACCTCATGCCAGTACATAAACGGCGCACATACAGTATACTAGACACAACCTAATATATTACCAGGTCATTTCCTCCGGAATTCTCTACACTCCTCATTATCCCACTTGACAAACTGCCCAGTAAGCGCAAGAGGAGCGCGTAATGAGAGAGCAGCGATTACATATCCAACGTCGTGTGGATTGACCAGGGCTCCTTCATTGTAGGCATCGACGAAATCCTTATGATCGGTCGCCTTCATGTGCTGCACTCCTGCATCCCGCAGTATAGCCTGCATCTGTGCGGTATTTGAGATCTATGTTCGACATGATACAGTCCAGACCTACCGCAGTGTCGACTCTCCCAGGCGCAAGTGCCAATGACACGATCGAAGGTTCTTCGTTTGCGAGCGTTCTATCCATTTCATAGAATCAGTTCAAGCCTCCTCACACGGTCCAGTACCGATCACCTGCTCAGGCTGTTCATAGCAGCTTTACTAGCATTATATGCGCCCCATCCATATATGTTTCCGGTAGCTGCTCCTGAACTTACAAAAATGATCCTACCCTTCGATTCTCGCAAGCCAGGCAAAGAGGCCCTGATAGCAGTAACAAGCGAGAAAAAATTGATGTCGAAATAGCTTTTCCAGTCATCGAGGGTGATGTCGGCATTGTCGATGCGTGCTATGGGGTCTAGAGTAGCAGCATTGAGGATTAGGCCGTCTATCTGTCCAAAGTGGTCTTTGCCGCGGGTTATAGCACTTTTGAGCGCGGGTTCATCTGTGCTGTGATTGTAAGACCATAAGTTCTATGTAATATGAACCCAGGCTGAAGGTTTGGTACTTACATGTCGCACTCGAGAGTCAACAATGATTGCTCGTGTTCCTGAATCAGTTGGTTGAGCTCTGGTGTTCGAGTCCGGGATATGGTAACGACGCGAGCGCTGTGCTCCTTGAGTAAGGAACGAGTGACTGCAAGACCGATACCTCTGAATATTAGATGGTCAGCACAAGGTTTTCAGAGATAGGGACTGGGATTAACCTGGATGCACCTGTGATGACGACGACAGGATTTGACATGACGGAGATGACAAGGAGCCTGACTATGTTTTTCAGAACAGCTTAATGGATACAAATACTCAAGGGAATCAAGGAGAGCCGCCTCGGGCTCCCATGCACGCCTGAACCAAGGTCTGATCTGTTTATAGTGTCGATGACGGCTCGGACGATGCCGACATAGCGCCACTAACGAGCACAAACACGATTCATCGATGTCGTTTCCCCTGTTGGGCTTCACTTAATCACTTCTCCTAACTACGTCCCGCAACTTTGGAGTGCGTCAAGGATGTCTTTGTGGCTGTTCTATGCACGCATGAGATATCTGAAATGGCCCTTCAGATGATTTGCACAATCAAATCAGGAGGGTAGAGTGTGTCCAACAACAGTCTAGCCTTCCCCCTGATTTGACTTGCCATGATATCTCGACCTTTTCGAGTCAATCGAGTATAGGATTTACATTGACCTTTTCTTTGACAGGAATGCATCAGCGCTGACTCAATCGTTTGTTTCTTCCGAGTCCTTCATTTCAAAATTCACACAGATAACGGAGTCCTCCCGAAGAGCGTACAAATATGATATATACAACATGACAACAAATGTGAAGATGCAATTTTGGAAGATGCAGGGTATGTGCAAGTAATAAGGTTAGTGTTGTGCGTGCCAAAAGTCTAATGTCACCGCCTGATAATTATTAACGATCCCTCAGCTGCGCTTTCCTAGTCCACACAAGACCAGCGCAGCTCGCATCATATCGTCGTCCTGAATCGCACTTTTTCTTCCGTTTAGTGCCACGGGCGCAAACTTCAGGTTCCGAGCCACGTGCCCGCGCTTCTGGACGGGAAATGCAGTTTTCTTATTCCAGGCGTCATCTCCAGCTCCTAAGCTCCCATCCGGCGTAACAGCTTCCATTTCTTCGTCTTCCGTTTCAGCACCTGCTTCGTCTTCTTTACGTCTTCCGGATAGGCGTGCCGCAGCACATGCCCATTCAAGGGTGCGCCCGCTGCCCATGAAGTCTATCAAGTCGCGCGTAGGAGGGCTGGCAGGTGCCAGTGGAGATGAGGGCATATTGTCCCATAGTGATGCGTGTGGATTATGAGGCTTCGTAGGTGTGCGGGGTGGTTGGAGACGTGATTCGGAACGTGCCGCGACACGATCAAGGGAGGGACGCGGGCGAGGAGGCGTTATCCGTCTCCGTGGAGTATGCAAGTTCGAAAAAGAAACTGATCGGGAATGGACGTGACGTGACGAAGAAGCATGTCCATGCGCGAATAATGGAGAGGAAGGGTCCTCATCATTGGAGACGTTCGTCGCATTATGGAGGGCCACTTTGCGCTCCGTCTGTCGTTTGTTTTGGAACCATATGGTGACAGACTTTATTTCCCTGTGGTCAACGGTCAGATATGGAGAAAGTGACGTATGTCCCGGGAATGACATACATTCCTGCTGTGTTTGCAACGGCTTCGCGTTCCTCTCGCGTCGGGTGGGATGTCCGATGGAAAAGCTGTTCCAGCATCATAAGCTGAACAGTGGAAAAGCGTTTGCGCGTACGACGCGCAGTATCATCCCCGGAAGATATGCTGGCCAACGAAGACGTCCTGGAGAGTGTAGCTGATTCCATGGTTATGATTGACGAAGGATGTTGGGAAGAAGGACAAGAAATCGGGTGTACGCGTATTTAAGGTGACTACATGCCAGTGACACGCCGCCTGCAGCAAACAAGAAACGCGGTAGCGGAGATCAAATACGCGCCTCCCACGTGACCGTGTTCGGTGTGATCTATCCCCATCGAACCACCGCTATAGTGGTCAATAGATTGACTGTTACAATGTTAACTTGTTCAGTCAATGCCTTTCTACGTTGTCGAATGTCCTTTCACGCCAATTGATCGTAATTCGGTAGTTACGAATTCTCCATAACCGACGTTGCAATTTTTAACTTGAGATCAGTGTCAACTTCTCACATTAACCCTAGACTAGTAATGATCACATCCCTATCAAGGTCTGTCCGTCCACGCACGGTCAATATAAAGGGTATTACAATCCCGAGCATGCCTTAATGAACGCAAGCATCCCATATCTCAGTAAAACAAGGTCAGAATCACTAGGATGGATATGACAAAACAGAATTAGCTTAAGAACCACCCGCGCGCTTCTCCTTGCCCCTAGGGCGTTCCCGAATGACCATCTTATTACTGTTCTTAGGGCCCTTGGGTCCAGGTTTACGCGTACGTTTGCCTTTTGTGGCCCAGCCCCAGACAGAGACAGGATGCTTGTTGGACTTGGATTTACCACGTCCACCACCATGAGGGTGATCCTTGCTAAAATTCCAAATGAAAAAGCGTGACTAAATATGATGCACGCAATTGACTGATAGAAAAATACTGACGCATTCATGGCAACACCTCGGACTCGTGGTCTCCACCCCAACCACCGATTTCTCCCCGCCTTTCCTATCTTCCTCCCCTTCCAATTGAGGTTGCTTACGCGTCCGATGGTAGCGCAACAATCTTGTACGACTTGGCGGATTTCACCGCTTTGGAGGCGCACATGACTGTACCGTCCAGACTCATCGTGGTGCACGACCTGAGCGAAGGAGCCAGCAGAGCGCACGAGCAACGCCCTGCCCGTGGGTGAAAGTGCCACACAGTGAATGACCGTGCCTGTAGGAATGAACCGAAGAGGAAGAACATTGCCAGGCCTGACCGTCCTGGTACGGAGCATACCCGTGGTTTCAGGCATACCCATCCTATAGCTCTGCACCACATCCCCCGGCCTCATTCCCTCAGTAGCGAGTATGTATTTCCACTTCGCCTTCCCCTCCACAGTGGCATCTCGTGCTTTGATAAGAGCAATATGTGCTGAGCGTCCAGGATCGTATTCAATACGGATGACATCGTACTCTCCAGGCTCGGTGCGCATAAAGTCGATGAGACGTACACGACGCTTGTGACCACCACCGCGAAAGCGGACGGTGATGCGGCCGTGAGAGTTACGACCACCATGTTTGCGGAGGCAAGCCGTTAGCAGACGAACGGGCTTCCCTTGGTAGAGGTGGTCGTTTATGGGTCGACGAAGGTGACGAATACCGGGAGAAACGGGTTTGTAGGTCTTGAAGACGTTCGTGTCGACATCTAGAGATGTAGCTTTAGGCTCATTTTTTGAACCCGATGCAAAATGTGTAGCGTAAGTGCGAGCTACGGAATTGGTTGCATTGGTCGTTCGGAACACTTGTGTCAATACCCGAGAACTCGATGGAGCGCCCAATGACGAAAAAGTGCGCAGTGCACGAACGCACAACATGCCGCGGTTCGTTGACGGAACAGCTCTAAGTAATTTCAAGTGTGCTGAAACGGAAAATGCAGAAATTATTTTCAGAAGGTCGAAGAGGAACGTTGTTTGTTCGGAACAAACAGACGCGCTCTCTACTCGTTCATCACTCAAACAATGGTAGGAGAACTCCTAGATCCAAGCTTGTTTGCCATACGAAAAATGCTGATGCTAATTATCAGGCTGCTCAAATATCTACAGGAATGTCCGAGTTGCGGGAGATAACCAAAATGGAGCGCATAGGTGCGCGAAAGACTCATATGCGTTGAGAGTAATTAGTAACTAATGACTGCTAGGCGCACACTCGCATATCCGAGGTCTTGGGCTTGACGACCGTCTTGAACCGCGAGCCAATTCGCAGGGTATGGTAGGACAAGCCAAAGCACGGAAAGCTGCAGGCATGGTCATCAAGATGGTGCAAGAGGGACGGATAGCGGGACGCGCTATATTGTTCGCTGGACCACCTTCGACAGGGAAGACAGCTATCGCACTAGGTAGGTCTATAATTATGATCGACTTACAACACGATGAATGACACTCTGCAGGCATGGCACAGACCCTAGGCTCGGATGTACCGTTTACGATGATCGCTGGCAGCGAGGTGTTTTCATTGTCGATGTCCAAGACTGAAGCACTGACACAAGCCATACGGCGGAGTATCGGCGTGCGCATCAAAGAAGAAAGTGAGATAATTGAAGGAGAGGTTGTCGAGATCCAGATCGACCGCAGTCTAACTGGCGTATGTGTGCCATATCTCGGTCATCAAAGCTACGGGCACTAACTACCTTCCGCAGGCCACTAAAACCGGTAAACTCACGATAAAAACGACAGATATGGAAACTATCTACGACCTGGGTACCAAGATGATAGATGCACTTTCTAAAGAGAAGGTTCTTGCAGGCGACGTGGTAGTGGTCGACAAGACGTCAGGGAGGGTCACAAAACTTGGTCGCTCGTATGCGCGTTCAAGAGATTATGATGCCATGGGTGCAGACGTGCGTCCACAATCTTTTTGCGGTCAGAATCAAGCGGTGCTAATCGAAATTGCAGACAAAATTCGTGCAATGTCCCGAGGGCGAAATACAGAAACGAAAAGAAGTCGTGCACACAGTATCATTACACGAGATCGACGTGATCAACAGTCGGACGCAAGGCTTCCTTGCCCTCTTCGCAGGAGACACGGGCGAGATTAAACCTGAGCTTCGTGACCAAATCAACTCCAAGGTTGCTGAATGGAGGGAAGAAGGCAAAGCAGAAATCGTACCTGGCGTATGTCACCTCTCGATGATAGAGCTCCGTGACTAACGCTGATATAGGTCCTTTTCATCGATGAAGTACACATGCTTGATATCGAGTGCTTTTCATTCTTGAACCGTGCGCTTGAGAACGAGCTGTCTCCTTTGGTGATCATGGCTTCGAATCGGGGAATGTCACGTATACGAGGAACGAAGTTCAGAAGCCCGCACGGACTGCCCGTTGACCTGCTCGATCGTGTCCTCATCGTCAGTACGAAGCCTTACGCCGAAGAAGACATCCAGCAGATCATTCAAATCCGGTGAGTCCTAATTTCTATCTTATATATTTCTAGTCACTGAAACTATGAACGCAGCTGCGATGAAGAGGATGTGACCCTAACCCCAGAAGCACAAAGCGTTCTTACCTCGATGGCAACATCCACGACCCTGCGGTACGCCCTCAACCTGATTTCTTGTGCGCAAGTAATCGCACGGAAGCGGAAGTCGGATGCAGTGGACGTGGAAGATCTCCGTCGAGCGTACACATATTTTATGGATGAGAAGCGGAGTGTGCAGTGGCTGAAGGAGCAACAAGGCAGCTTGGTGTTTGAGGAGGTGGGTCAAGAGGATGCGGTTATGGGGGATGCGATGGAGTCGTAGGTGTGCTACCGTCGGGTGGTGTGTCACTGCTTTGGAGAGGAGAGACTTGTTTGTGTCGTGAGCAATCATGTTTGCTTGGCGGAATTTATCCGATAGCGCGCCAGGCGTTACTGTGTAAGCACATGGGTACAAACGCATTGTCCTCTTTGCTTTTCATAAATAAAATTTGTGTCGTGTTTTTTCTTCTATTTTATGAGATGACGTAGACTAGTGAGCAGCTCGTGTGTTTTTATAGACCAGCTAGTCGCCAGTCTAAGACGCGACTGCTTACATCGTAGATGTATATTCGTGTATCTGTATCTCAAAATCAGGCCCGTCTTTCTCAGTCTCACTTTATTTCATGCAGTTGATACCAAGTTAACTTTACAACACATTCACTGATAGTATCCCAAGCAAATATAATTTTCAATCAACTACGACGAATACTCTCAACCGAACCAAATACCAGGAAAAAACGACCTCGAAAGCAGGAAATGAAAATTGGAGCCAAAGATACAAGTGCTGGTAGAGTCCAGTATAATGAAATGTAAGCAGCGGGTTCGAATATACAATAGAGTAGGGGTGTGTATACGCCGTACGAGTAAGTGCGAGATGTACGCGTAGGATACACGTCGAAGGAGTAGTCAGAACGAGCGAGTGTAATGTGCAAGGAGCGTGGTGGAGCTATTAGCTATACTATACTACAGGAAGGCAAAACTGAGAGCAGCGCAGTTCAATATGTCGCGCGATACAATATCAGTCATATTCCCATTGTGGCTGGGCCTGCCGAGTGAGGAGCCTGAGGATTGCGGCTCATGGATTGTAGACAGAAAGCAGGGATTAATGTAGAAACTCCTTACTGTCCTTCTCTGTTCCGCATGCGGTGTCACAGCCTTTGGATTCGATGTCTACCATGTCGTAGTCATCGCAAGGCTCGTCAATGACAGACACGACGGTGGTCTCAACATTGACGTTCAAGTGTGCCTAAATGTTATCATTAGCGCGTTTTACCGGGCAAACGGTGACATATACGTACACTCTTGTTAGGTGAGAAAGGACCCAAGATACGTTGCTGTAACCCACAAGAAGAGTGAGTGTCACCGCATGATAAATAAATATGGAATACGGACCGATGATTTGTGAATGTTCATCGAGGCAGGGTACACATCAGCCTCGCGCTGACTCGAGAAGGTATGGTCTGAACGCAAGCGCTTGCGTGTGTTTAGTCTAACAAATATTAGTTGGCTGGTAGAAGGACATGGAGGATTTGACTTACGTGGCGAGAAGGGAATTGGCATACACTGATCAGTCATTAGTCATTTGCAGGGTAAAACTATGAATTCACACGTACGCTTCGAGATAGCGAAGTGCATTCCGAGGAAGATCAAGTTATGTCGCATAACCATCCACTGATTTGTTCATCAGAAGACATTCCTCTGAAAATAAATGCCTCTTACGCAAATGAGGGATGCAATTGTGACAGCGCTAAGGAAATGTTAACGACATCCTGAATGATGGCCGTGAGTACTTACCAAGTAAAACTTCCAGTCTCGAGTGTATACAAGATTAATGAGTTGATGATGTGGTTCATGCTAATGACTCGTCAGATGAGATAGACATGAAGTGAGGAGAGGTCCTACGTTGCGAAACCAGTGCGACTCCGTCCGAGGAATGTGACCATGACGACGGTGATAATGAATTCCACAGATGCAGATAGGGTGACACCAACAGTGAACACCCACTACATTACGAAGTGAGCTTTTGAACAATGTCCTTGGCGTTTCCGCCCACTTACTGATGGGAATGGCTTGATAAATAGCGAGTAGTGGCGAAGTCGCAAGCTACAAAGATTCACGTAAGGAAATAAAATATTGTAAACTCTCTGTGAAACTCACATTTCGGTTGTCGAAACTTGCAAGAACCCGTTAGTAATTATATAAAAAACAATTTGCCGAGGATAACGTACTACATGCAGCGACTGCGGTTTTATGATGAGCATAAACAATTCAAAAATAAAAAATAAAGAAACTCACGGAGACGCAAAAATGCCAAGAAGACCTAACCATCGAACATTAGATTTAAAGACGGTAAATTGGTTGAGCTGAACCACGTACAAGGGGTGCAGCGAAATACCACTTCTTTGTCACTGAAAGAAGCTCAGCTAGGTACACGGTAACCAGTTTCAATTACTGACGTTTACGAACTCTGTTTGCGAAGAAACTGCACAGGAACAAATGTAAATCACCGTCATGCCAATTCAGTGTAGAAAGCAACAAACCAGTGGACGAGGAAGGTGACCGCGGCAGTTATAGCTACAGAAAGCTATATGAAGCATTGTTAGACCGGTTAGTTGACCGCAATAGAGAATACGAACACCTAAGGACCTAAAGTGCAGTTGTACCATAAATTATGGTGCAAATAAAAGCATTCCAGCTGACTCACCTTGGGATAACATCCATCATTGCTGGTTTATTGAAATTAACGATGACAGACTCCCAGACGGAAACGATGATGAGGATTGTGTGCATCATGTCCAGTGCCCTGCACGACTGTAAGAAATATTTCAAACCATGTCGAACTTGTACACCCACCAGACGACCAAGACCTTGAGTAAGTATCAAGTTAGAAAATGATCTTGGGGAGCAACGTATAACCAAACTCACCAAAATTTTATTTTGTGTGCAATCCGAGGGGTAAAATTTGAAATACAAGACGGTTTGCACGAACACAATGCCAGTGAGGCTTGATACAACGTGAGAGGCATCCAGATAACAGACGACGCATTACTCACCCGCAGCCAATGCAAGTGCCCAGAAGGATTGCACCGTATACCGTCGCGACGGTGGCTACATCGCCAGACAACATGTTTTGAGGTGGAACTTGAGAGGTCCAGGGGGAGTAAAGACAGGAAGTGGAAGAAAAGAAAAGCAACCACAAAAAAAAGGCTAGACACCACTGCACCTTTATGTAGGTACGTGATGATTAAAATTAATATCGGAAAGCTGGTCAGGCATGCTTTCACTGATCTCGTCATCGCGAGTAATAGAATTCTCTGATTCTAGTTCGAAGAATTCGTATACGGTAGCGGCACAGCCACATAAGCAGGGTCAGCTTCCCGTACGTTACAGGCTAAATCCGCGTTGAACCTGATAATTCGGATCTTCCTTCAAACCTGAATTCTATATAGGCAGACGAACAAGGCATATGTGTTAACAACCTTGGTCGATATGATCGTGGATAGAGCTGGTTTGCGTTGTGGAAAGTGGACCAGCGCCCACTGCTTTAAACGAATTCCCACCTTCATCATTCTGTAAACACCGCCTCAGCGCTTGCACACTAACCTTTCCTCGGCACCTAATAAAGCTCGCAAAGTCTCCCACAAACGATCAGAAACCTTGCTGTGCAGTGTTGATTGTGCGGGAGGGCGCTTCACAGTGTACATAGATGTCTGTCTGGCACCGCCGCTCATGGGTAGAAAAAAACTATCGCTGAGTTGCGCGCGCAATAAATCTATGCCGTACGTTTATTGCGCCGTCTCCTTCGGACTGTGGGGGCGAACAACACTTCTGTGCCAGAGTGTGCCATGGAGTAGCACTCAGGCTGGGGAATCTGTTGTTTAACCCGTCACACTCAAATTCTTCAGTACTTGTAGTTCGCTGAGGTTTACCAAAGTCCAGTTCTAGCTAGTAGCAGCATGCACGTGGCTATAATACTACGAAGCTATTTCAAATTCCTAGCTAGAGTTCAGGTTAACAATCAGAAGGCCATGATGCACACTTGAAGAAAAGTTGAGCCTGATAAGAGAATTTAATTTCGGAAGGTGAAACAGTCCGGCCGGGGATCACGTAACTCGGACAATCCTGGCCTGGCGGCAAGCGAGCGCCACTAGTACTAGTACTTCGGGCCCGCGCCAAACAACATACTCTAGTACCTAATACACCACCCGCACCCTCCAACACACGTCTCTTTACGTCTCTGCTACGACCTGCAAATACTTTCTTTCATTCTCCTCGGACTGCCAGCCTTGTGGGCGGTGTTAGTGATGCACAATAATGCGACCCGAGGCGCTACATAGGGTAGGCTAATGTTTTTTTTTGTTGGCTCGGCTAACTTTAGGACATATGGAAATGCTTCCCTCATCGTCGACTCTGCCGTCATTCAGGCCTCCCATAGCCACCACGAGATATGATCTTGGGCGCTGATGGTTTCGTTGGTGTGTTCATAATCACTTTGTTAGTGAGTATAATGTTTAAAAAACAATTTTCATTCATAACTGTGGGCGTTGGGCATGCGCTCGATGACGGCAAGTCTGAAACATCGAGCGGTATTCGTTCCATCGTTCTGGAGGCGATCCCTGAACTGTCCGGCGGACTGGAGCTCCCGGACTCCACGAATACCGAAGCGCTGACAATTGAATATTGAACTTTATCAAGGCTCTACGCCACTTTTAACCATTATCAAACCAGTACGATTGGCTACTTGATTAGCTTCGCAAAAGTCTTTCATTAATCATTGTTATCGCCGAATGGTAGTACTAGTCTATGGTAGTGGTCTCGGACAAGGAATCCATTCTGAGACGCGAGCCTCAGGTGCTTCGATCTCCATTCTTCGGTTTTTCTTCCTTTTTATTTCTCCATTTACAAGCTGTCACTCGACAGCAATCTGTACCTTTGGATTCATCAAGGATCTCACTGGCCATGGCAAGCAGACATTGAAAAGTATCTGCAAAATATATCTATCACATAAGATAATGTGGATTGGATCTGCTACTGATAACGCGAGAATGTTAGTTGCCGGAGCTGGTTCGATCGAGACCCGGAATCCTCGACGATATAGAAATATCGGGGTTGGGACTGTACCCCGCCCGGTTGCAGTTGCAGTTATACCGATCTGTACTCGTATGAATTTGAAAATGTTAGAACTAGACTATAGCTCAACGACAATTGGACCCCAGTTGTTTCTATAAATATTAGAATCAAGAAGGAACAAACTTCTTCTATGGCCTGACTAGGGGAGACTAATCTATTCGAAGAGGTCTAGACCATAGGGGACCAGGTCGTCGATTAGTCAGCACATAGCTCTGGCGCACTGGCCCAAAACGGATACAAACTGACCGCCATGCCATAGTCGAAGTCAAGACAGGCGAAATCAACTCTGCCATTAATCCACAGACGAGTCTTGTGTCTGACTGCAGTTGCCATACAAGACTATATATGTATCGTGACTACTGGCGACCAGCCGGTCGAGACTTGCCCTTCTCTGTGTTCTACTCCACTCAGAAGTGTTTGCATGCTTGCTTCCCCTCAGCTCTTCGCGAATCAAATATTTCTATCAGAAGTTTATCCTTTCTAAATCCTGTTTCATTTGCCAACGATCACTTCCCGGATTCGAGAGCTCGACCAGTCCTGCGGTCTGTAATCAGTGCAGCGGCGGCGATCAATTCCAGGAACAATCGCCAGGCGAAAACAGAAATTCTGGTCACGCCCATATCAGGTCGGAAATGATCATGGGCGAGTACTCGAGTAGTAATTCCTATACGCCTCGGCCTTACTAAATCGGTTTGATAGGTTTATGTGTTTTTGGTCCGTAATACGCAGTTTTCCGGGAGAAGATTACCTACCACTTCAGCACTGCAGTGTTAGTCGAACCAGACGGTGTTTTAGCCGAGAAGTGAGTTCAATCAATTTTATTCTCGCTCTTCGTGTGAAAAGGTACAAGCACCACCCTTGCACCCTGTCCTTCTTTGACAGGTGGAGCGTATACGCGTAAGGGTTGAGCTGTTCTTGTGGTATTGATTGATTTCGCGAGGCGGGACGTACGCTATCATGATCATGTGGGACGCACTGCGGCCAGAACAAATGTCGACACGGATGTGGTCCGGTGCTTTCTTCGCACGATGAAGTAGCCGTCTTGAAGTCAGCTGGATGTTATCTCAGTATCTGCGTGCACGGAGTGGTATATAATTTTGAACGCCCCACTTCCGCGCACTCACTCTGATAAGCATTCTCTCCTTTGCTGTCTAATCCTTGCAGTAGGTTTTGTTCCATTATTTGGTTTGATACGATTTCTCATTAGATTAGTATGCCTGGAACTACTCTTCCCCCTTTCCCGGATGATGTTCGAACACATCCGCTTTTGATTGTTGATTTTGAGCTTATCAAGGCTGGAGACAGGGAGGAAATCGATCGATTGTGGGAGGCTGCGACAACGCTCGGATTCTGGTAGTACGTCTTAAGAGTTGGATCGTTTGCCGAACATGAGTCGGACCTACTAGATTCTTCGGACAGTTTAAAGAACCATGGCGCAGATCAAGAAGTCAACGACATGTTTGATGTGGGTGCAGAGACGCTGGCTTTACCCCTCGAAGAACGTTTGAAGTTCGAGCAAGGGGACAACGGACAATCTTTCGGGTTTGTCATTGATATGGCTCACACTGGCAAGCGTGTCTTATCTTATCTGAATTTTTGATCAGATACAAGAAAGTGGGAGCTCAGGCGACCGATGGAACGGGCACGTACTTCCAGACCAGATCACTAGCGGTAGACTGACAAAAATCCAGGCAAATTCGTGGACAACATCGAATTCATCAATGTCTCTAAAGACGATGCGCTCGCATATCCACGGGTCGTTCACCTCACTTATCCATCGACCATAAACGCTCGCATGGAAAACACCGTTGCGCCATTTGTCCGCAAGTCTCTTGATGTGACATATGTCGTGTTGAATATATTTGATGATAAGCTCGGATTGCCGAAAGGCACTTTGGAGAGCATGCATGCTATGGATGAGCACAGTGCTTGCGAGGTCAGATGCACTCGCAGCCCACCCGTGCAGGACAAGGAAGCGATGGACAGAGCTATGCTAGCTGCCCATACTGATTTTGGCAGTCTGGTGAGTCGCTTGATATATCTGGGTATTGTAGTGACGGAAATATTTGTTTCACCAGACCTTCCTGCACAATCGGCTTGGCGGACTCCAAGTAATGCCCCCTGGTCATGACGAGTGGTCCTACATCAGAGTAAGCATGAATATCTTAGGTGGTCACAACGGACGCTCACCAACGCGTAGCCCATCCCTGGACACGCTATTTGCAATATTGCAGATGCGCTATCTATTTTCAGCGGAGGCATTCTGCAGTCCAATATTCACCGCGTTGTGTATGTACATGCCAGTGAGGACCTGCTTGCGCAAACTTGCTAAAATCATCACGGATAGTCCACCTCCCGGTGCACAGGCAGCATACGAGCGGTGGTCCCTAGTTTTCTTCACCCGTCCGACCAGCTCGAAAGTTCTCCGGGCCCTTGTCGAATCCAGTCCCATTATCGCAGACGCTGTGAAGAAGCAACCTGACAAGAACTTCGAGAGTGGTTCTACTGCTGCCGAGTGGCTGGCAAGAAGAGTAAGGAATCAGAGAATTAATAACAGAAGGGTGAGAATTCCTCTAGTGCACCAGTTGTGGTGGATAGGATCATTGACGCCGACATGTTACAGGGACCAGATACATGGGCTGCGAGTCGTGGCACCGAGCACACTCCAACGGCAGCTTAGGTTGTTATTTGTCTGCACTATTCGACAACCAGGTTTGAGTCAGTGCGAAGGTTCTTTCTACGGTTCTGGTTCTTAATTAAAGTGAGAACACAATTTACTTACTACAAACTTGGGGAACTTGTTCTTTGCATCAGTTCTGAGCGATTCTGAATTCTGCGATGTGCAGAGGAGTTGACGGTATCCGCGATGGCTTCGAGCTCGACTCGGTATTTTTAGATTCCCCGAGGTGCGTTACCCTCTGACGAGCGAAAGATGGTAACCAGTCCATGAGGAAGTTCCCCGCACTTGAGAAGATGAGAACCGACTAGCTGAATGATCGCGTAAAGTGGAGCCGGGTAAACGAGCGATCACTTCGAAGAATTCAGCTCTTACGGGACAACGGTTTACGCATGCGGGAATGAAGGTTGCATGAGCTATGTGGTCATGTTGCAATCTAAGGTGCGAGGCCGCGCGAATGGACGGTACTCGCGACAGATGATGACAGCAAGAAAGTCGTGGGTCTCATATAGATAGACCAGATCTTGAAACATTCGACTCGACAGGAGCTCTATATCTCCTGAAGCCGAGTGGCGATGTGTTGTCTAACTCGCGGGAGGTTCCCGCTCTGCCATGTTCGATCTCGGCATTTCAAGAAGAGACGTGCGACATGTCTTTTTTTGTCCTTGGAGCGGCTGCCAAAGAAACTTTGGTGTTGAATGGCATTGCAATATGATCTATCACAGCTGGCACACGCTCAGGGAGAACAATCAGTGTTGACAAAACGCAATTATATGCAGAATGGAGGAAATTCAACTCGTCCGTGAACAATGGTAAATCTGTGATGGTCACGAGGTATGGTCAGTCATTGCGCAAACAGGGACACTGCATATATCACACGACACCACCAGACTATATTGAAGCGGGTACCCAACTCGCATGAACCTGGGGTTTGTTTCGTCGAGGGTCTGTACTGCATGATGGAGTCACCTGAGAGGATCATCCTGCCAATATCGATACGGGCATATCAAGCGTGCTGTCGATCAATGAGGTATAACCATCTAAGGTATTTGGAACTAAGCAGCAGATTAAGAGTTATGCTATTCATGATGTGGCACACCTAGGCCCACTGGCATCAGGATGTCGAGTCGTCGCAAGAATGAAGGGTGTAAACTCGCTCGTGAGATGTGCATCTATGGCGATTTACTGAACCGCTGGTCTTCAGATAAATCTATAGGCACATAGTGAGAACAATGACAACTTTGAGGGAGCACTGAGCATCAAAGCCTAGTAGCACAGATATTTGCAAATCGATCGACCGCGAGCGTGACCAGCGTGACGTGACACAACTAGTCCTTGAATTCTGTAATATTTATTGTTAACTGACGTTTATCATTAGGGTCTACTGACGGGGATTTTCATCCTACACACATGGATCCATCTGAAATATCACCCGAATACGAGCTCACAATCCGCAACCACATTCGCCAGACCTTCCTTCCTTACGTTAGGAAGTACATCACCATAGACCATGTCGCATATACCGAGTCTAAGCTCGAGCAGGTCCGTTGCAATGCTCTCCGACCAAGAATACATCATATGACATAAGATGTGGCGAAGATCTTCACAGAATCCTTAGATTTTGTCCCATTAGCGGACCCGCACGTGCTCGTGCTACCCCCAGATCCACTCGATACGCTCGCCAGGTCTCTGAAAGATCTCGACTTCTCCCTTGATGAGCGCTTGACTACAGACGGAGATACCGTGCGCAAGATCAAATCATCACTCAAGACTATTGTGGGTGAAGGCAGGGAACTCCGCAGCGAGGCATGCTGGCGGGAGGAGGATCACATGTGTCCGTTTTGTTCCCTTTCATCGCTCATACTATCTTGAGGTAACGTGTTGTAGATACTCGCATTGCGGAGATATACAGACCTATGACACCCATCCTTACCAACCGCGCGCGAAAACAGACCCCGAAAGCAGGTTCCAACGCTCTCCGCGCATCTCTCCCTCGCACACAGCCTGCGCTATTCGAGCACACCGGTGTCAAGTCTGTAGTGGTAGCACAAATCGAGGATTCGGATGTACCTAACTTGGAGGAGGTTCTGTGCGCGATTTTTCTCTTGCTCTTAAATTACCACTTACCAATTTGGAACAGGAATGTTCGTCCCACGATAGAATCCACCACTCGCACTTATATCCTCTCGCTATTTAAATCGGCAAATCCACCTGCACAATTAACCGAGACAAACGTACATGTCGCTTCTTTCCTACGCGCCGATTCACCACCGCTTCAGATTCAACGTCCACTTTCTCCCCCCCTCTTTTCCCGATCACAAGCCAGCCCTGGTTCGTTATGGACAGGTATTACGAATGCAAGGGACATCGTGGGTAGGCTGAATGCTGCTCCTGTTCCCGTTCAAGAGGAGCTAGAGGACAATGTAGACAGCGTCAACATGTCGATTGTTGATGGATGGGGTACATGCGTCGTTCCCAGTTCTTCATTCTCAGTATGTGGGGGAAAGGCTGACTACTACATGCGTAGCTGTCCTCCCAATCTCTTCTCCGCCTTCCGCTTTGCCCCTCTCCTCACAAGACACCGAAATCGACGAACTATGGGAGGCCTCACCGACTCCGCCTGGCACGCCTGCTACAAGCCTTTTCAGTGCTAGAATGGGTGAGCATATATTCATATATACAATACATTTATCTGACTTTGCCCCCCAATCATGCTTTTCTGGCTTTTCATTATGGTCTGATAGACGAAATAGAGATCCCGCGTATTCACAAACCCGGACACATACTTCCACACTCACTGAAACCAAGGGGTTCTAACAGGTGTGTGCTGCAGTCCATACATGAGCGCTCGCTCACTCGTTTTTTTCAGTCTCAAGTCATTTATCGAGCACCTGAAGCCTGTGGCTACTGCGAAGTCAAAAGAAGGCCATACTACAGCACCGACGAATCAGAATCCCAATATTCCGCTATTTATTTCTTCCCCAAGCGCAGAGGATGGGAGGATCCTTGATGCAGAAGACTCTATGCTCGGACAGCCACCTTCTGTTTGTACTGCTTCACCTCTGCCTACGCATGCGGGAAGAAAGAAGCCAGATCAAGATCAGGCCTTGGAAGACATTGATGTGGAGCAGGGTCTCGATATGGCTCTCAGGCATATATACCGAGCGGTGCAGCAGGAGAACATCGAGGGGTGTGTATTGAAGGAGAGGTTGGATGAAAAGGATGTTGCATTGATGGATGGTGCGTTTGTTTCTGCCATTTTTTTTGGGTTGATGACAGTCTTTCGTTCGTTTTGTTATACTTTCTCGATGTTTTCTTTCGAGTGTCTTCTCAAAATTTCGGATTTCTCACACCACCGTCACCCGGCAGTGCCACACCTTCCCTCGCCTACCGTGCACCTGGGGCCCTCTCTACAACCTACAAACATGAGGGCCCTCATACATAGAGGCAAGATAAATACAAACGTCCAGCGGCACGTTACACTGGAACCTGTAAAAGGCATCAAGCCACTTAACCTGGAGTTATCTTGGAGGTACGTAATCCGCACTCCTAGCCCAATTTGAATACGAGCGCCCTGTGGTCGTCGTCTCGAAACTGCTCTCATATATATCGGCACGCGCAGGCCCTTTAAATTCGCGGCCCCGATTCCAACCGACGAAAGCGTCTCTCTTGTCGCTGAACCTGCTCTGGATGACCTCGTGAAACTGGGCTATGCTGACAAAGCAAACGAAGCAAAGATCCATGGACTGCTCGCAGACCTCGAAACTGCCCCCTGTCATTCGGCCAACGTGGCAGAATCGAAGAAATCAAAAGACAGACGCGGCACAGGGAGTTTTGGTCTTTCACCTCCCCGCTCCCTCAAGTCCTCTATACTAGGAGAGGGATTTGAACTGGTGCTGACGAAAAGAGAACGAAGGCTTCACGCCGGCCTACCTGAATTCGAGGATTTGCATGAACATCGTGCTAAATATGGTGAAGATTGTCATGAACTCAATGGCGGAGATGAAACCTCACTTGAAACGGACAATGAAGATCAGCCTGCGAAGCCCCCTCGCCTTGTCTTTCATGATTCTGGCCTTTTGGACAGTATTCCCAACGTTGTCGACGACTCCGATGTTGCAGATAATGGCCTTTCTGGGCCTACGGTCGGCGATCCAGAAATTGCGTTCGATTATTCTGGTGTTGCATTCCCCAACCTCCACGACAATGAGACGCGTTATCGAGATCAAGACGATCCGAGTCCCTTGGAAGCCGTCTACTCACTCGATGGTGTTGATTACTCTGACAAGGACGAGGAGGATAACCCCTACTATGTGTGCCAACATCAAGGTCAGGAGCAAGATAGGGATCAAGGCCACGAAGGACCATCTTCATCTTTTCCGCTGCTGGCACGGCACCGGCACGGCCCAAGTCCATATCCGGCCAGCCCCCCTCTCCGAGGACTTGACCAAGATTATGCAATGGCTAACTACTCCCAAGACAAATATACGGAATCCGCTTTTTTCCCGCTTTCATTTGGCTCACAAGGCGAGCGGGTGTCAAGGTGTCCGACCGATCTAGTTGTACTTTCGGGTGATGATGAGGAACGAAGTGTGTTACCGGATACCGACAGCCCAAATAAAACTCAAGGCATCTCGGACAAGGACCAACCGGCGAACATAACGTCATTCTTACGATATTTTGGCCCGGAAACGGATTCTAGTACCGCTTTCCCTGCATTCAAACGCAGACGACTGGATGATCCCATGGCCGCCGCCGTCGCTACACGAGGGTTTTTAGATGACTACTTGGCACTGCGCAACAAGAACGGGATGCGTGACCCGCCTCCGTCGGTAACTCCCACGATCATCTCCTCTGAACCCCAAGGTTTGCAACTCGGCAGCATTTCGCCACCCCGTGCTGCACCTGTAGAAATCCTCGACACCTACACCATGCATCTTCCCGATGTATGGAACGCACCAACTACGAACCATTTTTATCTTGCAAGTATGGCTCTCATTCAGAAACGTGCGCTCGTCCGGGCCTTGCAGGCCCCTGAGTGCCGGGTGCATCTCGTAGAGAGGTATGTGTTAGGTGGGGTGGACATCGCGATGGATCCAGACACAGCCGTGGTAGTTGCGCCGCTGCTGGCGCTCCCCTCTCAGATTGAAGGACTCGTCGATCGCATCTCGCAGGCATCCTGGCGGTATACACGTATCCTTATCATTTTCGAAGCGTTCCCAAGCGCAAATGCATTTACGGCAGAAATAAGTACGAAAAACGTCAAACTAATGCCCTATGCTTTCTCGCCCCCCATTCTCAAAGCAGTTAAGAAGCTCCGCCGGCTCCTGACCATCGCCGAGGGTTGTGGGACGAAGAATGCAGAGTGTAAGATTCAATGGGCGTTTGCCAATGATGTGGGCGAGGTAGCCTTATTCGTGAGGATTTTTGGGAACTTGGCTCAGGAATGGGCTTTCAATGAAGGTGGGAATGCACTTTGGGAAGATAGGGGGTGGCTACAGGTCGACGAGCACGAGGTGTGTTCACTCCGTGCTTCTCATTCAATGCTGTAGGGTGTACATTTTGTTGCCCATCTTCTTTTCAGGATGAAGCGGATCTTGCTAGTGTGGAGGGCATGAACCCTTTCGCAGCCTTCGTCATGCTGCATCAGGGAGCGCTGCAAGAAATCCTCGATATGACTCCTGAAAGTCGTGTGGCAGAATTTTCTTATCTGGTAGGAAGCCAGCGGATTGTAAGATGTTTTGTATGTTCCGGTGTTCGCAAGTTCATTGCGGACGTTTTCAGGCTTCTCTAAACGCCATCATCAAGGAGCGCGCACAGGAGATGGTTGTAGATGCGGCTAGTGAATCTGGTGTGGACGTGCCGCATGTATGATTTCATTTTGCGATAAATATACTATCTCAGCCGAATTTCATCTCGACCTTCCTGTGTTGGTCTCTGATGAGTCAAGTTGATAAGCGAACCATGTCGGGAACATCCATCCGGTGTGGGTAGGGGGGCTGGCAATCGCGTGTGGTACGGAATAACAATCACTGTGATGGTCGGAAATTACAGTGGTTGAAGGGGTGAGAGGACAGGCAGTATGGTTTGAGAAGGGGGGACGTTCACACAGTGCACGCAGGTCATACGGGTGGTGGGACAGCCACCTTTTATCACCACGTTTTCTTTACTCAATCTCACGAGGTCCCGATGCAGTGCAGTTGGTGCAGCCACGCGGACGATACCAATCACTTGGCGAGGTGAACTTTGACAGGCGCTAACAAGCATTGACCAGCGCTGAGCGCTGAGGACTGGGTGCCGTAGGCCGAACTACGACGGCCGCGGTGCCGACTGAAGTAGTATGGTATTGTTGTGAGACGGTGTAAGGAGTAAGTAGTAAGGCCGAACCGGACGAAAGGCCACGCCGATAGGGACTAGACGCGTCTACCGCGAGACGCCCTGGACCACGGGGCGCTGGGGTGGAGCATGTATGACTCGGAGGAGATATTAACCATGTAATAATTGCTACTTCCTGTGTTTCACATCAAAGCCATGACAGAACGGTTGATATGAAGTGGCCAGTATCGAAGTTCCATTCTGTACCTTGGCCGTGGGGTGAAGATATAAAGCCATGGAATAGGAATCTTCCGTCCTCAGAACTAGCTTCTTCAATAGCCGGAACTCGATAAGCTATGGACAACCAGAGACCATCACAAGGGCCGCAAAACAGGTCCGACTTGCAACGGGACTATCGCGAGAGGGAGCGGCTCGCCTTTCGCAATCTGTTGGGGGCCCTGAATGAAGTCGAGCGCACTAATCCTCGCTCCCGACGACGCGAGATTTTGAGACGAGGTGAGTATCTTGAAGTCTACATTTTGCAACGCTGACGAGACAAAAGCGGCCGAGTGTCTCCGACGTTTGGGACAAGAACAAATTGACCTGCAACGACAGCTCGGGGTGTTCCCAAACAATGTTGTGGGTGCTGAGAGTCAACCAGAAGGTAAGGTTCTTTGCGGTCGCATGTACTCCGGACTGAGTAGGCGCATGCAGCTATAATACTATCAGATGAAGATTTCGAGTGGTTACAAGATTATTTGGCTCAGTGGGAACAGCAGGGGAGTACGGGAGGGCCGCCATAGTGGGGAGTACAGTATTGGTTAGCGTGAAGATTAGCTCAGGGGTCAGAGCGATGCAGGCATAGATATCAGGAGTACTGCGCAGAAGTTGACATGAGGCAGAAGGTGTCTTGGTGTCCGGGGTCCTGGAGTATACGCAATGTTGTAATAGATAGGCAGCACCAACACACACCCATTCCCTCCCCTTCAGAGAGCTAGGCCGGCGGATTCACGTATGCAGGGGGGACTTAAGTGGAAGTGCATACAGTCACCCTTGAAAGATGAGTTGGAGCTAATGCTCGCGTACCAACATCGGAAGAAAAGTGGATACCGATGATTAGAGTTGTGACACCCGTGCTTCATAATTTAGCGTAGCTCCGGATGCACTGTAGCCAATCAATATGGACAGAAAACACGTACGACGTACGGGTAAATCCATCTTGTGTTACAGAAGAACGAGGTGCGCTAGGTCAACGTAATATAAGCTGTAGCCTTAACATCAGGCACCAGATCAGCGAGCCCTGAATGACTCATTGTCTTGAGTGGTTCTGGTGCCTCCTCCATCGAGTCATTTTTTGGTGGAAGGGTATCAACGAAGGGCAAGTGACCAAGTCAGCCCCCAGCGACGCGACCTCCATTGACTCGTTATCTTGAGCATTTCTGATACCTCCTCCATCGAATTACGGACCTATTGGATCGGCCAGGCATTATTGACGGAAAAGCCTTTGTTTTGCTACGTGTCCGTGGCGTTCCACGGATATACTTATGGCTGTATTCAAAAAGGTTAAAATCACGAGGCCTGCGAGTGGGTCAGCGAGAAGGGTGAGAAGGAGGCCCATATGCCATCGGCACTCCTCTGATCTTAAACAAAAAATGTCCGTCCTCTGAGTAGCCTCAACGAACTGACTGCGGGGTAGCATGGCTAGGGACACAATTAGCGGTGTCCCCGATTATTAGGCGCATAGCGCCAGTCATGTCATGAGGTGAAAGTACCCCATGTCAAAGTCACATGCACCATAGATGTACAATAATAGAAAAAGCCGTTTAAAGTGGGTTATGTCGAAGCCGAGGTATACTGCACAACCCCCAGGCTAAATATATTAGCGCTTGAATGACAAACCAAAAAAACCAAGTAGCAGCATGAGATTTTGATACGGCGCCAGAAAGTCTCCAAGACCATATCTGCAGACCTGGGCGTAATCCTATAACTGGAATTGAGCAGGTTGTTTTTAGAGATGGGGACATTGTCTCGTACAACGATCGGCTTTCGGGCCTACTAGAAGAAGTCGAAGTTTTCATATCCCGGATTTCCCGCAGGTTACATTTCAGCAGCCAATTGCCGAAAACGTGGGGTACACATTGTCCGGGCTGATGGAGAGACCAAATGCTGTGCACAATCTGATAAGCAACATTAGGGCGCGACATCATTGACCAAGTTCGCAAATTGAGAACGCAGACTAACATATCACAGGCTGTCTGCCTACTACGCTGCGGAACTCCGGCAACGTACGGTAGAGTATTTCGTTGGGCCGCCTCTACTGTAAGTAGGGAATTATCGCATGCGTCAAACACGGCGTCCCAAGTGAACTGTTCCGTTCATGACGGGGAAAAGTCGAAACTAGCCGTAGTATGAGAACAAATCGGGGTTTCATGAGGTCGCTGTAACCCTTCCGATCTTCTTCGTGATCTCTATGGCCAAGTTGCTGGGGATAAACTTCACCTTCAAGAAAACTTCAGTTCGGCCCGAAACAATCGTTGTAAGAATGAACTTACCACAAATACTGTTCTTGTTCTTGTTATACTACTTACCCTGAATGACTGGGTGTTCAATCGGTCAACGTGGTGCGGAAGTGCCTATAAGATGCGCACTTCTCAAACGCTAACCCCAGTCGATCACCACATCAACTTGAAGCCTTCGCCTTCCACGCCAGGTGAACCTTTTCTTCGACATGAACAGCTTCAACTCTCCTATCCCACAAAGCCCGCAGAGTCCACAACCTGCAAGGGACAACAGATCTGCTGCTCAGCGGCGATACAGGAAGAAGGAAGAGGATGGGTTTTTGCAGCTCCGAGAGGCCCTGAGGGAGGTGGCCAAGGATGATCCGCGAACCAGACAGGAAATCTTAAGGAGAGGTCTGTTCACCTCTTTATGTAGTCTTTCTTAATCTGACGGCACATTGAAGCTTCCTGTGAGCTTAGACGCCTGGCGGATGAAAACCATCTGTTATCGCAACAGAAGGCACTGATTGAGTCTCACGGAGGAAATCACAAATATGAACATTCTCAATCACCATCATGTAAGGCAAAACTTGGCAATATTATAGAGACCAACTAAATTGGCGACTTTGTGTAGGTAGCAGTGTGATTTACGAGGATCCTGCAGAGTGGTCGCATAATATGGCAGAAGTCACGTGTCAATGGACTGACATGGCACGTGCACTAGACACTGCAATGTCATCAAACGCGACCCATACGCTCACAGCGCAAGACTATGAATGGTTCACCCAGTTGTACGATGCAAATATGGCACAAGACAGTAGTCGGTCAAACTATCCATGGGCATCACAACAAAGCAGAGATTTCGCCAGACGGCCTCACAGTGGAAGTGGTCATTATGTGAGGTGTGCCAACTGTCAGCATGGGGAATAACTGTACTATACTAGTAGGGGTCAATCCAAGTACTAGGGGTCATACTACGCATCGAGGGGCAGGTCCTCCATATACTACTAGTCAGGCGGTCCACATTGGGTCTTCAATAAATGTGTACTTTTATCATTGTAAACGTCGCGCAATAACTTGAATATCAAGTAGTAGTAGGGTTCCGTAACAGATAGTTAATGAACCAGGTTTTTTTGTTCATGAAGGAGAGAAGTTGTGAAATGAGACCACTTTGGCTCGAGCCGCTGAGTTTGAAATATAATATTATGGACCTGGCGATAACCCGAGGGCCGAAAGATTATCGTTTCGGACAAGACTCAGCGCAAAGATCGCTTTATCGCCAAGGCACCAGTACTGCTTTGTCAGTAGTCCCTGTTCTGTGCCCTGCAAACACAGCACTACGTGCACCACTTAAGGCATCGCAAGCAGCTAGACTTCCCATCATCCTAACTTTATACTGTGATCACCATGCCCGAGGTCAAGAACAAGGTCTGTCTGATGTAGGTAGCGCAGTGGCATCTGAATGTAAAGGCCTTGGTTCATTGACGATCATAACTACAGCGTTCACGATGGGTGGGGAATCGCTCCAGAGAAGGGCATGAAAGGTGATGCTATCGATGCAGCAGACACCACTAACATGGATACCATTGCCCAAAAACATTCCTATCGCACCCTTTTTGCGCATGGAAATGCGGTCGGTTTGAACGATGGGCTCATGGGAAACTCTGAAGTTGGGTGTGTACAATATGCGTTTCCGATTTATCCCATCTAACCAAGATTGATCTATATCCATATCTCAGCCACCTCAACATCGGAGCAGGCCGCATCGTGTGGCAAGATATCGTCAAGATCGATGTGTCCATTGCCAAACGGCAATTTCACAAAAATGAGACGATCCTTGCGAGCATGAAGCGTGCGAAGGACGGAAATGGCCGTCTTCACCTCCTTGGTCTGGTCAGTATATTACGATGACGGCCCTGCATTGCGTCACGTTAAATTCGCTCCATAGGTTTCAGATGGTGGTGTGCATTCCCACATTAGGCATCTCAAGGCACTTTTGGAGACTGCAAAGGAATCTGGCGTTCCTCACACTTACGTCCACTTTTTCGGCGATGGCCGTGACACTGCACCTCGTTCGGCTAAGGGTTACGCACAAGAACTGTTGGACTTTATGAAAGAGATTGAGTATGGTACGCTTGCCACGGTTGTTGGCAGATACTACGCGATGGACCGCGACAAGCGTTGGGAGCGCATCAAGATCGCTATTGATGGTCTCGTTCACGGCGAAGGCGAAGAAGGTGAAAATATTCTCGAAAAAATAGAGGAAAAATACAACAAAGATGAGACCGATGAGTTCTTGAAGCCCATCATCGTAAACGGAGACGAGGGACGTATTAAGGAGGGAGACACCCTCTTTTTCTTCAACTATCGCTCAGATCGTATGCGAGAGATCGCGACCGTCATCGGACTTCCGGACAAGCCCATCGAAATAGATATCCCTAAAGACCTGGTAAGTCCGTATATCTGCCGAACATTTATTTCAAACTAATTGCATAGTGTAGCATATCACCACCATGTCCCGTTACA